CTGGATGAAATGCTATCACTTTAGTTTTCATTTATAATCAAAATGATTAATGTAAATCATTTGGACTTGGGGTTTTTTACAGTCACGAATCTCCTCTCATACATTTTGTATGAAATTAAAATATTTTCGGGCATTTGGTTAACGAGTTATTATGTAAATGTATACTGCGGCAAACAGCAGCGTTTTTTCAATTTTGAAAAATTTGATAACATTTGCAGTTTTTTTTCGGTTAAAGAATCATCCATTTCCATAAAAAAAAATCTACATCAGATCATTTAACATTGTTGTTAAACACATTGTTCACCAATTCTAAAGTGAAATATGAGCAAAAATATTTCGAACTTTTTTTCCCGTAAATATCTCGTTTCAGCATTGTTCACGACGACAAAAAAAATTGCCAGTTTTATCGTTTCGAATACAAAAAGCGGGACGGGAACAATGTAAAGGAATTTACCGTCGATTTATCTATATCTATAGCCTTTCATCATTCGAATGTTTATCAGACAATGCCGTTTCCTTTTTGTGGGCATAACAAAAATTTTTTTAAATCGTTCTACGCATTCATTAATCTTCTAACTTACCTCTCCACCACCCACCCCGCACACACACACTGACAACAAATAAACTGATGATTAATCAATATCGCCGAAATTTTTTCATAGATATATAATAAATCGTTCACAAATATATTTACATTTGGTAACATTCAAATACGGATTAATGTCCATGTCAAGAATGACGCAAACAAAAAAGAAACACAATGTTCTCACCATCATTTACAGGGATTCAATTGTAATGACGGCTTCGTTTTTTGCATATGATTGTTTTCATAAAATACCAAAAATCAACATCCAACGCACACATAAAGCATGACTTTGTTTCATTTTGAAAATGCACCATTCACGGATGGATTACAAAAGAATTCTCGACCCAATGACTCTGTTATCTCATTTCTCTCATTTATACCCAAAAACTTTATGTTGATTCAATTTTATTGTGAGTGGGAAAAAACAGATTTTGTTATATTTGCATACACTATATTAGGTCATAAGCTATTTTTATGATTCATTTTCGTGTTAAATGCACTCAAAGGAGAAATCACATCATAACAACGTCATAAAGATATATTTTGTGGGATGTATAATGTGCATCTGTAAAGAATAAATATTTGCAATGCAAATACCATTTATTGTTTACAAGAGACTGTTGTATCAACAGCTTCATAAACTCAATTTGAAGTTTGCACTTGAAGAATTGAAATGGATAAAAATGGTTCCATAAAAATAGTTTCGATTTTTCGTTAGGCTAAAATCGTTATTTTTCCATTGGATCAATGTTATTTTGCCACATATTCTTTTGATAATGCGTCAGTTTGTAAGCCCTATAATCTGACAACATAAATGTCACACAATAAATATTAAATAATAAATATTTGTTGATCTATATAGATCAAATGCCCTGTGGAGTGTGGACTCGGTGTCTAACTTTGTTCAATAAACTTCAATTCCAAATATTGTTGTATGAAAAACGAAGTTAAATAGTCAAATTACTCCTATTTACTTTTCAAACAATCGTATCCAAGCGTCGCATGAGACTAGGGGCTCGGAACTTGAAAAAACTTCAAATAAACACAGTTTTGTGGTTATTTGTGATTGATTTGTATCATGTTTTGATGTAAGTCAAAATATCACTAGTAAAAATGTGTGAACATGCGTGGTTATATGGCGATATAAAAAATGCTTCCGAGCCCCTAGACTGATTTTGAGTTGAATGAATGTTTCAAAAGATTCAAATACAATCACCACCTATCTAAATTGGGTTGAAATAATTACAAAATTCGTCCAAATCAATGGTTTTTGAGTTTAAATTAAAAATCTAATAATCAAGATACTAAATATATAATATCTAAATACCAAAGAAAAAACAAATGTTATATATCTCATCTATGAAGTTCGCATTGCCTGTATGCGCAAGTTTCAATAACAAAAAAAATGTAAACTTTTGTAAAATGTACGATTTGTACAGAGGTGTTTTGTTTCATCTAGTCAACAACAAGGGAGTGTGTTTTCACATTCGAATCAAAATGTAGTTCTTTGTCTTTTACGTTGAATGTGTTAGGTGATGATGAATGAAATATTTCACTGGTGTATATACACTTTTGCCATTTGTGTATTTACCAATTAAAATTCACATCGCACTGATTTCAACACAAACTTCACTCATTCGCTTTTAACAACTCAAACAAACATATATACATTTTGAGTTGTTGTTTGAAAATGCTTCAATTAAATACTAATTTCAAAATAATTTTATGCCACAAATTCCATGAAAGAGAAATTTTTCGTGATTAGACAATTAGAGAAGAGCAGAAAAAAATATGTATGATTTTTCGATGTACGTACATAAATAACCAACGCTAAATCGATTCGTTGGATTATTTATTGGCTGTGCTACTTTTATTCGAATACTAAATTATACATATGTATATTTTAGCTTCTTTTTTTTTGAAGAAGAATAGAGAGTTTAAAAAAATTGGCACAATACCCGCTGCGCATGTAGGCGTGAATGTGTATGATAATATTCTGAATTATTATTGAATCGCTGCGTAATGGAAAAATGTGTTGAACTGGATAAAATAACATAAAACTAGGGAAAAAAGTACTTTGAAAAAAAAACTCAGTAGACTTTTTTTTCATCCAGTCGTTACATTTTCACCTTTTTCTATTGCGTGTACTTTCGCTTGATATCAATGCAGAATTGGACGCTTTGATTGAACAATGATGAGAAGAGAGAGCGAAAGAAATAGAGAGAGAGAATCAGAGATAGAGAAAAACACAATGAAAGAGTACTCTAAGTGGTACACACTTGATGTTAAAGTGATAAAAAACATAGATGTAGATAGAGATAAAAAACTACCCAAAGTACCGGCAATCCGTGAAATATGATGCAGAAGTAATTCTCACAGACGGAAAATGTTCGAGAATAGAAAAATAGAAAAAAGAGGAAATTAAAACTGAATGACAATTGTATCAAAGTGCTTCTATCTTCGTATATTTTTTTATTGAATTCAGTCGCTCTTTTTTTTCTTTTCCACACTTCTATTGAATATTTTATGCAAAGCTAGCTTCGGGGTAGTAACTAGCTACAGAATAGTAGAACGGAGAAGAAATGTTTTACAAAGTTTGAAGTAGAAGCTTTTTACATTTATCTCTTTTTTTCCATCTTTATTTACTTGTCAGCCAAAGGATTGGAGGAATTTGTCAACGTTAAAAATACTTCAAACTCAAATCGGTCAACTGGAACCAAAATAGATTCGAATTTTCTTTTTTTTACAGCATAAATATGAAATATCTATATTGATGCATTCCAAATCGAAAAAAGTTGTCCAAAATCTATATCTGTGTTTTGTTTTTACAATTCTTGGGCTTGAGATGATCGAAACTGGTTGAAATTTGCGGAATTTTCGGTCAGAAATATTGAATTTTTCCCAAAAATGGATATCTTTTAAATTAAATTCGACTGAATAAATTTAGAAATATTTCTGCACGCCGAGCTAATTGATTTGAGTGGTACCAACTACCAATACCAACTCAATTTTAAAGAAGATACTTTGTAAGTCATAATTCTTATCTTGATTGTTTTTTAAAGCTTTGCCACACATGTCAATCATATCGTTTTTTATTTGATATGGAAATGTTTTATATTAACGTATAAAACCATTTCGACCAAAAATCGAGTCTCAAATATTATCATTCTTTTTTCAAACAGAAAAGGAGAGAAATAAAGAAAAATTAAGAGCCAACTAGGGAGATATATAGAACTTATTAGAATGCACCATTTGAAATTCTGTCTAACAACTCCTATTATTCATTACGTTAAGCAAAAGAAATCCATGGCAAAAATGTGCTATCATCAATCGTAACATAGAGTTTTGGCCACGCATATACTTAATACCTTATGCTCTCAAGTGTGCGTGTGTGTGCATTGAATCTATATACATTGGAATCGCACCTCGCAAAAAATAAAAGATGAGCACGAATGATGGAAAAAAAAGAAGCAAACAAGAAGGCAAAAAGGAAGCTACAAAAAATATGTGCGCTGCGAAAAATTGGAAAACAAAATAGAGAAAACATAATACTAGCGAAAAGTGTGTGTAGTGCTTGTATGTTTGTATTCTTATATATGTCTTTTAACCGTAGACACGAAATGCCTGAATTTCCAACTGAGTGTTTCCACTTTTTTTCTTCTCTCCTGCCACTCTCTTTCATTCTTTTTCGTATTTCTTTTTTTTTGATGTGGTACGTTTTTCTATTATTTCTCCGTTTTAGTGTAAAAATAATAGTAATAATTTGAGGGCACTGAATTCGGATTTGATTGTATATATTTCTTCCATGGTTTGAAGCGTTCGGCATGTACGTTGCTATCGTACATGCATTCGTTTGAAACATTAGCTCTTTTTATCTGTTGGCGGCTTCTTCAAACTTTCTTCTGAATAATGACAAGCTCAAGCCACATCACTTTTTCTAACAGATTCGATTAATTTTCTTTGTCACTGATCATCCGATCCAGAATCAAAGGCAACAAAATCGAGAAAGAACATTTTGATAATAAATTGGTTTGGATGAAAGTTTTGCTGTTGACATTATAATATTTCATGAAAACTCATGCAATTTTAGTCGCTCGCATCTTCTTGTCTTTGTTCCTGAGCACATAGTTTCACTTAAATTTTGTTTGTAACAATTTTCTTCTAAAAAGAAGTTTTCGGAAGCAAATATAGTTTTCATTCTGAAAATGAGCCCCAATAATAATAGCGGTGAATGATGCTTGTCTTTTTACATTTTGGTAATTAACCCAAGTTTTATTTTCGCTGACATTATAGTAATTTGATTTCAATCACACTCAATGAACTTGAAAAAAAAAACGATCCAATTAAAACTGACTTATGATTTTTTTTTATGTTTTGTTTTGAGGCGTGCAAAGAAAAAGGTGAGCCAACATACCTTTAGTAATATTTAGATTATCTTGAATTTCTTCTACTTCGCCACAACTGCTTGCGTTAACTGGATGAATTGGAAGAAAACAGGCGATGATGATGACGGCGACGGCGGTAACCGAAAGACATGTTAAGGTGCTAGATAATCTTCGCCTTCGTATCCAAAATTGATCGAATGGCGGTGGCTCCTCCATCTTTATCATCGTGCATTTGTGGCTGCTCTACTTTTATTTTCAGAACGGATCGTAGTATTTACAGCCTATTTATGCCTCGGTTGTGTTCGATTTGTATTTGATTTTTGTATAACTTTTTACTACTTTTACTTCATTTAATTCTGATATTAATTTGAAAACCAGCGCATTTTCATTTAAAAATTTAACGTAATTTTGTGAATCACTGTTATTCAAACATTTGGGTTATTATTACGATTTCGAACTGTTTTAGGTGCGGTTAATACCGTATTTCAGTTCAGAAACACAACAAAACATAAAACGAAATCAATTTTACGTGGAAATAAGGCGAGAATTCAACTAACAAAATTGTGAGAAGAGAAAAAAAAAATAATGAAAGGCTGAAGAGAAAACCGACAGAATGAAGGGATAAAAAATGAATTGTCGTCACACTACGGGATATCACTCGTAGGCATTGTTAGTTGTTCCCATTATGTGTGTGTGTGTGTTTGTACGTTTGCTGCTTGAATTTGCAGGACGTTCTGCTTTCTTTTCGTTTTCGTTTCCTCTCTTTAATCGTTAGATGTACTACGATGAAGCAAGCGTGGTGTGTACGAAATTTGTGTACCACGAATCCAAATTGAAAATTCGTGTGCTTTTCTACTTTCTCTCTCTCTCAATTTGTTTCCATTCTCGCCTTTTGTTTTCGGACACTTTGGATATTTTCCACGAATATCTTTAATTACATTTTTTTTCTATGCTATATGTTCTTTTTTCGAATGTTTCGTTTCTTTAATGTGCTCTTTCGCCAGCAATCACACACTACTGTAACATGACATAAAATACACACATTGATTCAGTTCTCTATTCACCGTACAAATGATATTTTTGAAAATCTTTAAAAATTAACTTCATTCGTATTTTGGAAAATGACGACCGACTTTCATAAAATCATTATTTGGGATTCCTTAAAATTTGAATTTGAAATTTAATTTTTAATCATTTCAAACACCACTCTCACATAATCACACGATTACTAATCATTTCTTATTATTATTTTTCTTCTATTCTTTTTACACAAGGGATGAGAAAATATTATTTTTTTTTATGGAAATTAAATTTGTTGTATATATATGTTCAATTGGTTTAGCACCAGGAACGCGAGCGAACTGAACGATTTGGATTTTTCGGCAACAAGATGTGCATGGTGCTGCGATTTATTTGCACACACATAAGCACAAATTCATTTAGAAAACTTTCACAAATTTCATTCTCTCTCGCTCTCTCCAACTCTCTTCATCTCTATATTTGGTCAAAGTATGTTTGTAACGACGCTACGAAAAACAACTACATACTCATTTTATGTATACACACACATACAATCTCGATACACATACGCGCGCGTACAAACACATGCACAAGCTCTTATGGAACGCGAAAGCTCTTGGCAGAGGGAAAAAAATCCATTTTTTTCGTGTAAGTGAATTCAGGCCGAGTTTCGTAACACACATGTCTTTCGGTTGAACAAGCAATGCATAAAAAGTTTAGATCGCCAAAGAATAAAACAAAAGCAGAAGGTAAAAAAATTAAAGATTAAATATTTTGTAATGGTAATGAAAATGTTAGATCAATTCATGAAAGAGGACAGCCTGACATTGCTTTCAAATCATTTTTCGGTTATATCGAAAACCCAGAAATTGATGTAAAATTTTTACAGTGTAATCAAACAATTGCTTGTGTCATATATATATGAGTCCTGTGCGAAGGTAAACAGCTGAACCAAGGAAATTTAACCAAAACGGCACACATCGTCGTCACCGCACACACAATTGGAAAGAAAAGCATACATATTAGTAAAAGAGAACGAGAGAGAGAGATACAGAAGTACGCAGTTACACTTTTAATTCAATCCCTGCTGCGCGTACGCACCTCATTTCATCGAATGTTTGTATGCAAGGAAAAAAAAAGCTCTCCATCTCATTAAGTCGCTTACACTGAAATGCCAAGAGATGTAGAGTATGATATTGATATCAACGAAAGAGGAAAAGAGAAATTATGCCGTGAGGTATGGGCTTTTTCATATATATTTTTTCTTCCCCAAAGAAATCATAAGTGAAACATGCATAAAAAACAATATGCTCATATGATACATCTGCCATTTGCGTTGCCATTTTAATTGACTATTTCTTCCGTCATGAGATTTGTTTTTCGATCAAACACATTTTTCTTTAAATTTAAATATAAATCGATAATTTAATCTCTTTTTTTTCGGAGCTCGTTCGAAATGTAAAAGCTTTTCGATTGACATTTGGTGACCCTGTAAAATAAATTCCAAACGTGTACCGTTTTCAAGTCAAGCAAGAATCATAAGCGCCACTGTTTCAATGCTGCAAAACCGGAGAGAGAGAGAAAATATTCGCATGAGCATAGCGATTATAGTATTTGTAGTTTAAACATAAGCACATACACACAGAGAGAATAAGTGAGAAAGAGACATACGTTCAATTGAACAAGCGCCACGCTTGGAATGTTTCTTGACGCTATTCCACATACAACCGCAGTATTTTTTTTTTGTTCTACCCAACTTTCGCTGAAATCGTACAATCTTTCGTATTTCATATGCACGGCTACTGTTTTACCCGATGTCCATGAAGAGAATGTGTGTGCCACACACAATACAACCAGAAGTGGTTAGGTGTTCGATATATACGTGTAAATGGCATGCCGAATGGAAAGCGTTGCTGCTTTGCTTTTGTTTATTGTATTTTATCCATTCTGCTTGTATACCAATATTAAGCACAGTCGAGCTTGTGTATGGGTTCACCAAGTAAAAAGCATGCGCCCTTTGACACACATTTTTATATGCTTTTTGTAGAGGACTTTACGAAACATAGAAATAGTGAAAAACGTTTTTTTTTCTTCTCTAGATTTTACATGACATTGGCAAAAAAGAGCGTCCTGTCTTTACACATGCCTTCTCATCATCAACATCAACATGAGAGTATGTACATTGTACATACTACTGGTTGTGTTGAAATGAATGTGTGGACAAAATTCGGCAATTGTGGTGTTTGCGTCACATGCACACATGTCAGGCGATGAGCTTTACTACTATCATTCGACAAAACATGGCTTTTATCGCATATAACGTAGTTATTTTTACGATGTTTTTATTACAATTTTTTTTTTTCGTTCGTACACTTCTCTCTATCCCGCTTCGCTTACTCTCCATACATTCAATTGTGGTGTAAAATAAACCATCCGTCCAACCCGAATAACCCGAAGCATAAAGCAATCATTTTAGTATGCAGCGATCATGTAATGGTGCGGCAGATGTGGGAATATCGGAAAATCCATGCAGAGAGATTATATATATGAACGAAAGAAGAGGAAGTGCAGTACGCTTGTTCACATACTCGAGATCAGAATCGAGGGAGAGACAGAAAAGAAAGTACACATACGCTCACGAAGAACATGGTCTTTGATATCTCATTTCACTACGGAATGCCATTGTTTGCACGAACCGAGTTTTATATACATAGTTTAAAAAAAAAACAATATTGGTGTTTGGCAATCGATATCATCATCATTTTGGGTCGGGAATGAAGCAAATGGAAAATTGACACATAAAAATATCGATGTTAAGATAATATGAAGTAAGAAACAATCGAAGACATTTTTCGCTCATTTCAGACATATTCAGTAGAGTACACTATTCGATGTAACACATCGACAACACAAAAAATGCGAAAAATAATAATAAAATGCGATATAATATGATTTGGCCACTTGAATCGGGAATAAATTTCAATTGGCAAAATGAGTACATGGTGTGTGGGAAGTATGTAACGTTTATCAACGAACTATAATCAAATGCACATGAATTCGACACTATCGGAATGTCCAAAAACACATGAACCCATACATATTCAACACATAAATCGCACCATATTTTATACAGTTCACCATATCGTTCCATTTAGCACGCGTGCACTTGATGTAGATCTGTCTGTCTATTATAATACATATATATCGGTATTAGTCGTTTTCGTATCCCTTCGATGTACGTTAGGAAAGGATAATATCCAAATTTAGTACGCTTTTGGCAGTGGAAAAACATATGCTATCGCATTATGTATTACAACATCCTTTACTGGATTTCAAACCGAAACGCAATGCTGTTGAGATCAAAATACCCATTTAATTGGAATGATATTTCGTTGATCTATTTGTTTTTTTCTTTCCTTTGTGATGCAGAGCACAATTTTTGTAATACACATTTTCAATTCTAATTAGAAAAGGAAGATTTTTCACTAATGACAGCGCTGATTTCAATTTACATTGTTTAAGGTAATTTTATCCACCCTCGCCGCCTGTGCGCTTCATACACACTCACCGAAATTTACATAAGAGCCCGAACAGCTTGGCCTCTAAATGTAATCGAATTCATAATGCCTCCTTGAATGCAAATATCTACTCAAGTGAAAATGTCATGTTTACTTTATTATTTACATCAGCTTAATCGAATTGCCATGAATTACCGATGTAACTAAGACCTCCTCTACTTCTCATTGATCAAGATGGTGTGTATGTGTACATATTTTTCGGTTCTTCATTTTCAATGCCGATTCACATGCAAATATCTATGCAAATTTGTTTAATCGATTAAAATAAATTTCGACTGTGTTTGTCTCACTCTCTAGCTCTCTTTCGCAGCTCTTTCTAAATGTATTTGTGTTGGAATTCGATGTTTATACGTGCGTGTTTATATTTACAGATATGAAATAAAAATCACCAGGCCAAGTGTACCTTGATACCGCTGTTCATCGATACACAGTGCACATTGAATAATGTGACTGTTTTTTTTTTCCCTTGCATATTTGTTATTATTTATAAATATTTTCTTTTTTTTGCCAAGCGATGGTCTCCAAAATTGAAAATCAGTTCAAACGTTCATCGTACCGGATGGATAATAAAGCATTCTCCAGCAATTGCCAACATATAAATATGCTATATTTAATCACAAAGCACACTCAATACGCGCGCTACAGAACATTGCTATTATAGCTGAGAGAGCAGATTATTTGAATATATATTCACACACAGACACAGGCACACTTTATATTGGCATAGAGGTGAATAAATGTGGAGCTCATTGATGAAAATAGTATACACAATGCTATAAAATTCATGGCGCACTCACCATTGTAACGAAGTGCATTAAAAAGACCTACAAACTGAATAATTTATTTTTAAGTGGTCTTTACCCACCGCACTTGTACTACAGACCAATTAAAATTATATAGTTTAAGTTTTTTTTTTATTCAGCTCACACTCTATGTCTCGGTCTCTCCGTGGGTGAGAATAATTTAATAATCAAATATTATTTTAAACATTAAATAGATGGCATGGAACAAAAATTACCACATAAAATCAAGATAGAAATAAAATACGAAAACAAAGCTTGGATATCGATTTGTGGCTTCGTTATTTCTGCATTCTGGATACAATTATCGGATCAATTACATTGCACGGTTTCGTATCATGTTACACGACACTAACAAATAGAACAAAAGTAAGACAACACGACTGCATTATTGCGTGAATTTGCAGAAAAAGATACCATGATATACACATAATTGCTTAAAACAAATACTTAATAATGAGACATTTTTGACATGGCATGGAACGAAAGTTTGTCGTTTAATTTGATCAATAAAAAAAAGTCGCTCAATTTAAATTGTTTTAATGTTTCAAATAATAATAATAATAAGCAATGTATGCTTTTCATCGATTCCTCTTCATACTTTATTTTTTTCAGAAACACAAAAAAAATACAATATACAAAAAGTCATACATTCATATTCGTCTTCTTGGACATTTATTTTCTAATGAATCTTGTTCACTCCGAATTTCCACCAAGCGCGTTCTTTCTTTCAAAATTTCGGTACATCGTATACGTTTGGATAATCAAAATTGGATATGCTATCACAATGCACTGTCATATTGTGATCGAGGCTGGTTGCCGATTGATAGCGGTTATTTGTTTTCATAATTGCGCCAACCATCACGAATAGTAAGAGTACGAATAAAAAGCAAACAACGGACAGAGCTTCGGCCCATGAAAAGTTTGTTGTGTCTTCAAAATATAAAAATTCGCCGCCAAAAATACATCGTGCACCCGTCGCGTCCGTTAAATTCGGATGATTGCTATTTTCATCGAACGGTAATTCAAGTTGTTTCCAGCCAATCGAACGAAATAGTTTCGCCAAATAGCAACAGTCAAATTTGTTATCGGGAATGCCATGAATTTTCAACGCTGGAAATTGTTCGCTTGTAAATCCATCCAGTTCGGTTAATTGGTTTCCTTCAATCAACAACCCTTTCAAATGATCGAATCGAGGTAGAAAAATGCCACTGTCCAACATTCGAACGTCCAAGATTTTTAAATGATTGTGAGATAGGTCAAGAATTTCCAAATTTTCCAAACGACAAAATGTTTTCGATTTGATTGTTGACAATTGTGTATGTGATAGATTCAAATATTTCAACTTTACGAGCGATGTGAATGTTTCGGTACTTAGTTTTTCAATGGGATTGAATGATAAATCTAAAACTTCCAAATGCGTTAAATTATCAAACGTATGCTCGTTCAGATCGTGGATGCTGTTGTTCGATAGATTCAAATGCTTCAAATTCAGCAAATAGTCGAAAAGCATCTTGTCCAACGTTGCTATGTTATTTTGGGCCAAATTCAATTTTTCCAATTTTAATTCACCGGTAAAAGTAAACGAATCCATTCGATGGATTTGATTGAACGAAAAATCAGCGACACGTAATTTTCCAGCATTTAAAAACAAAAACGATGGTAATTCGATGAGTTTATTGTGTGACACATCTAAATTTGTTAAATTCTTTGCTTCATTAAAAAATTGCTTTTGTAGATGCTCGAGTCCAAGATACGTCGCATTGAGATTGGTGAGATTTTTGTATACTTCAAAAATTCCATATCCAATATTCGTTAATGAACAATTTTCAAAGTTTATTTGAATAATTTGACTTTTTACAAATCCCGAACTTTTTGAACATCTCGAAGTCGGCGAATCACCAAAGAGATCCGTTTGACGAAAACTATTCACACAAACCAAGTTCAACGTATTTCCATCGTCATGGCGTAGACTTGAGTCAACACTTGTATTTGATGTCAAATAACATTCGCCGATATACGCGTTCAACACTTCTGTTGAAACAACAGACACGAAAAGTATTACGGAAACGAACAACAATTTCATCGTAACAAATGAATCTCGTATGACCAATTTACTCTAAATTTACGTCCAGACTGAGTGTCGAATTTGGATTGCAATTTTCTGACCAGCATTATGAATCATGTAGTGAGTGTTTGGTAAATTATTGTGCCATTTTTTATCGTTTTAGTTTATTACAAAATAATTAAACATGTAAACATCAACGTTCGCAAGTGTGTTTACGCGTTTTGTATGAAAATATTTTCGATACACTGGAATGTTGAGAAAAAAAAACGAAAACATTTGCAAATGTATGATTGAGACCGGCAGCAACAAAATGTAGGTAAGTAGTTGTGTATACCATGGAAAATGTATCTGAATACATAAATATTGTTTTTGAAGACATTAAATTTAGCAACATTTTTTTTATGCAATGATCAATATGCTTCCAAAAATACCACAAATTACTTTTAGTTGGGAGAAGATATTTAATTTGGGTAGCATTTTCAGTTTCATTTTATTTCATCTTTTGCCGGTTGACGGATTTTCGACATTTGCACAAGAATATTGGCAAGACATATTATAGTGAATGAATATATAAATTCATCTAACAACTATTTTCTTCATCATTGAATTTCCTCGAATAAATGTCACAATTGGCTGCGTCATCTTTCCTGAATAGTCGATACATTATGTGATACCGATGTTTTTAATTTAGAATTCAAAAAACAACTATTAATATTTATATTCGAATCTGTTTGATGATTTTATGTACCAACAACCGAACATTACACACAACCGAACATTTGGATGGCGTGCGCGGCATTGGCTTCGAATTTTTCCGAAACGGCTCGACCTGAATAGCTGTCAAACTTCTTTGACAGAAGAAACGTAGTAAAAGAAAAATTGAAATAATTCCATAGCAGTGTAACAATACCAAAAACAAATAAAATACGGTTGATTCAGATTTTTTCCATTCGCAAAATTTTGTTTATCACTGACATACGACAAAAATGGCCATTATGATTTTAAAAGAAATGTTTAGCTAATTAAAAATAATCGAGAGCAGTTACATTTTATCTTTATTTTTTTTAAAAAGTTTTGACCTATAAAAAATCGATTTTATGCAGTATATAATAACAAAAAATGGTTCGAAAAAATCAACAACAAAAGAACGCTGAACATCAGAACTTATCTAATCGCTCCGATAAATCCGATAATGAAGAAAGCAATGATGAACTGAAATGTAAATATTGTGATGTGGTTTCGGTCACTGTCGACGAAAAACAACAACATGAGGAAGGATGCGAATCAAAGGCCACCGCAAATGTTTTCATCACATCAGATGGAAAACTACGATTTTTGTGTTCGGTTAGTATATAAAATGTCTTGAAATTTACGAACAAAATTTGAAAATTCTCTTTGTAAGTGAAAACCAATTTTTAAAAAAATAATTCGTCGATATTCAAAATTTGAATTTTCTCTTCAATAGGTGTGCAATCAATTGTTTAAGTATCAAACTGGGCTGAAAAAACATGAACTACGACATAAGCCGCCGGGAGGCTTCAATTGTTCTGAATGTTCCGAACGTTTCATAACCGACGCTGAGCGATCCATACACAAGGAAATCGTTCATAAGGTAAGAATTATGTTAGTTTTTTTATTCGAATCATCAACATGAATCGTTTTTGAATTGATATTTTCCAATTGAAAATCTTTTCTTTTTCTAGATATTCAAGTGCCTCATTTGCAATGCCAAATGTTCATCGGAAGAAGAATTCTTAAAGCACATCAATGACTTACACGAAGGAAGAGATAGAGAATATGTCACTTGTGGAGATTGTGGCGCTCAATTTCGGCAGAAGAATCAGCTAAGGTAGACACATTTACGAATTAAATATCAAAAATATCCTGTTGCAACAGAAATTTCATGAATAATCCATTTTCTATATTAAAACAGACTACATATTGAGTCAAAATGTGGTACAGTTCGATGTTATACATGCAAGCAATGCAATTCGAAATTTATGACACAAAACACACTAAACGCCCACATGCTCATTCACTTGGGCGACAAGAAGCATCTCTGCAATTTCTGTGGTAATAGTTTCTTGAGCCGAGGTCAACTGAAGATACACGAACGATCACATACGAAAGAGAAGCCATATTCGTGTAAAGTTTGTAATAAGTCCTTTGCACATCGTGAAAGTCTAGTAACTCATTCATCGTTGCACACTGGAATCAAGCCGTAATTTCATTAAAAATCAATTCATCTTAATAAAAAAATTAATGATCTTTTTTGTTTATAGTTATCAATGTCAGTGTTGTGGTTCACAGTTCTCATGTATTGGCAATTTGATAAAACATCGTCGAGTTCGTCCTGAAACTTGCGGGTAAGTACGAAAAAAATCAAAACGTGAAAAACAAATAATTTATATTGTGCTAACCGTTCACAGGCTACCTCAGTACACCAATGTGAAATGTGCCCCTCGTGCATCCACCAAAGGTACCCGTTTTTTTTCATTTATTATAATTTATGGTTTTATCGATTTCTTCCTTTTTAGTTCCGGGAAGTTTGACCTTGAAAAAAGAGAGTCCAGTAAAACGAGCCTATGCAAAGCGTAAAATTGTAAGCGTGCCTGAATTGTTATCCGTGCGTGCCGAATTAACTAGTCAAACTGTACAACCAAAAGTCGAACCGATCGATGACCAACATGAATTCGATGAGTTTTTAATCTTGAATAAACCCGAATCGAGAGAAATTGACGAATCGAATAATTTTGTAAAAAGCGAAATGAATGAGTCAATTGAAAATGATCCATCGTCTGGATGCATTGAAATAATTGATCAAAGCATACTGAATTCACCGTTGGCCACAGAAAATAGTAGCATATCATATAATATTGCCAAGAGTAGTGTTTTGGTGCTCACGGCTGATGGTAATTATATGATTGCAAATTTGGAAGATGATAAAAAGCCCATCGAATTAAAAGTATCACAACCACCACAAGTCGAACAAGTCTTTATTTTGAATAGCAACGACATACAATTCACCGAAATGGAAGTTGACGTTGACTGCCCAGGCACCGTACCGAGTGTGAATGACAAAAGGTTTGACACTCGGTTTTGTTTTCTCCTCATACAATTATTTCATTTTTCTGTGTATTTATAGGAATGTTCATATTCTGCAAAATGCAATATTGAGAAAGAGTCCGATGTCGGCTGCCGATGATAGTCAGAGTGTCGAGATTCTGGGTGAACAACATCTTGAAAGTGATATTCAACATTTGGAAATCGTACCAGCTGACGAATCAATTAATACAACCGACTCGAGGTAAGAATATAGAAATGACATGTTTTGACTAAATTTAACAACAAAAAAAAACGACATTTTTCCATCAGCATCAAAATTGGTGATTCACAAGTCATCGAAGTGTTTGTATGTGAAATATGCCCAAAACAATTCAAACAAGAAAAATCTCTGCTGAAACATTTGGGTACGAAGCACAACATTGAAGTGTGTGATTATACGAAAAAGGAGTCGTTCAAATGCAAATATTGTGATAAACAATATTTAACCGAGAGTCTATTGAATAAACACGTCGTTTGCCATGGTAAGTTGGAATGCACTTCAATAGAAATTTGAAAAAAAAAAAAAACAGTTTATACTATAACATCGTCTCTGCTTGACACAGGTGCAAATGGTGAACTTATCCACAAGTGTTCTTGCTGTACGTCATACTTCGAGACAAAGGAAAAAATGCAAGAGCATGCTCAAAAAGAGCACGAAGACCGTTTGAAATGTAATTATTGCAATAAGATATACAAGGACGTCGATTGCAAAGCAGCACACATACGACGTACGCACACAAAAACTGGTGCACCACAAAAAAAATATACATTTGTTTGTTCAAAATGTGGCAAGAAATTTAATTCAAAAGTTGCTTTATCCGATCATGAACAAGGCGATTGTGGCCAATCACCAATTTATAAATGTGATTATGAAGGGTGTGGAAAGTCTCTGCACAGTATGGGATCATTGAAAATTCATCAGATGATTCATACGGGCGATTTACCGTTTTCATGCAATTTTTGTAAGAAACAATTTCGCACTCAGGTACTTCCTTTTCTCATCTCTTTTAAAAATGAAAATATATGGTTTTATTCACAATGAAAAAATCACAAAGATGCTAATATACCTTTAACTTCCTCAGGGCCAAGTCAAAGTCCATGAACGTAGTCATAGCGGTGAAAAGCCATTCAAGTGCAATCAATGTTCGAAAGCATTTGCACATCGTGAAAGTTTACTAACACATTCATCGCTGCATAGCGGCCATAAGCGTTTCGGATGTCATGGATGCGGTGCTCGATTTTCATGCATCACCAATCTTCAAGCGCACCGTCGAACCCACCAAGATACCTGCGGACAATTGCCATTGGATACAAAAGCGCAATACTCTTATATTATAGACAATGGCACTGTCATTGCAGATCCAGAAAAAAACGCCCCATCAAATCCATCTATCTAATACATACTAATAAGTAAATGTAAATCTCGTTTGTATATATCGTAAAGTTTTTTTTTTAATGAATATTTAGTTAAACGACTGAAATAAAATAAGATAAAAATTGAAATTCAATTGAATTTTAATCGTTTAATTTCGTCCATTTTGAAATCAATGCGCAAAGCTAATATTGCTCGAACCTCCGAAGCTGTTAAACGCCATGCCGTTCGATCTTCTTGTTCGTTTGGATTCCAATATTCTTGCACCTCTGACAACTGTAAATAGTAAATTGCCATATTTCAAATTTCGCATTAATGGTCAAAACAAAAAAAAAAGCCGTACCGTTTCCAAATTCAACAGCGTTGCGATTTGAGTCAATCGAATCATTTTATCACGAACTGACCATGAGGTGGCAGCTGTTAAATAAGATCCCAATGCTCGAACTTCTTGATCCAAAACCAGGCCGCCAAGACGATTGAATGATGATTTCTTAATGGCGCGTTCCAAACGTGCCGTAGCATCGCTGGCCACAATACTTACTAAAGCATCGTAATTTCTGCTGTTCATTACATTCTGAAATGATTTCAGCAACGTGTCCAAATGATGAATGAGCGAATGTGTAAACGTTTCGCCAGCCTCATAATTAGCTAGCTCTTCTTCGTTTAATGTGTGACTCAATGAAATGAATTGATCGATCCAGGTATGAATTCGCGGTTTGAGAGCCGTCGACCGCAATTGTTGCAATCCAAAATCAACAACCGCTTTCAAAGTATCACGAACGGATTTGAGTAATCCCAAGCAGCTTTCGACTAGACCCCATTCTTTTGGTTTTATCCGTGGAAAGGCACATTTTATATCTTCGCCGATGCTATTTGTTAGCGTCTCAATGAATTCCGTTGACATGTCGGCATTGTTTAATTGAACAATAAAATTGGCCCGTGATTGTTCGTTGTCGTTTGTCTGTAGTTTTCCTTGTTGAATGGACGATTGGAATGCATTGTATGCTTGTGCCAAATCAATGTATCCGGAGGGATAGCCATTTTTAAGTGGTGTTTTTAAAGCTGACACAAAGTCTTGTTCAAGCGATGAGGCTGCATTGTTTATGACCGCACACACTCCATCTATTGACTGAGTTTCGATTGCACGTCTAATCGGGGAGTTCAAGGGAAAGCGAATGATAAATCAGTTTTTTGGGGAGTTTAAAAATCAGTTTTTTCTGGTAAAAAGTTTCATCAAACATACCTGATTGATTTCCGGATGATGAAACATACATCGTCCACAACATTTGAACACTTTTGTCCAGCTTCGAAGGTGTCGAGTGCAATGGCCTTAAAAATACTTTCTTCCATGAAGTATCTGTATTTAACAAAATTAGCATATGTTCGGGTTAAGCATTAGGTAATATTTATGATCGTATCGTTCCCAATGAAACTTACCGCTCAAACAGCAAATAAATTCCAAGTAGCTCTTGCATTTGAACGCTCAAAATCGACTTTGATAAGATTTGATCGAATGTTTTCAAATTATTTTCCACAAATTCGGTTGCTTCAGCGGTGTCCAGTGTTTTATCGACATCGTTCTGTGGATTTTATCTTAGATCAAGTATCCATTTGAAAATAACACACCCAGAGAAAACCATTCAACACTTACCGCAATTCTCCTTCGCATGAATTTAATATAAAGTTCTGCTCTGGCGTGCATTATTGTAATTTCTACCAAAAGTCCATCGATATCTTTCGGATTTAATTTGTCAACTGAACTGCCAGATGGTTTGCGAAAATGTCCCAAACCCTGTTGGCCGCTTGACTTTTGATAGTCGTTGATCTTTTGCATATGCCGTTGAATGTGGCGATTCTTATGGAAATCGGCAATTGTTTTCTTCACTTCGCTATCGCATTCTCTCTGAAGTATACGGAACAAGTCAATCAAATAGCCATGTCCATAATAGTTCTCGATGATTGGCTGATTGATTTCCATCACACGAGCAAAATTTTCAAATAATAATGTTAAAACGTCTGCATACGCGACAGCAACACGATTGTCCGCTTTTGCCATATCCAATGAGTTTCTCAACTCTTTTTGTGATTTCTTTTCCAATTTAGCACAAATATAACCGGCAAACTTTTCAATGCCTTCCTGATGTTTGCCCAGCAATGGGAAAATCTTGAAGAATCGTTCAACCGACGCCAAATCATCTTTGGCAACAGCTTCATCAAATTTTGTATTGATAATTAACCGTAGTTTTGACGTTGCTTCGGTTAGTGTATTGAAAGCTTGATTTACTGACGTTATCGATCCGGACATATCGTCAGCCGTACGTTGCAATAGTTTTTCGTCCATCGATAGAAAACGATTTATATGACCGGCACCTTTTTCAAAATCTTCCGATTTAATGGCAGCAATGACACCTTGTGAACACACTTGCAAATCAATCAAATCATGCACACGTTGTTGACACTCGGAAACACGTTTCTAAAATGGAACATTTTCTACAGTTGGTGCTCAATTATTCGAATATAATTTCAAAATTAACTTACTCGTGCCTCGTCCAATCGACGTACTTTCGCACTAACATTTTCTGCCAGTGTGGATGTATTCTCAATCATTGAGTTAACTTTGTTTGCTTCATCGCTTGCAACATTCAAACTGGCCAGCGAACGGCCGATGTTATTCATTTGACGTTCGATTTTACTTTGCTGACCCAACAATTCTTCCAATCGGACATTTACACCGTTCTGTGGTTTGAGAAGAATTTTTGTTTACTATAGATTTTGTCATGTTTTATGACCTCATTCAATTCGGTGATACTTACGTTTAGGTTTTTAATTTTCTCACATATTGCCGCAATCCCTTCCTCGGTGTATAGATCCTCATCATCGTATATGGTGTCGATAATATTCATATTTTTTCTCTGATTTCTCAAAAAAAAAAACTTATTTACAATACTCGGCATAAGCCACTAAATATACATTGACTGAAAGAAAAATTGACACGCATTACATTCGGTATGACACAATACATAGACAATTCGAACTGTCAAAATGTAGCTGAAAACGCGTTAAATGCCCAGACACATATATCAAAAGGGAGCACACATAAAAAAACACACTCACATACTCACACGCTCAAGTCGCAGTCAAAATTAAAATAAATGAACAAATATCATTAGAGAATTCACTTTGCGTCCAAAATATAAACAGCATTTTCATTTTTATTAAAAATTGTGTGAATATTGAACGTATTAGCCTAGACTTTTTTAACAAAACATTTTTATCCAATTATAATTCATTAAAGGTCTTCTGAAAACGCGTTTAATTCAGTATATTCAGTGCTCAAAATAAAATACATTGTCTATCAACTGGTTTATTTCGTCGCCATTTTTTTTCTTCAAATAAGCGTCTTTTTGTGAAATTGTTTTTTTTTTGTGCTCTCAAAACAAAATTATGGCAAGCAGTCAAGATAGTGGTGGATCGGTTCAAGGTCATAGTTCTGGTCAAAGCTCCAGCGGCATTGCATCAGAAACACCAACACGTAAAAAACGATCGTCTGCCATCATTTTGCAATCGCCAACTGGTGTCGCAATAAATAATATGAATCATGGGATTTCGGAGATCTCAACCAAAGCCACTGAAGCTATAGCGTAAGTAACACAGCTTGTATGTTAAGTAAAATTTCGATTTAATTTCCGGTGCTATAATCTTTCTCTGCAGAGCTGGTGATGTGAAGAAAACGCAAGAGGTCATCGATGTCATTGAAATATACAAGGCAAATATAACCACTGCACGGTATAGAATAATATTAAAACCGTTGCTTATATATTATTTTTTAATTATTTTCGTTTTTTTTTTTCATTCCAGTGAATTTCTGTGTTCAAAAATTCAAAGAATCGAAGCATTACCTGATAATACAACGCCAACGCATGATATTTCTGGTCAAGGAACGAGCTCTGTAAGTAGAATGTCAACATGTTCGCCTTGCAAACGGCCAAAGACATCAGATTCATTTAATGATTGGTCCAGAAAACTGTTGAATATTACTTCGACATTGCAAACAGAAGCCCTAACGTGAGTTACACTACTTCAAAACTCAGAAAATCATATACGCTTATGTTATTTTTTATTGCAGATGCGAAAAATTATCAAATTTAAAACGATTATTGGTTGCTGCTAAAATGGCCGTTAAACTTTTAACCCAACTACGGTATGAAATGACAATGATAATTACCTATTGCGTTACATAGGTTCCATTTTATTAACTACTTCCTTTATCTTTTTATTCCAGTGATGATCTGAAGAAGGAAATTGAACAGCCAGAATATCGTAACCAAAACACAAGTGGGCCTTCATCATCATCTCATTCAAGTGATGACAGCGAACCATGGTCTACAAAGCATCCATTTTACGAAGAGTTTGTCGCTGTAGCGAAAAAAATTAATAAACCACGTGCCTTGCGAAAGATTCTGTCAGAGTTAGAAGCATTTGAAAAGGAAATAAGTGGTCAAAATAACGCCGAATGAACAAATACCGTTGTAAAATTGCTTCCAAAATATAAACGGCATTTTTATTTTATACAGCCGATTTGAATTTCATTTGTATTAAAAATTGTGTGCATATCTTCTTAGATTAAATGTATATTAACTATATTGTTTTTCTCTATTAATCCGAAGCATGCTTCAAGCCATTTATTTTTTTTTAACAGAATATTTTTATGCAATTATAATTTAATATGGGATTTATTTCGCAATCTATCTACTTTATGGGCGAGATTCCCTTTTTTGTAGGTGATACATAGACAATTCGAACTGTCAAAATGTAGCTGAAAACGCGTTAAATCCCCAGACACATATGTCAAAAGGGAGCACACATAAACAAACACACTCACACACTCACACGCTCAAGACGCAGTCAAAATTAAAATAAATGAACAAATATCATTAGAGAATTCACTTTGCGTCCAAAATATAAACAGTATTTTCATTTAATATAGCCGATTTTCATTTTTATTAAAAATTGTGTGAATATTGAACGTATTAGCCTAGACTTTTGTAACAGAACATTTTTATCCAATTATAATTCATTAAAGGTCTTCTGAAAACGCGTTTAATTCAGTATATTCAGTGCTCAAAATAAAATACATTGTCTATCAACTGGTTTATTTCGTCGCCATTTTTTTTTCTTCAAATAAGCGTCTTTTTGTGAAATTGTTTTTTTTTTGTGCTCTCAAAACAAAATTATGGCAAGCAGTCAAGATAGTGGTGGATCGGTTCAAGATCATAGTTCTGGTCAAGGCTCCAGCGGCATTGCATCAGGAACACCAACACGTAAAAAACGATCGTCTGCCATCATTTTGCAATCGCCAACTGGTGTCGCAATAAATAATATGTATCATGGGATTTCGGAGATCTCAACCAAAGCCACTGAAGCTATAGCGTAAGTAACACAGCTTGTATGTTAAGTAAAATTTCGATTTAATTTACGGTGCTATAATCTTTCTCTGCAGAGCTGGTGATGTGAAGAAAACGCAAGAGGTCATCGATGTCATTGAAATATACATGGCAAATATAACCACTACACGGTATAGAATAATATTAAAACCTTTGCTTATATATTATTTTTTAATTATTTTCGTTTTTTTTTTTCATTCCAGTAAATTTCTGTGTTCAAAAATTCAAAGAATCGAAGCATTACCTGATAATACAACGCCAACGCATGATATTTCTGGTCAAGGAACGAGCTCTGTAAGTAGAATGTCAACATGTTCGCCTTGCAAACGGCCAAAGACATCAGATTCATTTAATGATTGGTCCAGAAAAGTGTTGAATATTACTTCGACATTGCAAACAGAAGCCCTAACGTGAGTTACACTACTTCAAAACTCAGAAAATCATATACGCTTATGTTATTTTTTATTGCAGATGCGAAAAATTATCAAATTTGAAACGATTATTGGTTGCTGCTAAAATGGCCGTTGAAGATTTAACCCATAAACTGTATGAAATGATAATTACCTATTGCGTTACATAGGTTCCATTTTATTAACTACTTCCTTTATCTTTTTATTCCAGTGATGATCTGAAGAAGGAAATTGAACAGCCAGAATATCGTAACCAAAACACAAGTGGGCCTTCATCATCATCTCATTCAAGTGATGACAGCGAACCATGGTCTACAAAGCATCCATTTTACGAAGAGTTTGTCGCTCTAGCGAAACAAATTAATAAACCACGTGCCTTGCGAAAGCTTCTGTCAAAGTTAGAAGCGCTTGAAAAAGAAATAAAAGGTCAAAATAACGCCGAATGAACAAATACCGATGTAAAATTGCTTCCAAAATATAAACGGCATTTTTATTTTATACAGCCGATTTGAATTTCATTTGTATTAAAAATTGTGTGCATATCTTCTTAGATTAAATGTATATTAACTATATTGTTTTTCTCTATTAATCCGAAGCATGCTTCAAGCCATTTATTTTTTTAACAGAATATTTTTATGCAATTATAATTTAATATGGGATTTATTTCGCAATCTATCTACTTTATGGGCGAGATTCCCTTTTTGTAGGTGTAGCAGCAGCAGAATGAAACAGTGAACATTGTACTCTTCTCTCTCTCTCTCCTTCTCTCTCTCTCTCTCCTTCTCTCTCTCTCTATCTTTCTTCCTTCTTCTACAGAGAGACCGGATTATTTGTTTCGCTGTGAACAGAAGGAATAATTATGATGGAAAGAATTGTGAGTGACTTGAACTCGGTACGGGAATATCATCTGACACTTGTGCACGACTACTGGAAGACATTTCTCCTCCATTAAGGCTGGATGGTGAAAATACTGCTGACGAATTGTTGTCAAGAAGATGTGATAGATTTTTTATTTCATTCACAGATCGCAAGCTCCATGACATGCCTTCGCTCGATGCCAATGACATAGACAGAGGTGATGCATGATCTAATGAACCGACGGTGTCTGAAAGGAAACCAATGAATGAATTCATACGTAAAAAATGCAAGCAACATCTTTCATTACCTGTCTTATCTGGTTCGGAGGTAACATTCGATCGAAGTTTGCTGGGATCCAGCAGTGATTCTTCCATTCGAAAAATGATAGCCTTTTGTGCGGCATATTTTGCTTCGACTGCTTTCAATTTCTCCTCATATTCCTCTTTCGTTGTTTTAACGGAACGTTTTAGTTCGGAAATCACACTTTTCTGTTGCGACAATTGTGATTCACAGCTTTGTACACGCTCTTTCGTTGCGTCCAATTGCGATGATTTAATCGCCAGTTCCGATTTCAACTCTTTAACTTCATCCATGCATGCACTTTTGATGTTATTGATTTCATTTTCGCGTCCACGCAAATTTTCCAATTCAATTAATTTTTCACCACATTTTAATTTCATTTCGCCCATAAGCACTTCACGCGACTGTAATCGTTGTAGTTCCTCTTTGTATTTGGCACCAACATCGGCTTGGTATTGACATTCTCGCAGTAAATTCTTTAAATCAAATATTTCAGCCCGTGCCGTTTCAACCATACCCGCATATTTATTTTTCTCTTCAATTTCTTCGGCCAATTGACGATCCCACGATTTAATATTTTGCTGTAATTTCATTTTTTGCTCGAAATTCACTTGTAATTCTTCGCGCAATGCAATACATTCGGTGGACAATTTGTGTTCGGTTGAATTTTGTATCAATTTTGCTTCGTTCATATTTTTTATCAATGCACTGTGCTCACGCGATAAATTTTCCAATTGAGACCGTAACTTTTCGACTTCCGTTTTAAGTATTGCATTGTCACGACTACGGCCTAATAATCGCCGATTTCGTCCCGCATAGACTTCACGTCGATATCGTTCGTATTGCAATTGCAAATAGAGCAATTGCAATTCCATGTCGGCACGAGTGTTTGGCTCATGGGTCGCATGACGTTTTATTGTTGTTTCCACATATTGATCCAATAGACCGCCTGATGCTATCGGCATCGTAATATCGGTTTGTGTTTCTTGTGTGGTTCGATCACCACTGCCACTATTTTCTACTTGTTGGTCGCCAACAGCAGTCTTTGTCTCCCGTTCATTCGCCGTATTCTTCGACAATTTCTTTGACTTTTGATCAAAATCATAAAAATTCAATGTAAATTCATCGTTCCCTTGACCAAAATTCTCTTCCATACTTTTCGTTTCATGGCATTTCATTAAATTTGATCGATCACGAATATCTTTATCGGCATTTGGTTGGCTTTCAGTCATTTTACTCATTTTAAGTTTATTTATTTCGGTCACTTCTTCGTCTTCTTTGCTTGAATCGACATCGTTATGGTCGCTCAACGGATTCTGAATTTCAATATCATTGTATGTTTGTACGGTTGACCGATGCTTTTCTTCATTTCGATCAATCATCATTTTCAGAAATTTTTCGCTTGTTGTCGTCGTAACGCAATCAAATCGAAAATGATCGTCTCGTTTTAACGGTGATGATGGTTGCGATGAATTACCTAAGGGGAGAATCACAAAAGAAAAGAATTAATTGGAAATAATCGATAAGTAATCGACAAATAATCGAAAAATAATCGAAATAATCGAAAATAATCGAAAATAATCGAAATAATCGAAAATAATCGCAATAATCGAAAAAGAATCAATAACAATTATTAAATAATAGAAAGGTAATTTTTAAGTGAATTGCCCCTAGGAATTACCCCATATCGTACGTGCTGCATTTGAATTGACTGGAAATGGTCGATGTGGCTTTGTAAAATCTCTTAATGGTGTTGTCTCCGGTGTGGCTGTATGAATTTAAAACAAACAATTTTTTTAGCAAATTGTGCAAAATCTTCATATGCAAAAAAGCTTACCTTCAACCGCCGCTTCTGGCGGTGATGCGCCACTGCTCGTATACTGCACGCTGCCCGGTATCGATTGAATGTTATAATTTTGCGACATATTCGGTGTTGGTGTATGTGTAATGGCCATTGTATTTGTTGGTGGTGGTGTTGCCAAAACTGCACTGCTTGGCGACCAAATATTATCCCATTTATTCAAATTGCGTACCTTTTTTGTGTCAGTCATTGATTGAATCGGTGCAAATGTGTGTTTAAATCGGTCGTTGGCTAGAATTTGATTGGGCACCGCCACTCGGCCATACCATGGTGTTTCGTTGTGCTCTTGATCGCATTCTTGACCTCTTACCGAAATATCCAAAGCGAATTTCTCGCATTCCTGTACAATATCGTGTGGTTCCATCTCTTTCCATCGCGCTTGATTTTTCTCCAGTTCAACATTTGAAAACAATAGCATCGGATGAACTCGTGTATTTTTAATTAATGGTTCAATCACTTTCATCGTATTTTCATTCATGTGATCACGTAAATATGCCCAAAAATTACACGGATACATGCCGTACAGCCGTTGAAATAGCCTCTCAATGCCATTTTGTAGATAAACCGGTTGATTTCCAATCAATTCGGGATTATTATTTGCCTTCCATCTGGCCAATAGCAAAAATATTGTAAACAAATCTTGCAGGTAATCGTTCATCAAGGCTGGAATCAACGGCAACAATATTACAATACAGAATATACCGTGCAGCGTTGTGTTTATATTTCGTTCGGATTTAATAATGTTTAACATTTCACGAAATAGCCGGTGATGGACCACTCTGTATAGCCACGATGGATGCTTTTGTACAATTGATGAAAATAACTTGAATGCCTGAATTCGCTTTTCGCTGGTATTTATCCATTCGGATAGTTTGTCAAAGATGTATGTGTCATGTGATAGTGGTACTTTGACTAAAATTTCAACAATTTTACTTGAATTTTGCGTGGCAAAATATTCCATCATACCGTAGACCAGCCAATTCTCTTTTATTTGGCCAAGCGATTTGATGAGCTCATTTTTTGACTCTTCCACCAGCGTTGGATTATTTGATTCGAGATTTTTAAACAGCTCGCTCATTTTATTCGATATTTCGCTACAGTTTGAATGATTTTCATTTGTCCGTGTCCAAAATGTTTGACGAAAAACTTTTCCACACAAAAAATACGATCACAAAGAGCACACAGAATTCAATACTGCACACAATAAAAAAAAAACTAATTCTGTCAAAAATGGAACCCATACGCGATGTGTCAATAATACGTAATGTCAAAATAAATATATTAGTACTGTCAAAACAACCTGACATTGATTATAGTTTGCACGTTGTTTTGTTTACTTGATTCGGTGTCTTTTTCGGCGAATTATCGATATTATTTGAAATTTGAATATGGATCCAGATCAAAATCAACGGAGCAATGTAAACTTTTTGATAAAAGCCGCTAGTCTTTTGCCGAACGCGAATTTTGCACACAAACTTCTTAAATCGTATTATTTGTAAGATTTTTTTGTTTTACTTTACTTTCTCCAACCAATACATTGACATAATAATTGTTTTATTTGCAGAACAAAGTGTAAAAAATTGGTACATTCGAATCCAAATCAATCAAAAACGCAACTAAATGAAGAGGAAATGTGCCGTAAATGCTCATCACCATGGTGGGATACGAATTATTCATTATCAATTGCACCAGTCAAAGTGACAAAGCGAAAGGCACAAAAATTGCAGAAGCAAATCGATGATAAATCAAAACGAAAGGGACCGTTGGCCAAAAAATTGTCGAAAAAATTGAACAACATCGTGGTATGCCATTTCATGTCACGTAGAAAAGTCGATTTTTGTTAAATATCATTTTCAAATACATTTTCCAGACTATAAAGTGTGATCTATGCAAGAACAAGAATAAGGTTATATTGTACAAGAAGTCAGTGTTGGAATCGAAACTTCAAAAATCAGAGACAACGCAGACAAAGCGACAAAGTGAATTGATAGTAACACCACAGCAGCCGTCATCATCAAAGAAGAAACGAAAGAAGGACAAAAACGCTGGATTGCTCTATACATTGAAAAAAGATGAGGGAAAGACGGCTAAGAAGATAATCAATCTCTGTGAACAAACTCAGACACTGAACATTCAGAAAAAATCCGTTGTTGCTGCGGCACATACGAATCAACCGAATAAAAATTCACAGAAAAATGGCCATCACACTGGAAACAAAAACTCCAATCAAAAAGGAAAAGGCCCAAAGGTGAAATCGAAGAAGAATATTTCACAACCTCCACCAAAGCGTAACAATCTATTGCTGTTGGCCAATGCTCTCAAAGCAAAGAGTACATCAACGCCCAATTCACATACAGATAAATTAAAACAATTGTTACGATAATGAATAAACATTTTAATTTCTTGAAAATATAAATTTTCGATCATTTGTTACTCATTACATACTAGTTGAACGTACAAACGATAATTATCAATTCTTTGACAAAAATTGTCTATTTGACCAACCCTTACATTGACATTTGATGTCAAAACAGATGTATCAATATCGTTTACATCGCTTTATCATTCGGTACATAACCTAAAACATATGTAGTTCGACGCACCTACCAAACAAATAATAATTAGAGAGTTTTTTCATTCAAAGAATAAAGTAAGTTTAATTTTGAATAAGAGAAATCAGAAAGTGGTTTGGATTGAATTTGTATTAAATTTTGTTTACCATTCACCAGGTTTTTAGTCTGTTATTACAATGGAGCAACCACAGTGTGATATAGATGCTACCAAACAAGCGGGAAAAATACAGAATTCACGTAAACGTAAAAAGCAATATTTTAATCGAATTCGTCAACAAATGGAATTTTATTTTGGTGATTCAAATCTATCAAAGGATCGATTTTTGAGCAAATTAATGGCTGAAAACCCATGTAAGAATGACACAATTCAATTTAACTGTGATTCATTAATTAATCGATTGTTTGGTCATTCCAGATGTACCGCTTGATGTTTTTCTGACATTCAATAAAATCAAAGCAATGGCAAACAGTATCGAAGAATTGCAGAAGGCAATTGATGGTTCCGAGATGCTGGAATTGTCAGATGATCGACAGAGCGTACGACGAACCACGGAAATTCAAAAGAAAGACCAACTCGATGAGTACATGATTTATGTGGTTTGTATTGGGTTTTATTTCAAATTGAAATTTTCAATAGAGCAAAAAATGGAACATTTTTTTGATTTCAGGAAGCATTACCGCCAAATGCAACGCATGATAGTGTTCGTCATCAGTTTAGTCAATTTGGAAATGTGGCGTATGTGTCGCTGCCAAAATACAAAAAAAGTGGTCGAATTAAAGAGTTCGCGTTCGTTGAGTTTGAGGAAAAGAGCAGCGTTGAAAAGTGTATCCAAGCGTTTCAACAATTTGACGGTGTAATTGGTGGCGTAGAAGATGCTAAAAATCTTGCAAGTGTCTCATCCTACATAAAAGAGCAGGAAGAATTGGAAAAAACCGAGCAGCCAGAAAAATTGATTGAAGATGAAGACAAAGAAAATAAAACGGAAGATGAGAAACCGTGTGAAAGTGAGCCAAATTCTGATGATGAAAGTGTTGCACCAAAGCAGTCACTAGATGCACCATCCACCAGTAATGATGAAGATGTTCCATCGGAACGCGCGAAAATTGATGAAAGTGCGGGAAGTCAGGAGAAAGATAATGAGGTAAAAGAGGAAGAAGATTTTGTACCGGCAACAAAACGTATGAAAATAATTGAGCCTGAGAGTGACAGAGACGAAGCAGAAGATAAAGAGGGTGATGGTGATGGAGATGAGGATCGAGAAGGTGAACATGATGCAGAGAAAGAGGGCGACGGTCAAACCGAACCGAAAAAGAAAAGGTATTACATTTTAATCATATTTCAATATTGTTTGATTTGAAATTTGAGCGTTATTGTTTTATTCATATTTTATCAGACGTCGTCGACGTAATCGCAACCCATCATGTTCGGCGGTCAAACAAGATATTGCACCGGTTGCAAACACAAATAAATTAGCTGATGATACAAAAACAATCGATGATCCAAATCAAGCACTATCTCTGTTGCGCGTTACAACAAAAATACAATGGAAACGCTTGCGTAACCAATATTTACTGCTTCAACGAAAGAAATATGCAGAGGTGAAACAATTGCTGAACCAAAACAAAACTCGGAACCAAAAAGTGTCAACATTGCCTTTGGCATCCGTTCGACCAGTCACAATGAAAAATAAAAAGTTTGTTTCACCAACATCGACCAAGCGCATTTGCACGCGAAACATTAACTTTTATGGTGCAATGAGAGATGAACAAAATACAAACACCTACGAGTGCAGCATCATTGATTCAAACACTGAGAAGGTAGAAGATGAGCAAACTAGCGATAAAAAGGCGAAAACAAAAGATCTTCAAATCGAATTCAAGCCGGGTATTATTGTGAAGGTTAATTTCGATGACGCATCCACGGATTTGACCGATTTCAAAGCGGAAATGAAACAATATTCATTTGTTAAATATGTTGATCTGAAAGAAGGATGCACATTTGCTCATGTTCGTGTCGACGAATCGCGTTCGGCCCCAATTCTAATTAAGCATTGTGCTCCGAAACGTTGTCAAATACTCACCGGAGACTGCGAGAATGAATATTGGACAAAAATCGCAAAAGATCGTCAAGAAAAACTCACGAAAAGATTCCAAGTAAAAAAGACACGGAGCAAGAGAAATTTACGAAAAATTATCAAGAATATTGCCGAGGTCAATGTGGTGAAAACACTCGATAATAAAACCAACGTATCTCACATTCGATTTGAGGATTAAATTTAATGGTTATGTCAATGGAAAAAAAACGCTCGACTCAAAGGGGTTTATGTAATTTGCTGTATTTCGATTGATATGTAAAAATTTAATGATTAATTTGATTTTATTTTTTAATTTTAATGCGATGTAAACAATTGTGTAAGATGATCCCAGGCATGATGATTGCTTTTTATTATTTCACACATAAATGATGATATAAAATAATTTTCAAGAAGAAATCAATAAATATTTCTTTTTTTAAATATTATTCATTCGTTCCGTTTTAATCTCCATGCCATGATGTAATTGAAGCCATTATTTGGATTAAACAGATGAATTAAGAATGAGCATAAGTTAACGGACAAGTTTCATTTTCTAGCAACGATAACCATTCGTAAGCAGAGAATATATGAAAGTAATCAGACGAGTTTGCTTTCTTCGATGCTTCTGCTTTTGTTCGCAATTTTTGCTGTAATGATGTTGAAAATATTTTGTTTCTTTCAGAATAATCTTGAATTATGTCGTTTTCTACTGGCATTTAATGTATCACGTTTTCGATTTTTTTTCAGTCATCGGACGCACATTCATTTTGTTTATATTTGCTTCGAAAACTTTCCAAGTATATTGAAGTCCCACTTCATATTCACCCGAATGTAAATAAATGGTTTCAATCAAACTGTTATAAACGTGTTTGAACATCAGAATCATATTGACGTTAGTCGACAGATAAATAACAATAGATTACGCAAAAATGAGTCTCAAGACTTTTTTCTTTATCAAATAATATAAAAATATTTTGAATATGTTGAACGAAAGTCGATAACGATTGTTATTTGGCGCGAAAATCAAATTGCTGTTCAAAGCTATTTCTCCAAGAAAAAGTTTGGGTTTTTGAAAAACAAAAAATTTTATCTACTGAATGACGGTTTTGCAGTTTGTTGTGATTCTTTCTGCAAAGATAAACAACAAAAAACAATCAAGCATTATGAATGTATCGGTGCAACTAAAGCTATTCATTTATCTCTCTGGCCTATTACAACTGATAACCTCTTGTTACCACTATCTCATTTTAATCATCGAACCGTTCGATGAGCTAATTGAAAACGGATGCTTTCGAGTTCATTGCTAAGTAGTCGGTCGTATAAGAAAGTCAAGACATAATTTCGTTTGGAAATTATTATTGAATTGATCCAAGATTCTACGAATATAATAAATTATAATAAGATTTTTCACGAATACAATAAATTTGTCAGTGCTAATAATCTTCAAAATTTCACATACTAAAAAAAGGAATTTGTGAAGAGTGCAGCATATTTTCATGCAAAATTAAAAGTTAACAACGGTGGAAAAAACCGATCATATTTGTATAGACATTTGTTATCCTAAGTAAAACCCCATGGAATATGTTCATTTAACCACGAACATAAGTTTCCTTCTGGATTATCGCCTTAGCTACCGCGCTGGTAAAGTTAAATCGAACGAATAAAAACGAACGATTGGATACAACTGGGAACAGTAAATTAAAAGGTAATCTACGTTTATATCGCAGTTTCAAGTTTTCAATTTTAAAAAATGTGCTTAAGAAAAGGTTTCAGTGCAAAAATTCATAATAACATTTAATCGAATTGTATATTTTTGTATGTACTATTGTACTATTTTTTGTTCAATGATTCCAGCTTATAAAACAGCTTTGTACAGCTTTTAAATCGATGCAGATGTTATCAATAAAAAAAAAATGTAGAAAATTCGCTGTCAATTTATTTCAAAGCGAGTAGAAAATACATTTAAGCAGAAATCACGTTCGAGTAAAGATTACATTTACACTGTATTTTTTCCTAATAAATTTACTATTTGCAATGCTGTTTCGATGGAAAAAGTTATCACAAATGACTCTTACATTGTTTGAAAAATAAAAATCATTTTTCATCGGAAATTACGATTCAATTGTAATACGTTCGTTTGTGCTGATAAATGTAGAGTGGAAAGTCCTTGCATACATTGGCACGTGAAAGGACTAATAAAGCATCTTGTAAACTCTTATCGCATTGATTTTAAACACTTTATTACACATTATTTCGCCAAACATCTCTACTCTAAGCATTTCATTATCACGAACCGTAACTTATATTCAATATGTCTTTCATTTAAATTAGGTAGCATCCAATTTGCTAAAGAGAGTTGAAAACTTTAATTCAATACTTGAACGTATTGCGTGGCAGCAAAAAAGAAATTGATTGGAGGTGAAAAACGTGCAATCTTGGGGGAACAACGGGAACAACAGCATCATCAGGGAGTGATCAAAAGCGGTATCAAAATCGGTGGGTCAAAACAAAAGTTAAACTAAAATGTCGGCTGTGGATTTTGTTGCTGGGTGTTTAGGAGGTACGTTGAGTCGAGCCTACACTTTTCATATACACCAAAAATTCTATTCCGGTCATTCAAATTTTCATTATTGATTCAAAACATCCTATAAACTATTTGAGACGCTTACTCCAAGATAACGACTGTCTGTTGTCACTTTAACATTTTCGATTTGAATAGCAGATTATTTATTGCTCATGCAGGCAAATTTGTTTGTTTTGAGTTAGATCACGTGTTTGTCTCATGAACATTATCTCTGAAAATGACCACTCGAAAATAAAGTGTATTTTTAATTAATGACCTTTAACAATTTTTTTCCCAGTGAAAATAGACTGATATATTCTTTCTTTTTTATTTGAATCAACACTTAGGTTGTGCGGGTTTATTGGTTGGTCATCCTTTCGACACGGTTAAAGTTCACATGCAAACGCAAGATGTGAAAAATCCGAAATACCGTGGTTCGTTCGATTGCTTAAAATCACTCATGGCCAAAGAATCGTTTCGCGGTTTATATCGTGGAATGTCGAGTCCAATGGTGGGTGTAAGTGCAATAAACGCAATCGTTTTCGGAGTATACGGAAATGTACAACGAGTGTCATCGAATCCGAACTCATATATGTCGCATTTTTTAGCCGGTTCATTGGCTGGATTTACTCAAAGTATCATTTGTTCGCCGATGGAATTGGCAAAAACGCAACTGCAATTGCAAAAGCATAGGCTTGGCATGGCGAAATTCAATGGGCCAACTCAATGCCTATCGTATGTTTATCATTGCAATGGGATCAGAGGTGTATTTCGAGGGCTCGGCGCCACTGCACTTAGAGATGTGCCTGGATTTGCATCGTATTTTGTATCGTATGAATTTTTGATGCAATTAAAAACCAATCCGGATATATTATACACATTATTTGCCGGTGGTACGGCTGGCGCCTTTTCGTGGACATTCACAATACCAATCGACGTCATTAAATCACGTTTACAAATTGATGGCATGAATGGTGAACAAAAAATGTACAATGGTATGATCGACTGTTTTCGTAAGAGTTACAAAACAGAGGGGAGCGCATTTTTAACGCGGGGTCTCAATTCAACACTACTTCGGGCATTTCCAATGAATGCCGTTTGTTTTGTGGTCGTATCAGAGACACTTAAACACTGGCAATATCATATCGAAGGGAAACCACCTACAAAGACAGTAGCAATAAAACAAACGAAAAATCCAACAGAAGATCATTGGCAACATAAACGAAGAATAATGCAAGGACTTTTACACTTTAGCAGCGCATTTAACGATGCGATTTGTCCTTCGGAAATCATGGAAATTGCATACGATTGGTTTGAAAATAATAAAATCCATTTCAGCAATAACCGCGTTAACTTTAAACCGAATTACGAGACATATCTTGATGCATAAAAGTTTTTTTTTTTAAAGAAATTTGAATTTTTTTGTATTTATATTATTTAAGTTAGGAATATCGATTTTTTGTCACATTACAGAATGCTTAAATTAAGCTATTCATCGAAATGTGTAGTTCAGTTTGTCATTTGACAACAAAAATGTTACAAATTACGCTTACTATTAGGAAATAAAATTTTAAAAAATGTGATGAAATCTAAAAATCATTTGTTTTGAATGTCATCTTCATGCTTTTGATCAATTGTATTGTTCGTTCATTGAAAATGTCAATCAATATTTTCTGTTTAAATAACATTTGACTTAATCCATATTTGCAGCGCAATTTAAGATGCGCATTTGGATAGTCGTTTTGCATTATTTGCAATAAAATTACTTTCATTTTTTAAGGCGATAACCTTTTCGTATCTGTAATCAATTATATTACAAACAATAATGAGAGAAATATATTCCGCAGATGAGACTGGAGAACCAACGGTTTATAAATAGGATTTATTTAATAACAAACATATTTAATTTATTTTATTTAGTCGATGACACTCTTTACTTACAAAATATTTTCTTAATCATTTTGTTGCATTCAAGCTCATGTAAGTATTTTGCTCTGATTTCTTCTGCATAACCTATGGTTTTGGCATCAAGTGCAGAAAAGTTAAAATAAATTGCAAACGTATCAATTAAATGAAATCCACAACAATTATTTGTCGTATAAAATATCGAAAAGATTTGAAAAACGGAAAATCATTCTTTATGATGGAAGTTTCCAGCAAACAACGTCAAACAGACTTATGATGAAGTTGGAAAATTCCACTCTAAACGGTATTCGGAAGAACTTTGTTCATATTTCATTGCAATTTATTATAAATTTGATGAAAAAAACTGAATGAGCGGCATTGTATGCTGTCTCATATTCGGTTTATGTCGTTTCGCATTCAATGTAAATAATAAATAGATTTTTTTTCGATATAAGGCATTATACTGGGTAAACAAGGGATTTGTGCTTAACACGAAGGTAGACTTTTCGATGGTAATTCGATTAATTTCATTTTGAATGACATATTGGTGTGGTCAAATGGACAAACAGAAACAAATACAATAATTGGCATGCGACATATTAAATCCAACAAGAGACAGTTCACTTTTGACCATATTGGCGAAAGTATCGTTAATTTAGTTCGCTCTCTTACTTTGCCACCAACTTCAAACAATTTCCGGTCTTTATTTTACAAATGATTTTTCAACCATAAAGTTAGCCACATCATGGAAATTCAAGAAAATTCACTTCCCGTATTTTATATTAGCCGAATTCTTGGCTTAGCACCATATGTTTTTCGTCAAAATGGAAGAAATCGAGTGGATGAAATTCGACGATTACCATGGCTCTGCGTTTATAGCATTTGCTTCTTACTTACTGCAGGTGAACAGTTTAAAAAAAAAACACATTCGTTATTTAGACATTTTCCGTTTTCTATTTTAATAATATAGTCAGTCTAACATTTCGATTTATATTCATTGATTCGTATGATAAATTGCCAATTCGGTAAGTGTTTTTATTCAATGTTTAAAAAAAATTTCAAAAGAAACTGTGTCATTTTTTTTATAAGAATGAGAACACCTACACAGAAATTTGTGACGGTATTTGATGTATGTGTCGTAGTGGGAGCTTGTGTATGTGGCGCGCTAACAGGACTCATTGGTAAAAGATTAATTCAACGAATTAACGCAAATCTTCGAAAAGTAATTTGAAAGATATATTAAATCATGTTTGTTCGTTCAGAGGAAATAATGTTTTCTTGAAAATTATCAGGCAGATGATGAATTGGCACTATTCAATGATCCAGTGAATCATAAAAAACGAGGCATTTGGTTACTTTTCATTGTTTTTTCATTAATGACTTGCATGATTGCATTAGATATCATATCGAAATTGAAAAGCGCCAAGAAGTATAAAACTAAACAAGAGCAGTTAGGAAAGTTAGGTATGATTTACAATGAAATTTATTCACATTCAAATGTTAAATAAGAAAGTTTGATGAATTTTTTTATTTTTTAATTCAATCTTTAGCTAAGAACCTTCCGAATGAGCGTATTCACATCGAAAACTATTTATCATTTTATCTGCTTTATTATATATTGATGGCGCTCCACACGCAATTCGCGCAAGCAGCGTTGGGAATTTATCGTCGATATAATCGGCTGAATTGCTACATCAAAAATATATTTTCATTAAGTGAGTAATCATTTTTAATAAATTTTATGTGTAAAATTTTGGTTCGCAATACTCTCCAATAATTGGAATATTTTGGCATTTCAAAAATGCTTGCGAATAAATTATCTATCAATATAAAAAAAAAAATTCACAAAGATAAAAGAAAAGTAAAGATGTTTTGAAAATGTTCATGTTCAAAATCTTCAAAAATTTCATAAGAATCCTTGATTCTTTTCAATTCGTATTTGCGAATATATTTGAAATATATGAAGAAAATATTTGAATATATGTGATGGAATTCCTTAGCATTAAGTACTTATTTAAAAAAAAAAATAGAAAAAATCCTGGAATCAGCCTCCAAAACAAAAGCAACTAAAGTGGATGTTCAAAATGCTACCGATACAGCTGTGCGTGAAACAAACAATGAAAATCATTTGCCCGGCTCCAATCCAATTCAAAAACCAACTGGAAGAATAACAACCGTATCGCGTGCAAACTTAGATGAAAATCATGCTACGCCCGCATTTAGCACAGGCAAATATTCAGCGTCCACCAATGTCATTGCATATGGTTTCTAATTTTTGAATAATTAAACGAATTCCATTCTGTGCTTGATTTGCCGATTAAATTTCAATTAAATCGGTTCCCTTTGCTTTTGTTTTCGTTCGAATGAATCAAGGTAAATTTCCAACAGTGACTACACCAACAAGAACTATAACAACAACGCTAACTCGGGCCAGTTTCGTTTTGGATCGACTTTCCTATACACATGCCATTTTGGGTGAAACGGTGACGTTGGTTTCGAGGTGCTTGGAATTTTATTAATTTAATTGTTTGTTTTCGATGTTTATTCACTTTTGCCACTGCGAAATATAGGGTATACGGACTGACGTTATTAGTTATGTTGGCTTCGTGTTTGCTGCATCTTGTCGCGACCAGTTATTTCTTATTTCTTGAACTTCTCAATGATCCGGTAACTATCTATACCAATACTTGATTTATACAGAATATAAATTGACATGCATTGGTCATTTTTGAACAGGATTTCTTTGTTGCCACATTGCAATTGCTGTAAGTACTAGTACATATTAGTTTTTATGAATTTAGTTTTGAAAAAAATTCGACGCCTTTTCGTAGATGGTGTTGTTTCCATATTTCGCGACTGCTCCTACTTGTTGAACCATGCCACATGGCTACCGCTGAGGTAAAATCCATCCATATCATTTTCTTTATTGGTTTTCTGCTGTTCAATATTTATTTGTTGACATCTCATGTGTAATTTGTGACTGACAGGCCAGGAAAACCATTATCATTGTTTGCGAAGTATTAAGAAACTGTAAGGATATGTCAGTTGAACCAATTGTAAGTAAATATTTGAACATATATCACATTCATCATCATCAATTATATTTCATCGTTGCCTTTTTTCGGTTTGATGCAGCTTCAACGCTTCTGGCGACAATTAATTGCCGATAAAACTTATTACTTTACGGCCAGTGGCATGTGCACCGTTGAACGACAGATTTTGACATCGGTTTGTACATTCAACTTCGTTTTTCGTCACATATTTTTACGTTCTTTTTATTATTTCAGATTAGCGGCGCAATTGCTACTTATTTAGTGATTTTGATTCAATTTCAAAAGGCCGATGGCGATTAAGGATGTATTCTTTTCAACTAATGATGAAAATTAAAAAAGGAAATCAATATAATATTCAAATTTGATGTGCCCTTGCATTAACAATAAAATACATTTAATCAAATGAGGCGAAAATGTCATTCATTTTATTTATTTAATCTCTTCCAGCAATGCCACCAATTTTCCATGTCTCGAATTATCTGAACCTTACCTTTTCTGGAATAGTTTATTTTCAACATTTTGGTGGATGAATTTTATTTAAAATGAACTATAGGTATTCTCTTGCAAATAAATGACAAAAAAAAAGTTGATCTCTTTGCAAGTTTCAACTATTTACACAAAACACGAAGATGATGATTTCAATATGAGTGAATTTCATCAAACAATTTCATAATTCAATCCAATAGTAAAAATACTGTTTCATTTTATAGTTTTTATTTGAAATTTTTAAATGTTCATATATATTTGTAATTGTAATCATTTCCGAATGAAAAGAACATCTTACACTCTACTTTATTCGTCGCACATTTGCATTGTATTGTGAAGGTAATTTTCAGTTTTGGTGAATAATTATAAGACAGTTTGTTTGGAAATTGATTCTAAAGGTATATATGAAAAATATACTGTGCAGGCGAGTAGATCTTTACCTTTCCAACAATATTTTTTTTTTATCAAAATCGGTCAACAAACACAGACAGGAAAGGGATCACATAAGGAAGTGTTGGTTGATATAAGCACAGATACTATGTTTAATTATTTTTTTCTTCAAACTCATGTGTGTTTTCATGAGCAAATTTTCTAATGGAATATTGATATAAAAATTATCCTTTTGTCCCAATTGAATACTATGACGGAAGCATAAATAACATACCAGCCAAACGAAATCTATAAACTTTGTCAATTTACACCATTTTGTATCTATATTGAATGCCAAGATAAATTGAAAGAAAAGTAATGATGTAATGAATAATAAATGGATGAATAAAACAATAATATTCCGTTAGCCATCTCGTTTCTTTGATCTTTTATTTCATTTAACAGCCTCATGGAATATTTATTACAATTACACTGGAATAGTTTATTTTCAAAATTTTAGTGGATGAATTTTCTTCAAAATGACTCAAATATTTTCTTGCAAATAAGTTGGGGTGTTTTATTGTAAAATTTGAAGCAAGCGTTAATGGAATTCCTTAAATTTTGGAGAGACTCTAAGTTTCGGTTAATTCGGTCTTTTTAAATAAAATTTTGTTTCGAAATTAGAATCAAATTGCTATAAATCGGATAGTTAGAATGCAATTGTTATTTGGTAATTAGGCTTTGTTCACCGTTTCACGTAATTTGGCGCATTCATCGGATTTGATTTGTTTATCTGCTGGGCAAGATTTGAAGAATTCTGATTCAAGACAGGCGTTGACTTTCAGAATTATATCGCTGCAACCATTTACATCGTTAGCCGTTGTTTTAGCCATTTCAGTGCATTTTTCTATAGTTGAATCGGCAATAGATCTTTGATGATCCTCCAACGGCATATCATTCAGAACGAAATTTCGCAAGTTATCTTTATTTAACTGCTTTTTATCATCAATCTGGTTTGGTGCCAAAATTGAATTATTAAATGTCAAGTAAATTGTGTAATTCACAAAAACATAATATTAATCCACTTACAACATTCAACTTTTTCCCAACACACTCGATAACACAAATGAATGCTTCATGTTGTTTCTCTTTTCGTTGGTCTGAAAATATTTTGATTTTTTTAAAGGCATAGCCATTCGATAAGAAAGCACCTACTAGCTAATCCAAGGTCTTCAATACAATCCTTCATCAATTGCTCCAATTTTTCGTCATATTCTTTTTGTTTCGTATTATCAACATTACAACATGTATTTGCGTTGATTTCTTCAATTCCGTCCGTTGAAATTCCGTGCACTACACCAAGCAAAACTACGCACATCCACAAACCGTTCTTCATTTTTAATTGGAAATTGTTTATTTTCCTTGGCAGAAACTGTAAATTTGCTGACATTTCAAATCAAAATGAATATTTGTTCATGGTGACATTCTTATTTAAACATATACGAGTATCATTGCGGAAATGGAATTTTTATAATAAGACAAATAAATTATATATTACATATTTTAAAGAGATTTACTATCTCTGGTAAAATATCGATGTTCATGTTTTCATTTGAATCACGAACTTGATCATATATCGCATTTCCGTTGACATGACACTATCGAGGAAATGATGCACGCTATTCTAGAATCAGATAAGTTTCCGGCAGTTCAACAAATTCGACATGTGTGATTTTTTGTTTGAAAGATCGGAAATTCCAAAAATACTTAATGTTATAGATTCAATCAGTCAATCAGTATAGGGATTGACGTAAAAGGTCTGATGAAGATTTCTATACAAAATGTTATGTTCACGCTCAACTTTATTTCAGTGCAAATGAAATTACATTTTGTTTATATGTTCACGTAAATCTACGCAGATTTTCGAAGTGTCTTGCTTTTCAACGGGACAAGATTTAAAGAATTCCATTGCAATACAATGATCAGCACGAATTGTCATGGTAGTACAGCCGTTGATTACAATCTCCGGTAATGATCTAACCTTTTCCATGCACTTTGTTATCGTTTCTTCGGCCACTGCTTTTTGATGCTCTTCTAATGGAATTTCATTGACAACATTTCGGAATCCAGTCTCATTCATTCGTTTGTTGGCAGTAATCTTTCATGTGAAAAATAATTGAAAAATAATTTCAAGAATGAATGTTTTGCATTAGCTTATTATTACAATATTCGCCTTTAGGCCTATGCATTCGATAATGCAAGCACTGCTTTTGCCCAGTTCAATTTTTTCCACATCTGTAATCAAATACAGTTAAAAAAAATGTTACATAATAAAAAAGAGTAAAAACCAACCAGTTAAGTTGAGCTCTTCCAAACATTCGTTAAGAAATTGTTTGTATACCGGAGTGACATCGGCTTCAAATTTGTCGATTAGAAATTTTTCAACTTTGCAACATGTATTATGATTTATAACCACAATTACACTTGTCTCACTTAGTACGAACCCCAAATTTATAGCAAATAGAATAATAAATATGCAGATATTCATTTTTCACGCTGATTTTTACGTTAATAACGTTTGTATTGCTTCGTTTGGATTTTTGGAATAGAACAGTATTTCAATGCACTGTTTACTTTTAAAGGGAATCCATTGATCGTAATTAGAGAGATGATCAAATTTATCACTGATTATCAGTGATAATAAACATTCTATGTGTGCAGTCATGTTGAACAAAAACATGTAATTTTTTGAAGAGATGCCAAAAGGGGAAGTCTTGATTACAATGAATCCAGAAATTAGAAAGCTTAACCTTAAATCCGTGTGTCGGGTCAAATTGACCCGAGGTATATTCTTTTGCAAATTAAACATACAAAAAATCGGATGTATAGTCGAATGTCCGCACATGTGAAAGTCGAAACTTGGGGACTAGGTTTAAATAATTGTACCAAAAATGTACTTGATTGTACCGCAATTTATTTTTAATTGTACCTTACTCGTTTCGATAATATTTGAAGCCCGAATTTCGAGCTAACTCAATATTGTGATCGAATGACGAAAACAAAACTCAAAGATATTTTTTGACTTTTTATGGCTGATAATAATTGTACCTACAATGTACCTTCAAAATAATATCATCATAAAGTCATTACTTCGATGGTGTTCTTCTGCAGAACATGTCCTTCAAAATTCACAGGGGTTTCCCGAAAAAATGGCAAAAATGAAAATCAACGATATTTTTAAAAAATTTATTGCTGATAATAATTGTACCTAAAATGTACCTTTCAAAAAAGGTTGGTATACAGATTTCAAAATTCTTAGAGATGTTCCCATATTACAAAATATCAACAGGGAAATTGATAAAAGGACAAACTTGACGGTAAGTACACTTTGTTATTATAAAAGTAATTGTACCATACGAAATATAATTGAACCATGCTAGTTTACAATTGTACCTCACTGAATCTAATTGTACCATGCTCATTTCGAATTGTACCTCACTGAAACTAATTGTGTCATGCTAATTTACATGTATCATACCTTTTTCCCACCAACACATGTATAAAAATTTGGACAAATTCAAACTAATTCAGCCAGTTTTGGCGGTGATTAAATATTATTATTTTTTAGAGTGCAAGTGCGTTTATTCAGGCATATTCAAAGTTAACATTTTTTTTAAATCTTCAATGTCAAATTAGTTGTAGATTTTTTCAAATACAGAGCTTTATAGCAAGGCTTCATTCTTCTAAGCAAAATGGTTTGAAAAGCGTCTGGCGTGACTAGCGCGCTTGAAAGCTTTATCAACACAAATAAGGGCCTCTGCTGGAATGCGGCTACAGCCACTTGTTTCGTCGAGTCCATTGTTCGGTAACATGTTGATGTGTTGAATGCAGTTTACTACAGTTTCATCAACTATGGCCTTGTGATGATCCTCTAAAATCAGTTCGTGTTTGATGAATGTCCAGAATCCAATTTCATTGAAATTTTTATTTTCATCGATCTAAAAATAGACATTTAACTAAATTTCTATTCATTTACGTCTTATTTTAACTCACAATATTCAATTTTGTCCCAACACAATCAAAGACACAAATACCCTTTTCACGTTGCAATTCTGGTGACATATCTAGTAAAAAATACTCAATATGTATAAAATTAAAATGAAATATAAAGCTAAGAAATAATCACGTAGGAGTTTGACGTCATCAATACAATGCAGTGCCAATTTATGCAGCTGGTTCGCAAATTCTATGCGACTCATCCTTTCTCCAGTATACTCATTTGAGTCCAACAAGTTTGGCTCTCCATATACCTTTGCAAGTGAAGTCTTTTGATTTACGGCGAACAACGTGACAAATATCCAAAAGCAAATCTTCATTTTGAATTCTCTTTTACTCAGAATTAACAAAATGACGTTATTGAAATTCACAAGTTAAATGAACACGGCATTAGTGTATCATTCATTTTTAAAGGAAAATATGAATATCGTGAAAATATATTTCAAATCTCCATTGAAGTAATTTAGTTTAAAAGAACGGAAATTCCGGTATTGTTGAAAAAGTTAATAATTATTATCAATAAACATAGAGTTATGAAAAAAGTTTATTAAAATAGAAAAATGAAATATATTGTTCCAATGGATGAAGATATGTTCGTGTTTGGATGTAATCATTATATATTGAATAATAATTGAAAAGATCGACAATCAAAATGTTCATCTTTTAAATTTTTTCGATATTAATTTAATGGATTTCTATATTGATGAAACCGCTCGTAGTTTTCAATTCAATTTATGAATGCACCGAATAATCTTCTATGTTAGGCAAATTGAGTTATTTGCAATTCAGTTACTACTGAAAATGTGGTTTTTTGTATGGGTGAAAACTTATGAATCTTATTTTCTTACCAAAATTAATAATCTCACAAATCTGAAGATATGTCATTCAAAATCAAGGGTAATCCCATACAAAATCGAAGGGCAATCGCACTTTGAACACTGCAGTTGTGCTGCTCTCTGACATTTATAAGTTCAACCCTATGTAAAGACATTGCTTTCCTCTTCTTCTTCATTTACAAGAAGCATGTGCGTTATAGCAACTTAACTTTGAGATACCAGGTGGCAGCATATCTGCGTGTTCGAAACCCAATACATTGCTTTAAATGGAGTGCGAGCAGAGCGTGTACAAAATTTTCGATAAGAAGTCGATTATTTTATTACATTTTTATTTATTCTTTTACAAACCATTTGTTTTTACTTGGAATGAAATTTGTTTCATTAAAAAAATCTGCATGATAATTAATTTCATTATTATATTGCAAAATTCAAAAACTATCTGCTGATGTCTAAGGTTTGCGAGATAAATTTAATAGATAATAGTTCTATAAAATGAATCTTTATTTTAACCATTTTTCCTTTCATATGGAATGTTCAAAAATCATTTTTCTCATTGAATGCTCCAAAAAACTCATTAATTCCGACACATAAATTACAGATTTAATTCGAATGAAGAAAAAATGTTAATTTCTCGCAACATTTTAGTAAATAAAAAAAATTAGTAATTTTTTTTTGTATGTTTAAATTATCATATAAATGTTACCTTTGTAAGTGTAAGCAAAAAAAACACGTACGTTCGTACCAATTGGTAAATAGAATATTACATTTATTCGCAAAATTGTGTCAGGTGTTTTTGGCAATTTTCTTTGTTATTATTCCGTGCCAATATGTAATTTCTGTAAAGTAACAAAAAAATAAAAACATTGTTTTTTGCTTTATTGGATTCCAAGTACATTTCATTGTATTTCTTTGGATATAATCAAATTTGTTTACACTTTGTAACAACATGAACATTGAACACTGTTTTATACTGAATTGCTTTGAAACGTCAACGTTTGGAAATTGGCCTTTTGTCGAGTGTATGTCCATAGAATCAGTCATTTATTGTTGTGTTGGCGGTGGTGGTGGTGGATGTCCACGTGGTCCCTTGAACTTTCCGCTTTCAACCATTTCGCGGAACTTTTTACAACCTTCTGAAGTGTCTTGTTTATCAGCTGGGCAAGATTTGAAAAGTTCTCCTTTAGTGCAATGAAAGACTCTCGCTGTGATTTTGCTGCAACCATCTTGGCTCTTCTCCTCGGAACTATCTGGAGTTTTTACTTTTTCCAAACATTTTGTTACAGTTGCTTCAACAACGGCTTTTTGATGATCAAATGGTTCGGCCCAATTTGTTACGAAAGTTTTATAATTGGCTTCGTTTAATGTTCCATCAGAATTAAGCTATGAATAAAAATAAAACACCAACATTTAAAATGTTTGAATATGAATACAACGTAAACATCAACTCACAATTTCAGTTTTATTTCCAATACATTCGGCGTAGCAATCGAATTTCGGTGGCTTTTCTGGCCCTTGTGGACCTAAAAGTGATCATTTTTCTTGAGCAGTCTGAAGTTTTTATTGAATAAATATAAATTACCATATGTTTTATGACATTCTTCTGCATTCTTGATAACTCCTTCAAGGAATTCAGTTTTGGTGTCCTTGTTTTCAACATTACAGCATTTGTTGTTATCCCAAAGATGAGCTGAATTTGGTGGGCCACGATGATGCTCTTCCGCAGAAACTAAATTGGTTGCAACAAATGCAATCACAAAAACGCACAAAAACACTTTCATTTTCACTTCTGTCTGTAATGTTCTCTGTCGAATTCTATTTCAGTTATTCTGAATTTAATTTCGACCGAAAAATAATTTGCCAACTCTTGAATTTTGAAAGTGGTGAACCAGTGAATGATTATACACTCAGGTTGTCATGCCTATTTATACTAGTTTTCGACGTGTTCATCAAGTGCTAAATTGCGGAAACGACATTAATTTAAAAAAAAAAAAAATAATTATTATTATTGTCGGAAAGTTCAATTAAGTTTGAATAAGAGGCAAAAAACACAAATTGTATTCTGGTATGACACATCTATCAAGATTCAATTTTTTCTGAGCTAGGCATACAAATTGGAGATGTTATTGCGATTGCTTCGTTTTACGTTTGAAGTTTCAATTTGTGAGGGCAACATTTTTGATAGAAATATGTAACGGAAATCATATGTAGTCAAAGTTGGTTCTTTCACAGATAATTTTCTTCGATTTTAATACCGAAAAAATCTCCACAGTAATCAATTTTATTATCGAGTTAGCTAGTATGGTTTTTTATTTTTCACAACTCTTTGAAAGTTAGCCAGCGGAAATTAATAAATGACACAAAAGTATGGTATTAGATATAAATCATTAAACAGACTAGTTGCTCGTTTTATACTAACGTACGTCACGCGTCGCCCATAAAAACTCATTAAATTATTTTATTTATTTCACCATTTGACGTATCAGCAATTATTTGAAATTATTTTGGAAGTTGTTTTAGAATGAAATTGAATAAGAATTTTTTTTTTGTGTTTTACTAAAATCGAGAGTATAATCTTTTTTGTAGATCAATTTCAATTGAATGAAACATAAAATCATATTAGATTGATATATTATGATTGAATTTATTTCCGTCATGATTATTTACAAATACAAACTACCTTATTTACCGCATTAAATATAATTTCTTCGAGATGTAAAGTAGCTTTGTGAAAACAAATCTCCCCGGCTTACTAACGTCTGTATCAATGTACCTGGCCGCATGTAAAAGCTAAAGTAAACCGTTGAATTTTTATCAATTTTTCGATTTTAAATAAAAGATATATAGATTTGCTCTGTGTCCTTGTGTAATTATAATTAATTTATTGAGAACTAAAATTTTACTTCTCAAACTTTGGTGGAAATATTTCTTGGTGGTTCGTAATATTCATCATTTTGATAATATGAATTTTGGAATTGTTGTCGTTTGTAGATTGTAGAGGAGTCAAGTCCTATTGCCCTTCAGTTGCAGATTCATTTCCATCTTGCGCTTCTTTGGTACGTGGACCCTTTTCGACCATTTCAAAAAATTTCGTACATTCTTCAGAGCTATCCCTTTTTTCAGCGGGGCAAGATAGGAACAATTTTCTGTTAATGCACATTAAAACTTTCATTGGAGTTTTGGGACATTTTTTCGCACCATCAGGTCCACCACTGCGTTCCGTCACCGAAGAACATTCTTTGACCACTTCATCTGCTATGGCTTTTTTATAATCATCCAATTTTGCTAACTCATCCACGTGACTTTTCACTCCTTCTGGATCCACCTTATTTTCTTCGTTGATCTGCGAAATTTAATTTCGCATAACAATATTTTAAAATCAGAAAACAGAAATACTTCCGTTTTGTCAAATATTACTTACGATTTTGAATTTTTTAGCCGCACATTCCATGATACAAGCGAAATGTCCGTGTCTTTTCTTTTTTTGTTCTTCGCTTTGTTCGGTGGATTGTTCTGTGGTTGGTTCTTCTTGATCTGACATGAAAACGGATTTATGTGAAAGAGCATTTTTCATTTCAAAAGCAATACAATAATACTTACTCGCAGCGCTGACTTCCTCAGCACATGCTTCAAAGATTTCCTTTCCTTTATTATACATTTCTACACGTTCGGTTGAATTTTCGACTTTACAGCATTTTTCCGCTGTGAAATGGTGATTTCGGCCATGTTTAGCCACCGCCCCTTGCATTAATGCAAATGAAACAATCAATATGCACAAATAAAACTTCATTTTTTTTGTTTATTTATTTGATCTCCAACTTTATTGGAGTCCAGAAATGAACTGAATAGCCATTGAAACCACCGTCTGTATTTAAGGGAATTCGATTCACCTGACTAATTACATACATAAAATACATGATTTGTGTTTCCGCATTATCATTACATGTATCACTACTAATCATTCTAAATCATCACCTGGTATAATTTTTATATTGAATAGAAATGAAACAATCAAAATTGCGACATACGTCAAGCTTTTGAAACGATAGCATCTTCTTACGATATGTTCAATTGTCATCAAACAACAGCAAAATCAAATGATTTATCAACAACAAAGTGGTTTATTTCATTATCGAAATCAACTCCTTTGGGGGATTTTTTACGAATATCAATAACATTTCAAACTTCCGCAAAAATTGTTTTCAAAGAATGACGAGTGATATTTAAGATTAATGAACAATATAAAAATTTCGATAAATTATTTGATGTATTTTTTTCTTCAAACATAAAAAATGTAACATGCAATATCTGAATTTCCGGGAATGTTGTTTATCTATAATTAAAATATGATTCAAATCTTATAAACAATGCGAAAATGTATACTTTTCTATTTTTTTTTATAGACGATAATAAAAATTTCTTAAATCAACGGAAGCAAATTATGAATGCAAATAAAAAAGTACACCTATACTAAATGTACAAAACGTAGTCAAAGAACTTAGCTGAAATTAAAATTCAAAAAAGTTAAAATGAATAAACAACCTTAACGATCTGTATCTTACATTGTTAATCTTATCAACTGTATTGCACAATAATTTTTTGTGAAGAAATGCAAAACGGTTAATAGCTTATTAATCAATGGAATTTATTATCACCAGACCGTTTTTAACCTCTTTAAACACAACCAGTATTTAACAAATACTATTTGTTACATGTAATACAAAGCGAAACAGCTATGAATGTATTAGTTATGAATGTATTAGTGTGTGATGTATACCAATCACAAGTGCGATTTCATACTCTGTTTTTGTCCAAACTCATATTTGGCTTTTTTATGCCCCTTGGTGTTTCCATGGGTACCATGAACTGAACACGATGATCTATGTCATAAACGACTGGAGATAATCGATTACTTTCTTTGGCAAAGTTGTAGCCCCTAAGGAGACGAAATTTTTCTGCTACCACAGTGACCTTTCCCTGGTGGCTAAAAATGACCTTTAAGGGAAACATAAAAGTTATCAAGCGGCTTTTGATCCCTTAAAGGTCAAATGGCCAAATATGTTTCTTCCCACGAAAGTTACATCTATCCATGTACTATCCACTGACATATTTTTTTTATTTCCTTTAACAGTGGAGCATAGGGCCTTTAGATAAGAATTCTTATCTTTCTGGTTTCTGTTGATCAGTTAATTCAGATAAATCGGTGATCAGCCGATAAACACTGACTTATCTATTGAATATATCGAAAAGAGAGTATGTTATTCAGCGCTTATGGCTGAGTAATGTCTGAATAAAAACATACTCTCCTCTCGATATTTTCAATAGATATAGTATATATGTATATATGATTGTCCGAGAATGAATGTGAGTCTTCTCGTGAGAGTTTATTTAAATGTAACACCGCCATACAAAAAATGCTGACAGTCAACATTTTTTGTATGGCGGTGTTACATTTCAATAAACTCTCACGAGAAGACTCACATTCATTCTCGGACATTCATATATAATAAGCGGTAATAATTTATTTGTTAATATTTATGATTATTTATTCTTTTCGAATTGGAATCAGTCGAACATCAGTTGAGCATAGAAGTGTTAATGCTTTTTGAGTTAAACCACGTGTGGTTTTAAACAATACTCTTGCCTATCAAATTATAGCCTGTATCAACCGGCTAAGCCTATGAAGAGACAAAATGCGAATTCCCCTCATCTGTGCCATCTTGTATTCCATAGTTGAACTCAATTTAGTTACAATGAATTGAATCGAAAAAGAGAAAAAAAACAACAACAGTAACATGGCTACATAGATCTGTTGACCAGTGAGATACGTATAGCAATGGAATGAAAGAATGAAGAAAGCGTATATGTGTATGTATGCATCAGCACGCATAGATGTACAGCTCTGTGTGGCCGTGCTATTGTTGTTGTTTTTTCACTTTTTCATTTCAATGCTACAGAATTAAATTCAGTTTTTGCATCTAATTCACACTAAAATCAGATGGCGCTCATTAGCGAGATTCGCAAAAAAAAGTCTCCAATCTCATACAAATATACACCGGCTGGCCTGTATTAAGCGTTGTTGTATTGAACCTTTCTTTAAAACAGAGAAAAGAAAATGAACACAGAAACGAGGATGAGATTAAGCAGTTTTGTGATATGCATTATTTATTTTAAATTTTTTTTATTCAAAATATTCATAAAAGAACCATGCCAATTTTTCATATAGCGAGTGAGCCAGCAGTTTTTGACTGAGAGTTTGTCCCTACATTTGTCATAACTGAGCAGAGTGCGTTTAACTCTCAAACGGCACATTTGCATCGCATGCATGATCGTAAATAAGAATTAAATAAATTGAAATGAAAATATTAAAAACGATGATAATAAAAAAAAAGTATTAATCATTGAAAATAATTGGAATAATAAAAATAAAATAAAATAATTTTTATATTTATATCATTTGATTTTTCGGGTGAATCCTTCTATCGTGAATTAAACGTACGTTGTTTTGTTATGATAGCCGCAGGGTTTGACAAATTTGCAAGCAATGACAGCTGGCTCACTTTTTGGCATTGTTCTTTAGTAAAACTTTTTTTCAATCAACCAAATTATGGTCTAATTTGATACTTCGTAATATTCGATATCCATTCAAAATATTTGGTAATGCGAGTATAAACGGCGGGACTGGCTTCCTTGCCACAATTTCCTGTCTTATGCACAAAGCTAAGGACGGCAACGAGTGTGTTTGTACCATATTCGTTGACAACCAAAGGTCCACCATTATCTCTAAAACATATACCTTGACGCAAATTCACACTTAGAGAACAAATCACATTATCCGAAATCAATTCCAAATTATTTCCATAGAAACCCTGACACTCGATATTTCTTATGATCATTTGCTCAGCAAAAAGCAAATATTCGCTAATATTTTTGCTATCTAAAACAAAGACATCATTAACATTAAAAACTCTTGAGAAAAAATGAATAATTTCAAGTACATACTCTGTGAAGGATATCCAAAGCCGGTAAAATACGATTCATATCCGACGAACGTTTCATTAATTTGTCGTTTATTTGGTAAACGCACTGGTGCATATTCTCCATTAACTCCATCGAAATTTAACATGTTCTCTCCAGATAAACGAAGAAGGGCAATATTATTTTTGAACAAACCATTAGTATTGTTATAATCTGGATGTAATGTAGACGAATATGGATAGACACTGCGGGATGGGGTATTAATGTTAACGGATCCAACATCTACACGAACTGTCACTGCATTTGAGAGACATTCGGCTGTTGAAATAATCCATTCTTCATTCAAAATAGCGCCAGAACAAAATGTAGGGGGATCCTCTGGTTTATTTGTACGATATTTAATTATCAAGAAAGCATGCCAAGGAAAAACGCCGACTTCTGCACGATTACCGTTTGCTATACGTGGCATTACTGTAAACGTTGATGGAAAGGCATTCCTAACCATCTACGAAATAAATCCATAAATGATGAGTCTTTCAATAGCCAATTAGTAAATTTGAATACTTACGGGTTCTTCGTTGACTTTGTTAAATACCGGTGCTTTGTTAAGAGTAGCAGCGGTTGTCAGTGTAAAAAGTATGCAAAAAGCCCACAAGCGCAACATTTCCGCCATTTTTAGTTTAACAATTTCAAGCCGATGAGTAACTAATAGTACTCGAGGCAAAAGAGCCTATGTTTATAGTCAATTATATGAGACATTTATCTTGAAACTGATAGGTACAATCGATATTTGGCAATAAATGATTGATAATGGCACTCAATGTAATCGTAAAAAGGTACAATGAGTGATTTTATAAAATTCAGTGGATTTCCTATGTGATTCTCATCCACTCTTTAAAAGAGTCTTGGTTTTTTAGTTTCTTGGACCATGACCAATCTTTTTCAAGCATAACTCATTTAAATTAATTATAATTATGGCAATTGTAAATTGTAACTAAACAGTCGGCTTATCAAAGTAGACTCAAAAATCGAATAAATAATAATATTCATTAATATTTTAATAATTCAGAGATGTTTAATTGATCAGAGAAAATGCTTTCTATTTTAAGAATATAGATCTTACTAGTTTTATTCATTACAAAATCGAATCACTTTTATGTAAACTTAATACAATCATGTCCATCATGGCAATATACGCTATCTTATCTTAAAAAAATTCTATAAAAATAAAACTTTATCTTATATGTTACCTACCTTCTGAATCATTCAAAAAGTCAACAAAAATCAAATTATAGTGAAATACAGTGTTGGAAATAAATTTAGTGGAGAAGGTCAAAGATTTTGAAAAATATGCGAAAATTCGTTATTAACGATAATTCAGTGGGAATGACTAATTTCAATTATTGTTCATGTGTTGCAGAGAACATTACATACAATTTGAAGCTACAAATAAATATTAAAAGTCAAAAACATTAGCTTTCGAATAGTAAAAATGTAGAAAAGATTCTTTATTGTCTTTTTGTACAAAATACGACTTACAATTGGAATGAATATACATCATAATTGAAGATTGATCTTAAATATGGCCGCAAAAAGTTACAAAAAATGGCTATGTTTCTATATTTAATTGGCAGTTAAGGTTGATGAGATACAATTTCGTTGAACGATTTCTTATCATGCAGTATGCTCCCTAGTTTTATTCATAGATATAAAGGTAAATAGAAAACCTACACCTGAAGCTATTGTCATAAAAGTATCAAAGAAACTTAAAAATCGCTTTCATCTCTTTATGAGAATCACTGTTAGTGGAATAAATCATGAATGGTTTCTCTAGTAGTACTATAGACTAGTTTAATTGAAAAATTCCATATTGAATGCTTGTAATCGTATATAATTTAAGTAGAAAGCTGTTCATTGTCGGCAATTCTTTAAGTTTAATCTTAAGTACAAAAGTGACGTAAAACTATTCGTACAATATAAATTATATGTTAGATGATAAATGTGTGCAATTAATGTTGGTCATAAATTTATGACACAAAAATGTTATTGTCTTCGATGTGTTGACTGGTTGCATTTGGAAAAGTGGGTAACTGAATTGTATTATTTAGAATTTGTTTAAAGCAATGATGACTTTTAAACAGCTTCAACGTTTGATAAGAGATAACCTCTTTGTTCACCTTCAATGTCACATGAATTACATATCCATGATTTTGTTCCAGATACTTAAGTTTAAAACGTTCCATACTTTTTGCGGAGCTATTTAATTTCAGTCAAAAAGAGAAACACATTTAAAACAGCACAATTCATTGAATTTAATCTAAATTTTACCTATCATCATGAGAACTGGTGATACAATCGTACTTTTTGTTTGGCAGAAACTTTTTTTGGTATTTTTCCATATCGCACGTGTCAATGCTGGTGATAAAGTCGTTGAAACTCTTTGCTCGGATTTTGATTGCCGCAATGCAATAGCTAAAAGTAAACATGAATTGAAATGCCTCCATGGCATACATGACATATTGAAGCTTACGTAATTGGTCGAGGGTCTGGTGATGAATGCCATTCAATCGTCGACTCACTACATGTACTCAACGATGTCACTTCTTGAACACGCATATCCGCCGGCAACATTGGATAATTGACGAATTTTGATTTTGTTGTTGCCACAATTTTGAAGTTTCCTACAAAATGATCCAGATTTTCTTTTGAAATTTTACTTTCTCGTAACGGAAAAGGATGCGTTAACTTATTATGACTCACTTCGATGAAGACTTTCGTCGGTGTTTGTTGGTGAAAATTTGACCACAAATCGTTCGCTCTCCTTAAAATTATTGAATTTTAGCATCGTTGCTGAGTTGATGTCCACAACCTTTTTCACCTTTTTAAGTGACATTATCTTCACTTTCATGGGATGTCCACACGGAAGGATTAAAAACATGACCCTCTTTACGTTCGACGTATAATTTGGCTATGATGATAAATGAAATTAAATGAATGTGGACATTTTTGGCGATTTTTGAAAGGAAACATTCACCTTAAAAACAAATGAAGATCGTTTATCAAATTCCGTTATTCGGCCAATTTCGGTGTGATCCTCATGCAATTCAATTGGATTGGTACAATTAAAAACGAATGATGTCGAAGCCAATTTGAATATTAATCCAGGAACCATTTTATGTATGCCAAATACATCGACAAAATATTTTTTATTCGGATTCAAACCAGCGAGAGTGTGTTTATTGCGTAGTCCAGTACAGGCTAGAGCACTGTCTCGTTTTGAATCTACTTCAAATGTTGCAATCACATCAATACATATGTATAAAATATTTATCGTATTAATTTAGACTTACCGATGTTCGAAATTCGATCGACCGGCCGAAAAAAGTAATTGTTAAGCGTTCCTTTTAACCGTGAACAGAATGTATTTGGCGATCTTCCAATCACATGATCCATTGCATCGCAAAATGTTCGCTGATTACTTTGGCCATTTATCGCTAAACAGTACTGCACGGCATGGATGTCAAGTTTGCTGAAAATTAATGCTTATTTTATCAAATGATCAAAAACTATGAACAAATGTCAAATATTGCACCTTTTATCCCACTTAAAAATGGTCTGTCGCTTGTGAATATGATTTTCATGTCGAATCCGTGAGGTTTGAACGTATTGTAGCAATTTCTGAGCTAAAAACGGTTTTTGTTGTGAAATGTTAACATTGATTTGAACACTTCCTTTTGATGCTACTAAAACATCGTAGCGACCACTCGGTGCACATGGAATGTTATAAATGGATGCATTAGCGAGGAAATATTTTGATAAATTCACTAGAAATAAAAGAGAACAATATTTATTACAATTTAACTATGATATCAGCAATAATTTAATAAGTATATAGTTATCATCTACCCGATTCGTTATAAAACAATTGTGGAACAATCACGCCCACTTGATCAATATGAATGGCAATGATAAGCGGCGATGTCTGGTCCAAATGCACAGAAAATCTATAAAAAGAAATGCAAAATGAATAATAAGAAAGTAATAATGTCTATTGAATGTAATGAATGATGACAAATCGCTACTTTATATTCGAAATGGATTCCTTATGTTTTTAATGGTCAAAAATCTCGAAACTATTTTGGTAAATAACCGTTACGATTCAAACCATCCGCATCACACATCCAAATCTATTTCATTGCCAAAAGTGGGATAGAAAGTTGGTTTCTTTTGCTAGATGTGTTTCCATTCAAATAAAAAAATACCACTCGAAATATATAGTAACGACATTTTTCGGTTATAAATCAGGACGAAATGATGATTTTTATTACAGTTAAAATTACTGAAACGCGACCATAAATCGAACAGAATCGAGAAATGGCGAGAATCTGCTTAAAATATGTACCATCATATTGTTTATCTCTTTCTCTTTCGCTCTCTCTCTGTGAGGTTATGAGTCTCGCATTCTTCGTCGTGTTGACAATGAGTCATTTTCATTGAAATTGTCGTAAAAACGAAAAAAAAAATGCAAAGAGCGAGAGAAAAAGTTGTCATCGGACGATGAGAGTGAGTGAGAGAGAGAGAATGTGAAAACGATACATAAAAATGCTTTCTTTTTATTGTGTGTCGGGCGCTCTTTCCGTACGTAGAATGTGTGAATGTGTACAGACGTCTGGTGCTTGAAATTTGCACTCTGTCCATTAACTACCCCAACAAATCCATACTATATTCAGTTATCAAGTGTGTTTGTCTATTTTTATTTTCCGCTTTTCTTCTCTCCATTCGCCGGCGATGTCTTTTTTTACTCACTCTTCACGCAAACTGACGTCGTTGTGGTGAACAACAAAAAAAAAGTTTACGAGACAATTTTGTTGTTGTTTTTTTTTTTCGCTCAAATTCATTGCCGAACACAACATTGTTTAAATCTATTTGATATGTTCACACATATAGAATAAAAACAATTCCCCGCGAAAGTCCCCATTCCCCGCAAAATTATTTTCAACAATTTAATTAATTACAAAATCCACTTATAACGTGAAATCTAATTTGTGATTTGCGTGACAATGTTGTAGGAAGTGGGAAAAATGCAATGTTTACTTTTTGCCATTCATGATTGCATGTCATTGTGTCGAAATCACGATACATTTCGGAATCTATTGATTCACATACATTTTGAAGAAATGGTGTCATTTTCTATTTGACTGTCGTTTGTGCAACTGCACCATGATGAAGAATATTTATTGGATTTTGTTTTCGGTATTGTGCATAAGTTTGAGGTGTAATGCATCAATTTGGATAAAAAATGTGAAATCATATGGTCCAACTGCCGCGCAAGTTGGGTGTCAGTGTTTATCATTAATGTCAAAGTTTTATTTCAAAGAAAAAGAACTGACCAGATCACGAATAATGGTTGTATCATATACCCGAAATCTATCTGTTCCCGCTGATAATATTCAACGACTTTATTTGAAGTGGGTGCACGAAGCAGTCGTTTACAATGAATTGGATGAGTAATTATTATTGTTTATTTTTTTAACTACCCAACAATCAAATATAGAAATTATTTCAAATTCATTTATTTATTTTTATTTGTGCATACCAGTTTGGAAATTGTACTAATTTCAAATGCTGTCGGTGCAGCAAAAGTGTCGCATGTTCATTCGAATACGATTTACGAAAAAGACTATTATGTTCTGGTGATGGACGACTTTACAAAGGTAATATAACATAAATTTACTTGATTTAATCGATTTATATGCCATGTCATTTATTATTTCAAGTTCAATCAGCTGATGCGTAAATATATCACACAGGCATCATTTAATCCGGGCGCAAAATTTCTTATTCTATTCATTAATCCAAATGTTCATCCGACGAATGAAACACAAAAAGAGCTCGCGTATAAATTATTTCGTTTAATGTATGATCGTTACAATGCGGCAAATGTTGTGTTTTTGTATGCGATCGATGACGCCACACAGTACAATATTTACGTAACGAATCCATATCGAAATAAAGCACAATGCGGTAAATGACGTTTCCTCATTTGCACCGATGCCAATTTCGAGGTTTTTATTTTGAAAATTACAACGATTTGTCTTCTTTTTCTCAACTTCTAGGTTCACTTCAACCAATTTTATTGGACACTTGTATAAATGGCACCTTACAAAGTGACACCCCAACCAATCTTTGGATCACAACACCAAGTGTTCCGGAGGTTTTACCCAATTGTACATTCAAATTTTGTGCTCGCATTTCAGAGCCGTACATTCATCCGGAATGTAAACATGGCTTGGAAATGGATATCATTAAAGTTTTGCAACATAAACTTGAATTCAAGGTTCAAATTCGGTTTAACACTTCTTTTATAACAGGGCCGGTATTCTAGAACAATCCACAAAAATCGTTCGGAATCATTTGTTTATATAAACAACTCAGCTCAGTGAAAACAATAAAAGTTATTGTTATAATTATATTAACACTCACATTACTACAATCACTATAACAACCACTTCTATTGTTTTCAGTCCGATTCAGCGCCTGACCGTAGCTAATATTTTGAGTGTGTAACAATTATTTTAATATTTTCAATGTTTGGCTACAAATGTAGAGCTCTATTAAAGTTATATTTTGGTACTTTTGGTGTCCATATTTGACGCCAAACGTTGAAAAGACAAAAAAATATTAGTTTCAAATGAAAAGTCCGCTCAATATATTGTCGGAATAATTCCACTGTTGAAAAAGGTGTCGGAATAATTCCGAACAAAATAAGTGGAATATTGTTTATTTTTTTTGTCTTATGAATAACGACTATTATTCTCGTTATGTGCTACAATATTATTCAAAACAATATTCATTCATAGAAATATGTTTTTCGGAATAATTCCGAACAAATTGATCGGAAAGTGGCATTAGAATACCGGCCCTGGGCTTAAGTGTGTAATTAAAAGTTTTAAATCAGCAGTTAATTGATTATTCCTATTCGTTTTAATGGAATTCTAATGGCAATGTTTTCTCGCTTTCATTTCTAGATAAGTACATTTTGCACAAATATGTCTCGAGGCGAGCCGATGGGCAATGGCTCGTGGACGGGCATTTTGGGACTACTGAGAAATGATAAATGCGATTTTGTGGTTGGGGGATTCTTTCCAGGTTAGTACCTTATTTACACGATGGCAAAATGATTTTCAAATTTCTTTATATGCGATGTAAAATGGTAACAATTTTGTTTTAATTTTTTTTAGACTACGACGTGCACGACGATTTTGGTACTTTTTTCCTGTTATTTGTTTTTAGCGCTGAGCTATTGTTTTTTTATTCGTATCCTGATTTAATATCATTTATCGCAGGTATCACATCTCCATACTTGCGCGATGCATACATATGGTAAACCGAACAACATTCCCACAAAAAAATTATCATTAACCAAAAACTAAAATATAAAATTTAAGGTATGTGTTTGTTGCACAAAAAATTCCAAAATGGTTGGCAATGCTGATGATATTCAAGTACACCACATGGATGCTTATTTGCTTGATTCTCATTTTGTCTGCGGTGTCATGGTATTTTCTCGGTCGAGCCACACCGGAAAAAGATGCCCATAAACAATTCAGTTTGGCAACATTGAATAGTTGGTCGGTATTTTTGTGCATATCATCTAATAATCGGCCATTCTTCGTACCATTGCGCATATTTTATATTATATTAGCGCTTTATGGATTGAATATAACGACGATTTTTTCATCAAAATTGATAAATGTTTTTACAAATCCGGCATACGACGATCAAATCGATACGATTGAGGAAATCATCGAGTCAAAATTACCAATTGGTAAGACAATTCTTTTGTTTTTTTTTTTTCTTTGAAAAAATGATTTTTTTTTTTAAATGAATCCTAAGGTGGCCGAGAAGAGTACAAGGATTGGTTTGCAAATGAAAATCCATATGACAAGATCATCTACGGATTGTATAAATCGTCGGATGAATTTTTGCCGACGGTAGAGAATTTCGAAGGTGTATCAAAAGGAAAACGAGTGATACTAACAAATCGCATCTTCGTATTGAGTAAATCAATACGCAATGTGTTTCCAATTCCATTCAAGGTGTTCACGAACCCATTAGAGATGATAAGTGAACGTGGGTTCCCATTACTCAAACGTTTTTCAAGGTTAATAATGTACTTGAAAGATTGTGGTGTCGTCCAAAAATTGTACGACGATTTTCGTTACAATGTAACCATACTGCATTATATTCGAAATCGAACTGATGCGATGCATGCTTTGGGGGAAGACTCTCAAATCGTTTTAACATTGAAGCATCTGGATGGGGCATTTACATTGTTAATACTTGGCGAATTAATAAGTTTGGTGGTATTTATCGTTGAAATAATTGTTGACATATATCAAAGACGTCGTCGTGCTCATCGTGCTCGTCGTTTGTGGAAACTAGTTCGAAATGCATGGCGTCAAGTGTCAATAATGCGTTCAGTACAACGGAATAAGAAAGCGACCAGCAAATGGAACAGCAATGTGCCGCGTAAAAAACATGCAAGAAATGTAAAATTCAACATTTCAAATGATGCATCAAGTCAAAGGAATGGTAAAAATGTGATTGAATGGAAACCAAAACTGACCCATAAAACGGTCGCATAACATCGAGTGCAATGCATTTGAAATGGGCATTCTTGGCCCAGATTGTGACGACAATTCAACCGTTGTCTACGAGATTTTATGCGTCGCATATTTTTTTTTCGTGTATTGATGAGCTTGGTATAGCAAACACCCGTTATTTCTATCGCAAATTCATAATTGTTCACTAATAGCTGCAGATGGTGTTGAAAAAGGGCTCTACTATTTAAAAAATGACAAAGAGCAAAAAAAAAAAACAATCATCACTTATATTTCCATAGTGTAAACAGAAGACATTAAAACGTGATTATTTTGAGAGCACATTCTTTGCGTTTGGTTGTCGCAGTTTTTTTCGCTTTTATCCTGTACGTGATTGGTATTTGAACGTTGCGCATTCAACACATAAATGGCGCTAATGAACGATACACACATTGTACTTAATTGCATGTTATATTTAAATTCACGTCAACACTGGCCCGTGCACCAAAAGGAATTTGATGAATTACTTTGATTTTGTATACACAACTCATATTGTAATAACAACAACACCATCACAACGGAGAGTGTCTTGCTTACGCTAACGGATGTCGTGACCTCTTCTCTCGCTCTCTTTTATCCGATACGATATTTGTTTACATACTATAAATTGATAAAATGTTTTCTTTTTTGTGTGTGTGAACATACCTTGCATTTTGGCCTTTTCGCAGGAATGCCGTTACAGTTTGTTCGGCAGCCAATGAATACGTTTGATTAAAGTTTCGATGAAAACTGACATGCATATTGGCACCGCCGTACGTGCAATGTGCTGATATTGTAGAAATTCCATTACGTTGAAAAAATGTACCGCAAAAAAAGGCCGTCGCACACGTCAACACAATCGACCAGATACTCTGAAAATGGCAAACAGCAGCAAATTGAGAAAAACTCACCGAAAACATGAAAAGCAACAAAATAAATGATAATGATAAACCAAATACAAGAAAAAAAACGAGTTGTTCAAGATATACGCCGAGAATTTTATGAATGTAGTGTGTAATTTGGCCAAAAACTGTAGTGCAACGAAGTTCAGGTGATAGAAATATAATACGTAATTCGAATAAAATTAAATTGCTTCCTATTGTAATCCACAATAAAGCCTAGATAATTTGATCCACTTGTCGCAATTTGCGTAGATATTTTTAACCTTTGTCAACCTTTTTCATTCATATAACACCAAACTCATTCATAATTATGTTGCTAGACGTAAATTGATACATCATACTTTTTTTCCCCTCTGTAACTCAATTCAATGAATGTTTACGGTTGTGATTTGTAAACGAAATATTATTATTCATTTTTTCAAGCGGAAAATCACGTGCAGGCATTCCTTTTGCCCAAATTTTTTTCACTCCTTTCTGGTGAACACCAATAAAAATTGTTGAAGACGGAGAAAAATCGATTTTTTTTTGGTTTTATTGGAATTCGATTTGATGATTGAAAGTATGTCTTCTCGAACCGATCGAAGCTAACAAAAAAAGATGTGATGGTGTATACATGTCCCAATATACGGATCGAATGGTGAAAAAAATGTGCTTGCTGAAAAAAAAAGAAACAGAATAGTGGAAAAAATGTGGCAAATTCTGAGAATTCAAGGCGCACGTTATACATTTCGGTTGATCTGGTTACCATCGGCATATTCTGGCTCAATAAATTAATAAATTTATGCGTTCGCTGGGTGAAAACGATATTATGCAAAATGTAACAACGATCATTCATCTCGCGAACAAGTTGAGAGAGTGAGACGAAGCAAAAAAAAAAAGAAAGACAAACGGCAGCACCTTGAATTGACTTGTTCAAATTGACGATTATATCGATCGTGGATTTTTATCCGCACGTTCGATATCACCGAACTCTCATGTGCAAGTGTAAAAGCTTTTTTTTTCGGTGGGCAATTTTGACGGTCTGTGTGTTTTTTTCTCGCTTATACATGTTCATTTATTGGATTCAAAGGAGAAAAGCTGTGATTTCTAAATTCATATCAATTTGCATAATTCGATAATTACCGAGCCCAATTATCCAATTGTAAAACAAAAACAGATCTTTAGGGCTTACGACGACGCCAACTCTCAACTCGCGCGTTTTTTTTCTATTCTGTTTCACGCAAATCTGAAATCAATAAATTTTTCTTCGTTTTCGATTTGCTAGCCAATCCCAATGCGATATGCGTGTTGCTGTTGTTATTCACTCTTTTTTTTCTTTCTTTACTCTTAAGAGATGCTAATAATTTAATATGTTTTGCGTTCACATATTTTCGCTGACTGTAATAAATGTTCACGCATCAATCAAGTATCGGTGTAATGGTTTTTTTGCACCGTAACTGTTTCTTTCGTTCTTCACTATATGTTTTTTTCTTCTCATCTCTGTGTTTGACCAATATTTCGAAAATATCGAATGAGAAAAGAGTTTATGTATAGCAGGCCAAAATGAAATCTCTGGTCACATTTTTGTGCAGTCATATTTTCAATGAGTTATTTGTTGATTTAATTTTGTCGGGGAGTATTTTTCATTCTCTCTTCCCGATCATCATCTCGATGATGATATGTGTGTGGTTTTTGTATTCATTCTCAATAGGTCGTCGTGTGTTTTTTTTTGTGTGTGTATGCTTTTGCGCCCGATTTTAATGCATGTTTATGTTTTGCTCTCTGTCTGCTCTGCTCCGGTGCCGTTCGGTTTCACATTTATTTGTGTATTGGCAGTTTTTAGCATCCTTCTGCCTGACTCTCCTTTCCATTCACTCTTTTTGTTCGCTCGAATTAATAAATTTAAAATTTAAATTTGTTATGCGCCAGCAATTTGAACAACGTGAGCGCGCGTCGCCTTGTGAAAAGGGTCTCAAAATAATATAACAACGATGTGTGTTTTTTTCGGCTTTACTATAACAGCAACCGATTTCTTTGAAGCCGATGAGCCGATGATTTCTCATTATTTGCTTGTCGATTTTCGGTGAGAGATGATTTTCTTTCCTTTTACGTGACCTTCTTTACGTTGAGCAAAAAAAAAATGCGCTTTTTTTTCTTTGGATGCTGCTCTTGTTGTTGCACTCTGTTCGCGTTTCAGTTCAAATATAATGCACTTCTTAGGCCATGTTTTTTCTCGCGACTTGTTGTCGGTTTGTTTATTATTTGTTTTCATTTGGCGGCGTCAATAGTTTTGAGTATAATACCGCATTGGATTTCTGTCGTCGTTCTCTTTTAAAATGAATTCTTTTTTCATCACATATACAACACAAAATTCCGTTCGAATCACAAAAATATTGTTAACATTCAATTGAGTTTTTTTAGATGTCATGCGAACGTAAAAATATCAAAATAATTAAGATATAAAAGAACAAAAAACATTAGCACACAAGCCAATGACTTTTATAGCAAATTCGTGGCTTTTTTGCACTTTTCAAATTTTATAGCCGTTTTCGTCGCCAGTTGATGATTTGAACAGAACAAAAGCACAATATTAATATAAAAACAAATTCAAATCGAATAAAACGAATTATTTGTCAGAAATTGCAACGCACGTATTAATTATTTTTTTAATTTTAAATCGTAACCAACATCAGGACATGGAAAAACTTACAAATTCAACGTTTCTTAGCGATGACATGACTTTAACAAATGGGGTGCCGATTTCAACTGACCGAAGTGAATTAGTTTTCTTTGGCTGTAAGGCACCCAACGCTCTTTCTCTCTCTGTGTGTCTCTATCTCGCGCTTGTTCGCTCCCACGGACACACTCCGTTTCAGTTGGTGTCTCAACTATCCACTTAATTCCATACGAATGCTAATTCGCTGCCGGTCACAGTGTGCCTCACCGAGATTCCGAATACGGAATGTTTGTACGGACGGTCTGTTGCGGAACATAAATGCATCAACGATACGAATCATAGCGGCTTCTATACACATATTGTTTTCATGTTTGCCTTCCGTTTTTGGCGAACTATCTTGTTAACGCAACTACGCCGGGCGTACATGTATGTGGAAGTTTGCCATTCGAACGTTTCCTCAATTTGCACAAATGTACGGAATTTTTCTTCTTCAATTTAAGCACATTTTAACGGATATTATTGTGAACAACCAATCATGTTCCCGCAAATTGACGTGACAATACATATTTTCTATACTCAAGTGTAAGAAAAAACAAATGCAACATCCTCTCTATCCCTCTCTGTCGTCGATTTCACTGAGTGCATTATATCACGGCAGTGAAAAACAACGATGTCATTTGCTGCCTCTTTTCATTCTCGCTCTTTATTTTGTTATTAGTTTTCTGCTGTCACACAAACAACATTCGCCACTGTAACAAAAACTTGAAATAGAGGAGTGCGTATTTCATGACAACATGTGTGTATGTGTCGTAAATGGATTTCTTATGCACTCAAAGCATCGGATGAACGCGGTACTGTGCACTCTGCACTGTATTGCTCATGTACGTTTCGAAGAAAATCGGTTCGACGATTACGCGAATGATCATGTGACTGCTTGACAGAGACGCATATATCATACCAAAAAGAGGCCGTCACTATTGGCTACGACATAAAATAACAATTTACACGTAATCTTTGCAATAATTTATGGACTTTACTGCCATTCTGGCACGTTGTTTTTATTTGAAAAAAATATATTTTCATTTCAAGTGTAATCAAGGTTTGATTTTCAATTCGAAATACTTGGATTACATTCTGGAAATCATACTCAATTTTATTCAAGTTAAAACCATTCTTCGAGTCGATCATTCCATTTTTTTTACTCATGCACAAATTAAGAGCAAAATGTTTCCAAAATAACAATAAAAAATTATAACTAATTTTCAATTTTAATTCTCTTTTCTCTCTCTCTCTCTCTCTCTCTCTCTCCCCCCCCCCCCCCCCCTTCAGGCCAGATCATGTTTAACGCGAGAACCGATAAGGAAAATCCTATTAACGAATATACAGAAATTGTTTTTGCAACAATGAAAAATTCTAATGGCAAAAAGTTTGATGACGAATTACGACTGACCACAGTGCATATTATATTATACTCTTAATTATTTTCAATAAAAATGAATTTGTTATATACTTTTTTATGCGATACACAAAAAAAAATCCAAAAATTTCAAATTAAAAAAACTGAGTTTAAAGTTCAAAACCGACGAATGTGATGTCAATCAACCAAAGGACATTTGAATGGGTTAGAATAAAAACTACTTCTCGAAAAATGTTTAAACACGAAACCTAAAAAAAACTTTCAATGAAAAGCAGTGATGGTTTTGCGTTAGCCAGCGTTGTCTTAGCCTCGGTGTATACCAACATTTGGTGTACACCAATCGTTAGCCAGCTAACTGTCTACACTGTCTGTGTGACTGTGTATGATAGTATGCGTGTGAAAACGTCCAATTCTCCTGACGTGTGTTAGTGCTGGCTTACGCATTCGTTAGCCGGTGTACACAGTGATGGCAAATTAGCCAGCTAATGTGCTCATCACTGATGAAAAGTGAATCAATTTTTTTTCGTCCAATTGAAGTGAACCAAAAAAAAATTGTTCAATAAAAGTGAACCCAAAAAAAAATTCATTTTAGTGTATTTTACACTGAAAAAACCGAGTGAATTTTTTTTTTTGGTTCACTTTTATTAAACAAAATTTTCTTGATTCACTTCAATTGGACAAAAAAAAATTGATTCACTTTTTATTGAAATTTTTTTTAGGTTTCGTTTTAAAATAGTAATTTTTCGAGAAGTAGTTTTTATTCTACCCCATTCATTTCTTGTCTAGTTTATAGTAGTGCTATATTGTTTTATGATTTGTTGAACCACATACCATAAAACATAACGAATGCTTATCGTAAATGACCCATCTGAGCATGGCGATTGCACTAAATTCCATATTTGTGCACATTGAAGAGAATTTACATGTCGAAAAAACGTTTTTTTTTCTTCAAAAAAACCTAGGGGAAAATGACTCGTTGTAAGTTCATAAGTATCTGTAAGTTTCACAAGTTCGCGCAAGAACTCTTGAGTTCTACATACATTTTTGTAAGTTCGTCTAAGTTTTACGTAAGTTCCTATAAATAATTAGACGTCATTTTTGAAAGAATCGGTTTTGCTAGTGAATAATCAGTAATTATTGCTTATGAATCTATGAGTGTTGAGAGCGATGCTCCAATATCAAAATCAGGTCTTTTAAGGATGATATCCAATTTACTAGGTAATTTTTATTTTAAAATACGTTCTACTTTTTGCATCAGTTAAATCTTCTTAAAAAATACTCGGGGTCGGACTCGGGCAAGACACAGGAAATTCGATCGGGTCTCGGGCCGATTTTTCCATCCCGTTGCGACCTCGGGTGTTTACTTTAAGTGACCTCATACACTCACTGACCAGTTCATATTTGCACTTCATTCAAGTGATACTTTCTTTGCAATATTTTAAAGTGGTATTTTTTTAAAATAAATTTGGTGTTGAGTGAACGAGAGCACAACTTTTTTTGCCATGGCCATGAAAAAAAATTTAAGTACAATATTTTTGAAGAAAAATCCAAGTTTTGGAAATACATTCATTTTTTATTATCTTTGAATAGTTTTTCAATTCAAATTCGCGATTTTCGAAATTAAACTTGTTTAAAAGATTATTCTTTTTCAACTCCTTTGGTTATATTCAATATTAAAATTTCATTTAACAAAATGTTGATACATTTTACAAAGCTCATTTACTCAATATCGAAAAAATTGCGGAAAGAAGTTAAAATTCCTTCCTTGAAATTTCAATTTTTTACACAAAATTATCATTAATATATTTTTTTTATTTTCCCTTTTTGTCTATAGATTGCAATCGTCAAGAGCAAATTCCCATCCAAAATCGTCCAATCGGGTGTTAGCTAATATTGAAATTTCAGATGACGATACGTTGAATCTAACAGCAGGTAATTTGAGTTATTATTTATTTTAATGGTTTTTTTCTTTTTATACTTTACCTTAAAGGCGTTTTGGTAGTTAATTAAAATCGGTGACAAAAGAACAAATGACAATTTTTTATACGAATAAAATTGCTCACTTCAATTTTTGAGTTTTCAAACACAAACAGCTCATCAATCGCTCTATTCGGTTATCCATAAAAAAGTGGCTTAAACTAAAATTCACGCAACCTCCAATGGCATGTCACCGTCACAAATAGAGGGGAATGACTATTGTTAGCCGGTATGTTTACACTCCATGTGCATGCTTCCAAGGAAACAGTTTATAAACCGCGTATATTTATTCGATATTAAATAAACAAAGTAACCAATTGTTTACACAATTAAATTGGCTTGTCTCTTTGCATTTTCATAAATAAAAAGTTCGCAAAGAAATAAATAAAAGAAATTTTCATAAATAAAGTGTGTGTTTTTGTGTGAAGATGTCTTTTACAAGTGAAACTCCGGTAAAAACGATTCTTGCCGACCATCCGTTGTTGGAAAAATTTCAAGCAACGCTAAAAGAGCATTTGAATCGAATAAATGAGCAATTGGTAAAAGAAAATCTTGAAATCGATAACCAAATCCAAATATTAAACGATGAACGAGAAGAGATTGGTTCGAATTTATACGATTTACAGCAAAAAATCGACCGTCAAAATAACGAACTAGATTCATACAATTCGTGCATTTCGCAAACATTTGAAAAACGCATCAAGTGCGAAGAAGACACTCGACAATCAAAAATGGAGTTGAAATTGTTACAGAATTTCCATCGTGATGCAAAACGTGTGTACGCCGACCGTATGGTTGAGTTGAAAAAATTGCAAACACTAGAGCAAACGATTGATAAGTGGCAAAAGGAAATGGAGCACAATTTAAAAGTTTCGAAACTAATGTTGAGCAAGGACAAACAGGAAAAAGAGCGCATTAGCAAAGAGAAACGGGAAATGGACTTTTTACTATTGAACATTGAAATCGAAGTCATGAAATGTGAAACGAGATCCGATGAAATATTGAAAGAGTTACAGGAAAACGAACGACTGGTTGAAATGTTAAAAGCAAAACTTATTGGATCGAATGCTGATTTAGACGCATTACAAACAGATAATCGACGATTGATTAGCTCATGGAACGACGTTATTCATGCCATTTCGAATCGAGATAAATTATTAGCCAGAACCAATGAAGATTTGACGTAAGTTGTCAGTTTATTTTATTCAATTTTCTGCATGTGGAAAATAAAATTGTAATTTTTTTTATATTAGCAAAGAAAATGAACGAATAAAAGTCATTCAGAATGAAATCGATGCAACGAAAAAGGAAGCAATGAAACAAATGGAACAAAACGAAAGTCTCGAACAGTTTAAACAACGACTTTCAGACGATTCAATCCATTTGGATAAACAATGTAAATCGAATACTCCAGTTTAGCTCTCTTTTTTATTATGATATTTAAGAAAACTCAATTTCATTTCCAGACGACAAAGCGATGCGTGAATTATCCGACTTGAATAAAAAAATTGAAAAATTCACAATTTTAATAGAGGAAACGGATAAATCGTTGCACCAAGCCTCAGTTGAAAATCATATTCTTGATGGAAATCTAAAGTCATTGATACGCGAACACGAGCGACAGGTCAATAATCGAACGGCACAAGAGAATCATATTTTAGAGCTATTACAGGAACAAGTGACTACCGATCAAGCGAGCAAAAAACGCGGCCGACACATTCGTGATTTACAAAATAAGCGCCGGAATATGGAACTTATGATGAATAATACTGAAGCTCAACTATCAGAGATACTCTTCGAAATGGAAAAATTAAAAGGCGTCAGTGCACGCAGCAGAGATTATACGGATGATTTAATGGTATAGTAAACAGAAAATTTAATACCAAACTACGCCAACCCAATGAACTGTCTCCATTTTTATTGCTTTGAACATTTTGCGAAGAATACACTATAACTATGTTATTGCATCAATAATATTGACAGTTTGGTTTTATTGCCAATGCAGAATGATTGAGTTGAGAAAATAGTGATATGATATAAATGATTCATCATTGTTGTCAACGAACGACTTTTATCTTTATTGATTGAAATATATTTGTCATTCGCAGAAAGAACAAATGGTGTTTGAGCAGAAAGCAAAGAACTACGACCAAGATTTACAAATTATAAAACGTGCCATTGAGGAGAAATTGAAGCTTCATGATCGACTCAATAAGCAATTGGCCAAATTAATCGAAGCGGCTGATGGCAGTGAAAATGATCCGTTGCAAAGAAAAGTGAGAACGAAATTATAAGATCATTTAAATAAATTTTCTTCAATTTTTATCATTTCTTTTGTTGTATTTTGAGCTTACTTACCTATTATTTACTAACGAAACCTTACCCATTCTATTATTCCATTATCTTGATTACTGATCCAAATCGCCTAGATCAAAGATTTCGAAACGACCATAGTCGAATTGGAAGTTGAAATTGAAACAGATCAAAATAAATGGTTACGTTTGCAATGCAACATTGTATCTATGTCGGAGAAATTAACTGATTTGTTGAATGAATCTCATTTGGCCAGGCAACGTATGTACTTACCTTCTCTTTTACAAAAAAAAGGAACTGTCTTTTATCATTTTCATAATTTTCTCTCTAGAATTGCTAGTGATTGACCAGAAAATGTTAAAAGTCGACGCTGAATTGATTGACATAGAAAAAACTGATCAAAATTTGATTCGTGACATAAAAAATTTGAATACGAAATTGGATATATTGAGTGCAAAATTGTACGATAAGAAGCAAAACAACGCCTCCGAAAAAGATCAATGTCAATTTGTCCATATGAAATTGGTCGATAAGCTTCGGTCGGATGAAATGTCTGTAATTCAATTCGAGAATGAATTGCATTTACTTGCAAATGAAATTGATGAATTGAAGCGAAATGTATTGGATCGACATCATGAGGCATTGTCTTGGGAGACAAAATGGAAAATGATCGAAGAGGCAAAACGACAAAATGACGAAGAGTACGCAAAATCCGGTGAAATTGGTGCAATGAAAATGGAAATTCGTCGCATGGAAGTGCGTCTCGGTGAATTGAAGCGTGCCCAAGAGAAATTAGTGGCAGACATGGAATTATGCGTACATCATCGTGAGCATATCTTTGATCAGGCTAATATGCGCAACAAATTACCACACAAAAAATCAAAATTGATTGACACCATGCAATATCGATTCAATCAATTACAAGCGAAACTAATGCAAATCACAAGCGAATTGAAAGAAATCGACAAGCAAACGGCCAATGTTGTTATTGCCAGAACCATTATCGAAGAGAAATTAGATAAATTGAATGAAGACATCGATGAAGAAAGAGCACAATATATTTTACTGCAAAATGAAATCGAACAAGCGATTTTGCTGAAACAAGAGGTTAAGAATATGTCAAACATTTTCACATTGGATTTAATAAATATCAGTTTTTTTTTCTACAGAATTTGGAGCTAATCGTTCGCTTACAGAACCGAGCAAAACGTTATCGTGGCATCGTTCAAGCACAACAAATACCCAGAAATCGAGCCGAAAATGTCGTCGATCTACAATACGATCGGAATAGAGATATTAGCATTAATTTGATCTCCATATTAGAGGATTTACTGCACGAATTTCCAGAGCACAAATTTTCCATTCAACGCATTCGACAAACACTTAGAGATTGAAACAATAAAAAAAATTATCAAATATGAATTTTTGGGCCATTTTTAAATATCCGTTCAACACATCGACATTATTCTTCGTACTACCAATTGTAATATTATGATTTCATGACTTTAACGAAAATATTTATTTTCATCCACTTTTTTTTTTAAATATATGAATAACAATAATAATTACGCAGAACGTTTGACAAACATCTATAAGAGGAGTATTATTGTGTGTGAAAATGTGTAAAATTTACGATTAAGGCAATCAATGTAAAGCTTGGACATTCAGAGTTCATGAAAAATATTTCTTTTAAAAAACAATTTGTTATTAAAAAAAAATGTCGACCATTTTTTGGTCGTTGAAAAAATTCTTCAAAAATAGAAAAATACGTTTTTTCCTCACAAAATACATGTTTCAAAGTGAAAAAATTGTGCCAGCAATGAATTGACATTTTTTTTTTTCTAAAAAAATTCACCCGGAACTATAATATGATAACAAAATTTTTGTATGGGATTTTACAGTTGAATATATTCGTTGTAACACACAATACAAGGCTGATGTGATAAGTGGGGTGTGATAATAAAAAAAATCTATTGAAATATGATGTGACAACATTAAATGCGAAAATAAATTGCCGTCTTGAATGCACTCATTTAAACAATTTCTTAAAATTACACATGAAATACAGTAAAAGAAAAAAGAGAATTGATTTGAGTGTGAAATTCGATGAATTTCATAAGATTCGTTTTTGGTATGAATTGGCGCTAGTTCAACGGCCATGCAAATTGTACAGTCGCCTTATCGCCTAAGCTACAGTTACTGTTGTTGTTCTGGTTACAACATTCGTTACAACTACATTGTATTGACGATACTTCAAAAATGCATCATATGCATATGCGCACATTGCCACAAAGCCGAAGAACTGAAAGAGAGAAAGGAAAAAAAAAGATAAAATTTTAATCTTTATTCTGATTTTAATTTAAATGTTCAAATTTTTAAATATATATATATCAACTTACGGCTGCCGCTGTAAAGAGTCCAACATTTTGGGCTCCAATCAAGGCTGATGCAAGCAACAGACACGCTGCAGCGCCCGCACAAAAGAAGAATTCAATTTTGATCCATGGAATTTTATGGAATACATAAATTGCATGAAATAGATACAAAGCGAGTAAAATGGCGGTCATCCAAAACGCAATCATTGCAATTGTACAGTAGAATCGAGGGATGCCGCCATAGCTGTGTTGGCTGCATTGTACCAATATGAAACCAATCAACACACAAATCTAAAATGAAAACATAGAAATAATTTCAAAAAGTTAAAAATGAATAAAAATCGAAAATTAAAAAAATGTTTCATACCAAGCAGACAATTTTCAAAGTACCAGGAACTGTATGCAAATAGATGGTGCTATAATGAATTCCGGTTTGTTCGGTGGTTGTTGTTCTAAGTTGCGGTGTTGTTGTCGATGTTGGTGTTGTTGATGACATTTTTGCTGTTGTCGTTGTTGACATTTATAACAATTAAAATATCAATTTTAATTATTCACTGTGTCGTCTGTGTGTCTGAAAATAATGGATAAAACTGCAACTATTTATTAAATTAAAATTGTCGGTCACGCCTACTGCGATCATGCGTAATATACATTAGTTCACCAAATGATGATTTTTCTTTGAATTGAGCGATGATCTTATCGTTAACCTCATGCATCACATAAAATACTGACTCCTGCAACGATTGAATAAACACTCTTATGCGCACACATTTATTTGAAGAGTGCATTCCAAACTGCAATGATGTCATCAAGTTTACAACACACTCATTCAGAACATTCAAAAATCAATTTTAAAAATAGTCACACACAGAGAGCGTAAACATATGATGACGGAAAACAAATCCAGTTTCTTACATCATACACACCGACGATATCACACACGGTGCTAAAGTGTGATTTTTAAATATATATATTAGAAGATGATTAAAATGTGAATTTTTTTTAGCGATGACCTAATATTAGATGATCAATATATTTATATACAGAATCATGGTCAATCGTCGCAATATAAAAAAATCATCTTTTATTTAAATTAACTTTTGTGCACGATGATTTGAGTATGTGGAAAGCGGATTATAAATGTTATTCAATTTCCAATGAGTGATCATGTACGCACACTTTGCACCAATCCACAACAGATCCATTTGCTAATAATAAATAATGTATTTTGCAATCATCAACAGCGCGCTCGTTGAAACACGTACACCACATAGTATACACACACACCACTCTTGCAACGAAATTATTACCTTGAACTAGTTTTTCTTTTTAGCTAATTTGTTTCCCTTTCTTAGATTGTATTTCTCTCAATGGTTTTCTCTTCAATTTGCTACAGTCCACTGAACAGCGTAATGTTTACTGTTTTACAAAACAATAGCACCGCACTAAACACAAATTACTCTCGACGTCTTTTGTTTTATTACAATTTAAATGCTATGCGCCAAGGTATATCGTATTATATGGTCTACTAATAAAACATTCACAGTGCTTTTTTTCTGGCTGAAGATAGAAATATGCTCACGTTCGATCCCGTTAAAAAAAAAATTCATCTGGTGAAGTGAAAATATTGAGAGCGAAAGGTAGGCGTTTATTTGAACACCAATTCTGAAATCACATTCAAACGGAGTGTGCGGCAAGTATTCTAGGTTCTAAACACTTACTACGCGTCGCCGACAATTATAAATAAATATTCGTGATAAATTTCGTTTTTTCGGACATTTCAACACGATACGACGCGATATACAAGAGACACCCAACACAACACATTCAACAATAGCGATAATTTCGTTAATATTTTTCAATAATCGTCAACGTCTCAACATACAATACTATAATTATTATAAACACATTCACATACTTTGGCCGCTGCGACGTAAATACCACTATACCAACGACGATTGTTTGTGCAATACCATTGCTGTGTTGTGTCATTTACAATTTTTCGCTCTCTTTATCTATATATCTCGCTCTCTGTAGCATGTTTTATTCAACTGGTGTAAAAAGAGAGGGAAACGAACAACATTGAGAGAATTGTCATTTGAATGATTTGTTTTTTTTTTTTCAAATGATATCTTTTTGTTTGCTTATTGGAGCTTCATTATCAATTTGTTTTTTTTTCTTGGTTTTTTAAATCTTGATTTCAGTTTTAAAAAATACACAAATAATTAAATAAAGATTGAATTTAAATGAAAATTTCCTTTTTTTCTAATCGCAGATTTTTTAAACAGTTGGAATAGTGCGCTTTGAACGAATCCATTATTCGCCGCATGAAACACATCCACTTTGACGTTCTATCGTCTGTCAAACTGTGACATTACTTTCCAGTCGGAATTACTACTGAATCAGTGAAGAAAAAATTGAAGACATTTGACTTGAAAAATAAATCTTTAACCAACAACAAAAATCAATAAGGAATCAATTCAACAAAATGGATAAAGGACTCATCAAATTTCTGCTAGTCATCGGCTTTCTATCACTTTTACATGCCGCATATTCGGCTGCACAACGTAAGCAAATACATTAATTTTACCACATTTATGCACATACGATCAATAAAAAATCAATGTTGCATTTGTTATTTCAGATCGAACATACCTACGAGACACCGATCAAGAAAGAACAAACACATTCCTTCCCTTAGATGTGAGTATTGAGAATGGAAAAAGGGAGTTTAGCACAAAACTAAAATATATTTATTGATTTATTTTATAGATCATCGTACAAGCGGTGACGAGTCTATTTCTAATCATTTACAGTTTGCTGCATGTTGTTGGTGATTTCAAAGAGATTCGTGCCACAATCGATTTACAAGCCAAATCATGGGAAACACTTTCAAACATACCATCGTTTTATATATTTAATCATCGTGGAAAGAATTTATCGCGTACCGACCAAGAGGTCGAAGATCTCGAAAATTAGATCAATTGAAATGTCAAACTAGTTTATAAATTAATTAAAACTTTTGTTTCTCACCGTCAGAACCAAAATCAAATACAGAAAGAAAAACTGATGAATTAAAAACACATTCAAAGCAGTATTGATTCGATAGTTTTACAACCAGTTTGAAAAATGTTTTCAAATCTTACGAATAAAAAATAAATATTGAGATAAAAAATATGTGTGGGCATGATTTTTTATTTGCTATTTGATGTATATAGTTGTAGCGAATAATGTCATTGATTTTTCATTCGACTACATTGGTGTGTCATAAATTTGGATATGGGCACTTTTGGACTAAGTGCTCGCTTTGAAAACATCTGAAAGTTTCTTCTCTTCATCACTTTATTGGATCATTTCATCTAGTATTTTCAACGAACTGCTAACTTCATTCATTGAATCATAGTTTATGTGATTCGCTTCGGCTTGAGTCATATCGTGATTTACTGTTGCGATTTTTCGTCGCTTCATAGTCACCATCGACGTATAATTCGATGAATTAGAGCCACCCTACCCACCCAGTTTTTCTTGGGCATTACCATTTTTTTACATTGACATCACGATGGATTGAAGTTTTCATCTGAAGAGCTAGCTTTTCATCTGTCATCTGAACTTTGGTATTCGCATCTTCATTATCAGTACCAACACCATGAATTTCATTTTTGAGCTACAACGTTGCCTCTGTCAGATTGACTATTTTTGTATTCACATTTGCATCGGACCCGCGGGGACATTCCAGACCACAATTTTTATTTTTACAAAAAGAATCAAAGGTCTGACGAAAGTGTGAAAGAGTATTGTATACGTTCGCTACACCTTCGTCAAAATCTCGCTATACTTTCAATGCAAAATAAGCATTAAGAAATAAACATGAAAATGAAGGTGTGAGCAAAGTGTAGATAAAGTGTAAGGTGGTCTGGCATGTTCACGCGGGGAAATCTAAAAAAACACAATCCAATTTCAAATTTAATGGTTTGTTTTATCACTGCACGAAATATTATTTCAATTTTGAAGTTCCAGTATAGAAGAAAAGTCAAAATGGATGCTTCAATACTGTTGCATGATGAATGCTTTAATTGGTAGATAGAAACAAGAAAACACTTTAGTTTGTAAATAAGTGTTTAAATAATATCAATTAGTTGATTTTCAAACGATTACCGGTCAGTGCGACGAAAATGTTGAGAATAAAGTCAGCTTCAAAGCGTTTTATACTTGATCACATCGGGCGCAAGTATGAGAATTGCTTATACCGGCTATTTTTTATGTTCGATTAAAAGTCAAATGAAATATTTGTATGTCAAATTTGTCAATTTATTTTTCAATCGTTTCATTTTCATACAATTATTCAAACTGCTATCATTAATGAATTTTTTTTACTGCTCGCTTGGTTCGACGAATTTAACGCGCATTTAAAAAGTTGACCTATATTTTAAAAATTACAATGTAATGCCAACAACAATCAATTTGTAATTAACTTGATTATTGTATGAGTTGCACACGATTTAATTTGCATGCGATCCAAAGTGCTTATTTCTAAAGTTTTGACATTTCTTGGTGCATTGATAAGATTTGCATGTTTTACATCAGCAAACAAACAAATGAAAAAAAATACCTCATTGTTAGCAATTGCACACTGCATATTGAATGTTAATCAAATTCAGAATTTATTGCATAGATTAGAAAACATTTTATTGCGATAAAAAGGTAATTAAAAGCACATGAAGTAATGAAATTCAGTCACTTTGTCTAAAGTGTGTGTGTTATACATTGTGGTCATTTTTTGTTCTGAAAACAAAATCTACAAATTTATAATAATTTTTTTTTAAATGTTATTCAGTGCAATTAGAAGTTGTGAAAATGTTCAAATTATTAATGGTAACATAACAACACTGGAAAAGTATCCATGGATTGTCTCAATAAATATGGCGAGTAAGCACTTCTAATTTTCAAGCTAAATTGTTGTTTTAATTTTGTTTTGTTGTAGCTAGATTTTAAATGCCCGTTTGTCTTTTTATCCATTCCCTATGTACTGATATGGATGCTGAGGACACCGGAAAAGCAGGGTTACTATTTTTGGGAATTGTGTATCCAGCGCCGGAATCACCATCACAAACTGTAAAGAAATAAAAATATTTGTATAGAGAAAAATGCACTTGATCAAGTCGATAGTATTAACTCTTAAAATTTACTCACTCGTAGATTTCTCTTGTTTATCAATAGAACACATTACAGTTCCTCCTGTTCCATCATCAAATTCACTTTTTTCACTTTCAACTGGTGTGCATGTTGTTTGAACAAGTTCGAATAGTTGTTGGCCTATTTTGCATTCGTCACAGGTTTCACCAAATGCTGCTGTTCTTACTTCTAGACCATCTTCTATTACGTATCCCTGATTTACCATTTCAATTAAACATATTTTGTTCGACTCTTCAAGTTCCGAGCTTAAAAGAATCAAAGCAACATCGTTTTCTGCAGTATTTGAGTCATAATCAGGATGTATAATCCATGTCTCTATATAAGACCAAACACCATCCGACTCGGGAAGGTCGGATCCGGCTCTAATAAATTGATAACTTGGAAACCAACGGTTTTCATAACAATGTGCGCTCGTAATCACCCACTTTTTAGAAATTAGGCAAATAATCCAATGAATCTTACTCGCCGTATTCATTGAGACAATCCATGGATACTTTTCCCGTGTTGTTATGTTACCATTAATAATTTGAACATTTTCACAACTTCTTATTGCACTGAATAAGATTTTAAAAAAAATTATTATAAATTTGTACATTTTGTTTTCAGAACAAAAAATGACCACAACGTATAACACACAAACTTTAGACAAAGTGACTGAATTTCATTACTGCATGTGCTTTTAAATACCTTTTTATCGCAATAATTTTTTTTCAAATGTATGCAATAAATTCTGAATTTGATTAACATTCAATATGCAGTGTGCAATTGCTGACAATGAGGTTTTTTTTTCATTTGTTTGTTAGCTGATATAAAAAATGCAATTCATATCAATGCACTAAGCAATTTGTTGGAGCTAGACGGATACTTGATATGTCCGTTTAGATGACGCGCATTTAAAAAGTTGAACTATATTTAAAAAAATATAATGTAATGCCAACAACAAACAATCAATTTGTAATTAACTTGATTATTATATGAGTTGCACACGATTTAATTTGCGTGCGATCCAAAGTGCTTATTTCAAAAGTGTTGACATTGCTTAGTGCATTGATAAGATTTGCATTTTTTTTACATCAGCAAACGATCAAATGAAAAAAAAACTCATTGTCAGCAATTGCACACTGCATATTGAATGTTAATAAAATTCAAAATTTATTGCATACATTAGAAAAAAAAAATTTCGATGAAAAGGTATTTAAAAGAACATGCAGCAATGAAATTCAGTCACTTTGTCCAAAATTTGTGTGTTATACGTTGTGGTCATTTTTTGTTCTGAAAACGAAATGTACAAATTTATAATCATTTTTTCTTTAATCTTATTCAGTGCAATAAGAAGATGTTCGTGTGAAAATGTTCAAATAATTAATGGTAACAAAACAACACGTGAAAATTATCCATGGATTGTCTCAATAAATACCGCGAGTAAGATTCATTGGATTATTTGGTACACGTGTTCAGGAACGCTAATTTCTAAAAAGTGGGTGATTACGAGCGCACATTGTTATGAAAACCGTTGGTATCCAGTTTATCAATTTATTAGAGCCGGATCCGACCTTCCCGAGTCGGATGGTGTGTGGTCTTTTATAGACACATGGACTATACATCCTGATTATGACTCAGAAACTGCTAAAAACGATGTTGCTTTGATTCTTTTAAGCTCGGAACTTGAAGAGTCGAACAAAATATGTTCAATTGAAATGATAAATCAGGGATACGTAATAGAAGATGGTCTAGAAGTAAGAACAGCAGCATTTGGTAAAACCTGTGACGAATGCAAAATAAGCCAACAACTATTCGAACTTGTTCAAACAACATGCACACCAGTTGAAAGAGAAAAAAGTGAATTTGATGATGGAACAGGAGGGACTGTAATGTGTTCTATTGATAAACAAGAGAAATCTACGAGTGAGTATATTTTAAGAGTTAATACTATAGACTTGATCAAGTGCATTTTTTCTATGAAAATATTTTTATTTCTTTACAGTTTGTAATGGTGATTCCGGCGCTGGATTCACCTTTACCCATTTTCACAAAAACATCCTTTTGGGAGTAATAAGCCACACAACTCCCAAAAATTGTAATCCTGCTTTTCCGGTGTTCTCAGCATCCATATCAATACATAGGGAATGGATAAAAAATAAAACGGGCATTTAAAATCTAGCTACAACAAAACAAAATTAAAACAACAATCTAGCTTGAAAATTACAAGTGCTTACCGATGTATGTTCTTACCAGTGTTTTAATTTAATTTATTCAATAAATTTTTGGTGTTTTGATGTTGAATTTTTCACAAAGTTGTAACATATTTTTTTTTAACTTCTTGTCGTACAAGGAACTCTTGCTGTAATTTCAATTTGTTGATGTCTTAGATTTTATCCTGTTTTGATTCACTTCTCTAATAGTTCAAAATATTGCTGTTTTACCATTGGATTTTTAATATAGAAAAGATTTTATTTTAAAAAATGGTAATTAAAAATTGAATTAAGAGTTACCCATTTTTATGTCTCATTTGGTCTTTGACCAGCATGCTCGCAGTCTGCTGAGGAATTGCTGTCTGATATTGGCATAAATTTTAGGTTTCGTAATAAATAAATAAATAAAAATTGTATATGATTACTAATGATGTATGTAATTTATCAGTACAATATGCTTTGACAGATATTTGTTTTTTCTATTTCATTAATGCTTGCTAAATGGAATGAATTTTCCCATTGCAAACTTTTGTTTATTTACAACTTTGATAATTTTGATATAGCACATGTGTTCAAAATATTATGCGTTTCACTTGGTTGCTGTAAAAAAATTCATAGAAATTCAAACTTTTTATCAAAAGCCAACTCTGAATATTTTTTTATTTTTGGTTATTTGATCGAAATTCCAAATTACAGGCGTATCAAAAAGTTTTCCACCTGACATATAAAGATGAGTTGTGATTGAAAGTTCAAATCATCCTGGTGTTGTGATTGAAGTATGAACTGTCAACAGTATTCCCACAAAAAAATTAAGTTCATATCTCTGTTCATTTGTTTACTTCAACATTAGGTATTTGATCATTCCCGCGTGAACATGCCAGACCACCGTACGCTTTATTTACACTTTGCTCACACCTTCATTTTCATTTATATTTCTTAATGCTTATTTTGCATTGAAAGTATAGCGAGAGTGTGACGAAGATGTAGCGAACGTATACAATACTCTTTCACACTTTCGTCAGACCTTTGCTTCTTTTAATGTATACAAAAAGAAATGAAGAGGAACATACAGCGGAGAAGTACACATGCACAAACGTTATCTCTTTGTTCAAAAAATCATCTAGTAGCCTACACATATATGTACCTACATACGAATATTCATGTTTAATTTAATGAACAATGTTTGTGTCAAATGACACAATTTTATTATGAAAATTATTTTTCAACAAATGAATATTCGTAAGTGTGTATATGTGTAGGCTACTAGATGATTTGTTGAACAAAGAGATAACGTTTGTGCATGTGTTCTTCTCCGCCGCATTTTCCCCTTCATTTCTTCCACTTTTAAAATATGAAAAAGATCTCAATAGGGAAATGCCATACTTGATTTTGTAAAAAAATTCAAGGATTGCAAGATGATGACCAATTGGCCAACATAGGAAACTATCCATAAGAGACAAATAAGACAATTTTTTTATAGCTTTACGTTTGAGCAGTGTTTCATATATCGCTATCAGTATCCGTAAGATAACTGAGAGGGATATATTCAGTAGGGTGGCCCAAATCTCTCATACATGTTGAATCATTGCTCCCAAGTGCCTAAAATAAATTATGGACCAAAACTAGCCAACTTGCATCATTAAATAGAAAAATGTAATTTGGACCGGCTGGCTAAAATTGTAGGAAAAATGTCATTTTTGGGTCATTTTTTTACTTTCGAATGAAAAAAAGTATATGAAGCAGATATTTTTGGAATCGAATGCATCATCATTTCTAGGGTAATTTTTTTCGCTGAATCCGAATCTGGCCTTGAAAATATCAAAAAATTAACAATCAGCCCAAAAATGGAACTTTTTAACCAATTTTTCACAAAAATTCGAAGAAATTGTGGTTTTTCACAGACGGTAGCTCATTTTTAAGGCTTGATTCGGATTTAGCCGAAGTTACTGACAAAACATACAAAAATTTCACCAAAATTGTCATACATGATCAAAATTTTGCTATTGATCACGATTTTTCGCTTTTAATTCACTTTAAATTATCGCGGTTTGTATTTTTTCTCTTCTAACTCTCTTCTCACTCCTTCCATGCGTACTATGCATACACAACAAGCGTACTGTGTTTGATGCAAAAGAGACTAGAAGAGAGTGAGAAGAGAGTCGAATAAAACTATACGAAGAGAGTGAGAAGAGAGTGTACACTCTTCGAAAAGAGTATTATACTGACTTGGGGTACCATCCGAACAACGGTAACAGTGTATCGTCTCTATCTCCTTCTGCGTATATCTGTGTGCGTGTTGTTTTCCCTTCCACATTCATCAACGATTCCACTTTGGTTCAATCACTGAATTGAGATGGTATGTATATTGTTTTATGTATATGGATGAGTACAGGCGTATCGTTGTATGAGTGTAGTTTATGTTCGATATGATTCGAAATAACAAGTAAACAATGCACTGTGGAATAAAGAATGAAAAAGAAAAAAAAGTGTTGTGCGTGTGTTCATACAGAGTAATATACATTCGCATTCAACGCGCTGTCATTCACAAACCTCTCGGATAACTTGAACGAAAACTAACGAGAATACAAAAAAATATAACATCAACATCAAACACACACTGTGAAAAGTTTATATCGAAAATTTATCAATCAATTGAATAAATACTAAAACAATGAATAATATCATTTGCATCAACTTTGTTGTCATTGTATTTTTTTTAAGTACAAGTAAAAGTGAACATGCCTACTTCAATCCTTACAATTGTACAAATGTACCCCGGGGTCTTGTTTATGTTTGTGGTACTGATGGTAAGACCTATGACAACAGATTCTTTTTGAGGTGTGCTCAACATGAAGAGTACGGACAAAGAATAAATTTACAAGAAAGCCATGCTTGGATATGTTTTATATGGGAAGAATACGGTATCTCAACCTCCACACTTTTACTTGTGAGTTAATTTTGATTTGATTTAGTTTTGATAGATATAAAATGTTCTATAATTTTGTTAATTCTTCAGATTATACTTGCTCTGGTTATACTTGCTGTTTGCTTGTGCATTTATCGAAAGAAACGAACCAGTCGAAAAAAAGAAGAATCAAACCGAAATGTTGATTTAGAACAGATTAATGTCAATGCTGAATTAAATGTATAAGGTAAGTGATGGTAAGGGACACCCTTTTTTCTCTCATGTGTATACGAAAAAGTAAAATTAAATGTTTTTAAAAATGTTTAATATAAATGTTTTTGTTTTTTAACAATCCCGTATATATATCGTATATGTTTTTATTGTGAATCATGGACGACATAAAGAACAAAACCATCCACGCCATTCTGAACCTCACTTGGGTTGGAAAAAACATGATTTAAATGGTAAGTTTTTTAAATTTTTTTGATTTTATTTTTCTATCAAATAATAATAATTTTCGAATTAATTTTTTCTTTTCAGCTGAATATAAGTACCACACTGGTCGACCAATTGCGCATACAGAGAGAGAAATCCAGATGTTGCTCAATCAAATGAACTATGTTCATGAAATATCACCCAACTGGTATATTTCAACATCACCAAAATCCCAGTTGCATCGCCAGTAAAGTTAAACTATTTCCGATTTGCTGATTGTTTGTAAAAAGCATGAATGTGTGTGTACGCGTGTGAAATTATCAATAATAAAAATTTAATCTCAACTGGAAACTCAAAAAAATCGAATTGTTTATGTACCAAAATTGACTAGATATTTGACTGTATCTGTATGACCTAAAAAAGCACGAAAAGTAAGAAGAATAATCTTAATTTTTAAAAGAGCGCAATTACCATTCTCAGCAGCCTTATGAAGTGTTCACATTGGCACCTTTTTCTACGGGTGTTGATACCAGTGTGGAATACACAGTATTTTAGATGTGTGAATCACTTTATCACAGTTATTTTGATAAGAGTTTAAAATTACCTTCTTCAACGGCATAGAAAAACCGATCATCTAAATAATTAATTGCGCGTACTTTGAAACAGATAAAAAGTAACACAAACAAAATATTCACTTGATTTACTTTCATCATGACAAAAAAACACAATCCAATATTTTATAGTTTCCCAATTGAATTGTGAAAAACTGTCTTTGAGGACAAAATATAAAGAATAATATTATTTCCACTACTAGTAGCGCCTTTCGTTGCGACAAGCTGTATTTTGATTTAGTAATTTGACGATCAACTTTTAATATCGAATTATCATCTTTATTTATCGTTGATGATTGGGGCGAGAGTAATAACTTTGGCTATGGGATCCCCTGATCATGAATCAGGCGTTTTTTTTGCGAGAAAAGTAAAAACTGAGATGTCACGGGTCAAGGTGAAGTATCAAAAATGGAAATAGTTTGGATTTTTTTGAATTTTTGTAGAAGGCATAAAAATACACTAAACTTATTTTGCTACTTAAATCATCAGAACAGAACCCAAATAACACATTGCAACAGAAAATTCCATGCAAAGTCAAAAATTGCTACCATCACCATGAAGTGACAATTCACCGAATTCATTCGAAAAATCTCAAAAATTCCAATTTTCAAGTGATTCATTTCTGAACGAAAATTGAAGGTTCTCTGATCCGAAATGATCAAAAAATGTCTGAAAATGATGTGCGCGAGGTTTAAGCTTTCTAACACAGCGGTAATTCATGGCAAAAATTCATTTTCGGTACCAAGTGGTGACCTCATCGAAAAATACGTATGTCTTTTATATAAAAATGTATGTATTATAAATGTATGTATTATTTTAAACGTTTTAAAAAAATTTTTGTGGAAAATTCAATTTTGTTGCATTTCAATCACAATTTTCAATTCTTTTCAATCAAAACGTCTGTATACGTACTGTTTATAAGGAATATACACATTCGGGATGATAATGGGATGTAAGTGACACAATTTAATGTAAGAGCTTTCAAGTTTTAGAGGTACAGGATTCCATTCCATCCATTGATATGACAATGTGATCAACTCGAATTCACTATACTGCACTATGACTAAAGATCAGATGTTAATGATGCTGGAATGTCACATTGAGTAAAATACATTAAAAAAGTTCAGATGCAGAAGAGTTTTGGCCACATCATTCAAGAAATTGGCGAAAATATTATAATTTTCGTGATTTTACTTTATTTTTTCCTTAAGGGGTCCATTAGGTACCAAAAATGAATCTATGACATGGGATACTTTGCACACATTAATTTCAGACAATTATTCCTCATTCGGGATCAGGAAACCTTTAATATTCATAAATTTGTGTTCAGAAGTGAATAGTTCTGAAAATCAGGATTTTTGAAAATTTTCAATGAAATGTTTCTCCATGGTGAAGGTATCCATTTTTAGGTTTGAATGAATTTTCCTAATACAATGTGTTATTTGGGTTCTGTTTTTATGATTTAAAGTGAAAGTATAGTGTATCTTTATGCCTTCCACATAAATCCAAAAAAATTCACATTTTTCCTATTTTTGATACTTACGGCGGTTGACCCGTGACATCTCAGTTTATATTTTTTTCGCAAAAAAACGCTCGATTCTTGATCATATGATCCCATAGCCATGGTTATTATCAAGGGAAGGGCACGTATATGAGAGACATGGCGACGTGCCAAACCGTAACGCCATCTATCGGATAGAATCTGAATTACAAATTTCGTATTGACTATCTCATATTTGTGTAATTTTGTTCATAGAATTATAAGGTTTATTCCGACAAATTTGTAGGGTTTTTGTTCGCCAACATTTTACATACCATGCCATACCCTTGGTTATTACCCTCGCCGTTAAAATGTTTGAAAAATGCTACACCCTAATATTCATCGGATTAATAAAAATTGACAATTTGTATGAAAATACACAGGTGGCCTTAAATTTTTGCAGGGTAGTGTAAAAACAAAAAGTATCGCACCCATGAATATAAACATTTTAAATCATTTCATAGTTAATGCGTTGATTTATCAAGAAATTCATTATCAGTTAGAATGAATAAAGGATCCTTCTAATTCACAAGATCCTCTTCCAGCTTTTGTGTCCACTGTCCAACTGTCTAGCAACATGATACGATTCAATGGGTAACTAAGCCAATAGGGACGTTCGGTACTCAAATCCAAATATTTTATATCAAAATGTATAGCGTTTTATACACATATCAATTTATATATCGGTTGATTTTCACTTTGATAGCAAAACAAGAATGATTTTATATGTGTGTATGGCCAATATTTATTTATTAGATAGGGATTACATTTTTAACTGTAGATAAGGTTAAATAACATCAATCAAGAGTACACGTATGGCAGAAAAAAAAATCCAAGAAAGTGAATAATTTCTATTTCGCGCATTTCATATCGATAAGAGTCGAAGTAGTTTTTTGTCTCTCTCTCTTAATGGTAAATTATTGTTTGTAAAGATAAAAAGAACGTCGTTCATATTCAAATAAAGTTATGTGATGTAAACGTATTTTTTATGACCTTTTCCGTAAAATTATTAAGTCATGCCTGGAATATAAAAAAAAATTTGGTTCACAAAAAAATTGACAATGGTTACTACTTTGACTCTTATCGAAAATTGAAATATTCCATAAGATAATATACATAAACACTTTGACAAGAACAAATACAAATAAGAATATGTAAATAATGTGTTTAAAACACCTGAACTGAAAAGAAATCATTTATTTTGAGCACAAGGCATTTATTGTGCGACTATATTGCAAAGCATCTAATAAAAAATCACATCAAATTAAATTGTTTTCCACTACTACTACATAAAATGTGCGAAAATTAGTATTCAATTATTTGTTTACACCGTAAATTGTACAAGTCTACATTTCTTATTATAATTGAAAACATTCATTTATTTCTTTATTGTCTATTTCGATTGGTATCGTTGTTTGGTGGTCACACTTTAATTGAATTATTGAATTTGGAAGCAGCAAATTATTTGGTATTCTTTAAATTTGGCATAGTCATTATATGATTGCATTATTTTATGGCTTTTTCTAAGTATGTTTGAACTTTCGGCCAAATTTCATCGGTTGTGCGACCTTCAAATTCCGCTAAAATGCCTAGTTGACGATAGAAATCAGCCATCGGTTTGATACAAGCATCGTACACTTCCAATCGCTTTTTCACTGTTTCTGGATCATCGTCTTCACGTTGTACTAACTCTTCTCCAGTTACATCATCACGGCCCGGAACTTTTGGCTTATTGAAATGTAAATTATACACACGTCCACTTGGTAAATGCACCCATCTATCTTTAACACGCTCAATTATCACATCATGTGGCACAGATAATTGTATTACAGATTCAACTGGTTGAAAATTCCATAAGTATTCTGCCTGTGCAATTGTCCTTGGAAAACCATCAAGTAACCATGAATCATTTCCAATTGCACTCACTCGATTCAAAATACATTTAATAATTAGATCGTCTGGCACCAATTGACCTGCTTTTATATATTTATCAGCTTCGATTCCTAATGGTGTCTTCATCTTAACATTTTGACGCAATAAATCGCCCGTGGCGGCGTATTTAAAGTTGAATCGCTTCAGAATTCGATCGGATATTGTACCTTTGCCACTGCCTGGAGCTCCCATTATTATTGCTCGGAATAATTTTAATTTTCTCATGCTGACAACCGTTTATTAAATCCAATAAATAATTTAATTGAGTCGACGAATCGGGCACAAAAACTATAATGTAACAGAACTGTGTTTGTGCTTGACACTTGATTCAATTTTGAAGGGCAAACACTGAATGAAAAGAAAGAAAACGTATTATCAATTTTATTTTATTTAAAAATATTTCACTATCTATTACAGCTGAAGACAAAACAAGCTCGTATCGTTGAAAAAAATCAGCATGTTTTTTTTCTAATTAGACAGAAGAACACATACTAAAATTCAAAAGGGATTTTCCGTGGAGAAAATGTTCCACTTCGATTAATGTTTTTACATAAATTCAATCAATGGATATTTTTTCCTTTAACACAGCAAAGACATTTTGACCCAACAACTACACTTCATGTCATTATCTCTGATAAAAACTGAATGAAGAGACAGTACATATTCCGAATGTTGCACACATGCGAAGTCAATGTGATACATAATATGACGTCGTTCGTGTTATTCCATTATTCCACGCATTCCTTACATGAATGATAACATAATTTCCAATGTGTTGAAATTCCCGTGCAGTTGTCACATGCTGTGACCATGTCTAACAGCATACCAAAATGATATGTTTCAATCTAGCATCTATCTTTGTCGAATTTCGTAAAACAAGATCAAGACATTTTTAAATCGTTGAATTTACATTGTTGAAAAAACAATTTCTTGTTTGCCACAGCAAAAATAATAATAATAATATAAAAAAACAAAACGAGATAATGTTTAAACCATTCTCATTGGCGAGCTTCAACTCACTGCATGTCATGCTAGTACCGCTGTCACACATTGACAGTTGCTGTCTAAGTTCCGAATGTGTGTTGTACGCCATACAATATTGTGAGTACGGCGTCAGTCAAACACTCATCGTGTAATCAATACATGGTGTATTTTAATTTAATAGTTGACAGCTCCATTAGAAAAAAGTCTTCATTAACGTGTGTTTCAGATTTGTTGAATATTGAATTGTGATTTAAATTACAGCATATATTGGACAAGTATATTTTCTTTCGTATTTCAGGTAAATCAATTGACAAAATTTTCTTTTTTTTGTAGATGATAAAAGTTGTGTGTTGTTGATGAACTGTGTAAAAGTGTCCATCATGTGTGTGTTTCTATTTGTACCGAACAACATCGGCCATTTTTAATTTTTTTTTCAGGCGCAATTTATACCTCTTTTTTTATACCATAAAATGCTGTCTCGATTAACTCTAATTTGAAATCAGTGTTTTTTTTTCTCCAATTTTTATCTTGTCAATAACATTATCTGCAAATTTGAAAATGAATCAAATTCATCATTGAATCAGTAGGGTGTGTGTTGTATGTGTAAAGTCATGTTCGGCAAATTCTGTGAAGCCGAAAACCGAGAACAAAAAAAAAACTTAAATTTATTCGAACATTGTGAACTACTGATAAATTGAGCATTTTGTCAAACTGAATTCGCAATCGGATTTGAAGTAAAACAGTTGATTTTCTGATGTGTTCGTTGGCACAATTCACAACAACAACTTCTATGAATATCTAATGGAAATGACGTTTTTTTTTGCTTCGTGAGCAAGTGGAACGTGAACGGGTTATAACTTTGAATTATAATTTTAAACCATTTGTGTAAATAATAATATCATTTTAAATGTGTTTGAAATCTTAGTTTTTGTTTTTATCTGTTAATTTTTTTTTTTGCTCTGGCTTAATAATGACGAGTTATCAAATTTCATGAAAAATGTGTGTTTATCTTTGTCTCTGGAAAAATGACAAACCACCTGAATTTGCTTCCCTTTTCTCTTGATAGCGTGACGCTTCAACGTATTTGTAATTGCAAATGACTGAGTAAAAAAAAGTGTAGAAAACAAATGACACAGATCAAAAACGAAAATCGGTGAACACAAATTTAGTTATAAATGATCTCATCCACACCATCAAACCATGGAACGAAACAATCAAATGATGTGTTCGCTTAATTCTGAATGGGTAACCAAATCGATTGAGTATCATGGCCAACCATTACAGAAGGTTTGGGAAGGCGAACATGGCATTCAAAGTTTACAAAATATTGGAGTGCGTAATCCCGATTTTACATTGTATCAAATGCGACAAAAGCAATTTGTCTTCCAAGATCGTGCCAAACGCTTAAAAATCCATTCGTTTATTGCGAAGAAAGCAAATGAATTGTTCACAACTGATCCGGGCAAAGAATGTCTACGATCAAATAATGCCAATTTAATTATTGCCAATGGCACAGGTGAGCGACCACAAATCCGATTGAAACAAAAAACTCGAAAACAAAACCAAAAAGATTGAAACAATTAATACTGATTCAATAATGTGATTTTAGGATGTTATGCCGATATGCCACCATTGAATGTATTTCTTCCTGAAAAAGCCAATCGCAGTAATTTGGTGAAGAAAATTTACTCGGTTTGTTGATTTGCATTTGATTAATCGTAAATGAAAAAAACGTCATCACTCTGTCATTTATTTACAGCAACTAAAAGTTGGCGATATTATTTATGGGAAAATTCAAAGTTTGCAAACCGGAGGCTGTTTAATTCGTTTATTGTGTACACATCCGCCAAACTTTCATGTTTTCAATGACGTTAAGGCCCGGGTAAACATTTGAAATCAAATTGAAAATGATACTTTTTGCTATTTTCGACCAAAAAAAAAATAATAATATATGTAGTAAATGCTGTTGTGTTGTTATTTGTTTTTAGGCATTCTTGCCACATTCACTTCAAATACCGGCCATCGATAATAAGGGCATTGCTCGCACCTATTTGTCAAACGATTTGGTGTGCTGTGAAATTATTGAGGTGAATGAATTGAGCGAAAAATTGGTGGTTGGCATGAAAGGGCAATATTTCAAATCCAGCAATGAAACGACTGATATCAAACTTGGTTTAACACAATCGAGTCAATTGCCGGAAAAATACAAGTAAGTGATTTTACACAACAACCCCCCCAACACAAAATTAAACAAAAACAAAAATTTACCAGAAAATCAATCAACAATTATCAATTTAATTGCCATTTGATAATCGCTTTGTTTAACGGCCTCCCCCACAAAATGTGGGTAACCATATTTATAAGCACACAAATGTACTATCAAGAGAAAATAAAACATTTATTCTGAAAACAAAAACGCATATGACTCGTTTGAACGTGTGAAATCAAACACCAAATTGATTTGAACAGTAACAATAAACAAATGGCGCTTTGTTATTACTTTTGTTTTTGGCGACAGAAAAATAATAAAATAAAACGTACAATAAACGAATACCATTTTTATAATATGATTGAACGAAAGTGTATCATTTATTTTTATCTATATATGAGTGTTGTTTTGTTCATACTCTTTCTATATTCATCGTTACCGTTCCGTTTTGTCTCTTTTTTTAATTCCATTAAGAAAATTGAAATTATGTATTTCGATGTATGGTTGCCGGGGACAACAGTCACTAACACTTCTGTTTCTTTTGTTACAGGTTCGCATCGGAGATAGCGGGCCGATCATATGAATCGGTTTTAGAGGACTCGTCTGGTTTTGATAATCCACGGTGTATTGAACATTTATGTGAATTAATTGGTTTGGAATCAAATACATTTTATACAAATATGAGTGGTTTACGGGGAAAGTATCCAAATGACGAATATTCGTCAGAATTACGGCAATCACAAGCAAGCAGTTGGGCATTTAGGTAGGTCATGTTTTTTTTTTTTTTTTTTTTTTTTTTTTCAAAAAATGTCTTTAAAATTTTTTGAATTCGGTGGAATTTAAATACTTAAAAAAAAACACTTCTTTTCAGGTCGGTTGCCGATGGAATTGAACATTTTAAAGAAGGTCGCCACGCTGAAGCGTTTCAGTGCTTAAATAAAGCATTAACCATTGATCCGCGCAATGTTGAAGGTCTTGTTGCACGTGGTGCACTTTATGCAAATAATGGTTCATTGAAAAAAGCGGTCGAAGATTTTGAATATGCATTGAAAATAAATCCAACGCATTCGAATGCTAGAAAGTATATGGGCGAAACTCTTGTCGCTCTTGGTCGAAATTATGAAGAAGAAAATTGTCCAGAAGAAGCGAAAAAAGCATATCAAGATTGTTTAACCATTTTGCCACACCACGAAGAGGCACAAAAATCATTGAATTTCTTGTGGAGTAAAGGTAGTGGTTCGTCGAAGCAAATTATCGATATGAATGACTTGGCGTTGCCAGGTAATCATTTTTTTTTAATCGATTTCCTTACATATTCTATTTCGTTTCGTTCGTTTTCAATCAATCGGTTGCTATGGTGATGAAAACATCAACGCTGTCTACGAATTATTTTATTCATTTGATATTCTTTGAATTTGTTGTTTGTGTATTTATTCTGTAATAATAAATTTCATTTTACGATGGATCTTTTAGCGTTGAATATCAGAACATCAGAACCGAATCGTGGTGATGCTTCGTCGGCAATAAGTGGAAGCACAAATGCTGATACACGCAAAGAGAGCAGCAGCTCAAAGAAGGGAAAAAAGAAAAAGTCAAAGAGTCGTAAACGACATTCGTCGAGTTCGTCGAGTAGTGACAGTAGTGAATCAAGTGAATCGAGCAGTGCTGAATCGTCAAGTAGTAGCGAATCGTCATCATCATCAGGTAATTTGCAATATCGAAACCACTGTCAAAATACAGTATATCATGTGCTGTCTAGAATCAATATATACACACACACACATACTCATTAATGTCATTATCATCCACTAATTTTACATCATTTGAACACAAACCAAAATCAAGTCAATTGATGGTCATCCACATTTAGAAAGATTCGACTGCTTGATGTGTTCTCATCCATCAAATACTTGAACCATATGTTTTGTTTTTTTTTTTCTTTTTTAGGTTCGTTCATGAAATTGTCACAAATGAAAAAAAATTTAATTCAAGTCAATTGAAAATGAAAATATTGTGTGTACTTCCATAACACATAAAAAAAATTACTATCTTCAAATACCGTGGCACGCGATACTCTTTTTTTTCTATCCTCATACAGTTTGGAGTCCGATAAAATCGTTTATAGTATCAACTAAGCATTTGTATTGCATTTTCGATTTCGGATTTATTTGAATGGCATTCGTGGTCGCAACGAAATAATAAATGATAAAAATACAACATTTCAGACCGCATGCATCATGTACGCACCAATTTGTTAAATATGGTTTTCAAACATTTTATTTCCTTTGTTGCATTTTGTATTTATAAACGTTATTTAAACATTGACATTCATCCAAATTCCAGCAAATCGATTGAATTGTCGCGGCTTATTAGAAAAATATAACATGTGTCCATGAGCACAGTCGATGCTACAAAATCCTCGACATTATTCGAACTGAAAATGAAAGTAGATATTGTTTTATTATTGCGATGACAACTTAATAGCCTTATAAAATGTCCTGATTATGTCGAAAAATCTATTAAATTGTGGGCAACAGAATGTGATGATGTAACCGATTTAATGGTGTTTGAGGACCGTAAAAATTGCTCGACACATGCAAATCATGGAATCGATGTCAATAATTGCTATGCATACCGAACAAAAGCAACGGAAACCAAAAAACCAAAACCGTCCTTTTATTTTAGGTATAGCCTGTTCGTAATTTATTTTTGTTCTAGAAAAAGCGTGCACATGGAATGTGGAAGCCTTTTAATCGAAAATATAAATAGAACATATAATGGATATATTGTTTATGAGCTGTGTATACAATAACAATTGAAGCGATGACGAACAACAATTATACTGAACACACAGGGGAAAAAAAGCAATACTTTACGATAATAGGGATATAATAATTTGTCATTCGTCAGTTCAGTGCAGCAAATAACATCATATATAAGCGACACGTTGTGTCTTTGTTTCGTTGTGAATCGTCTTTTTTTTTGTGCAATTGTTCTGTTACATATTTGGGCGCTAATGCCCCAGTTTTTATAAGATGCAGACGGGATTTAATTTTCCAACCTATTTTATTTTAGATTCGGACCGATCAAAGTCACGCAAGAAGAAGAAACGATCGGAGAAATCGTCGCGTCAGCGATCGATGTCACCATTAAGTCGTCGCATGGCAATGTTTAGTGGTGGCATTGATGGGAATTTGGTCGATAATAGCATGGCAGGAGGTAGTGCACCGTACAATTATCCGCCGCAAATGTTTTCGGGCGTATCGAGCTCAGACACTGCTCCCATTCCGAATGATTACGATTTGAGAGTGAGCAAATTTTTAGATATGACTCGCGATGATGATAATTACGAGGAAAAGGTTCGGAAATTCGTAGAAGAGGCTTCGAAATACAAGAAGGAACGCAAGAATCAAGAATCGAAGAAGAAAGATCGCAAGAAATCGAAGAAAAACAAGAAGGATAGCAAGAAAAAGAAGAAGGAGAAGAAATCGAAGAGCAGCAAGAAAGACAAAGACGATATGATTGATGGCAACGAATTACGTGAAGCTTTGAAGTAAGTCATTTCTATTGAAATCAAATACAATTAACTGATTTGATACTTTGCTTTTAGGCTCATCACAAAATTGCCAATTTTCGATTTGAATGCCAAGAAATCTGACATCGAAATGGTTGAGAAGAGCTTGAGTCAACTCAAAGAAGAGTACGTTTTTCATATTAACATGCACAATTATTATTTTGGATTTGAATGCAACACGTAGAAATGAATTTACTAATCTTTAGCTTGTAAATATATAGCCCATATTCTTACAGAGAAAAAAAAATGTCGAGTGCCGAAAGCAAACCAGAAGAGAATGAGGGTAAATGGAAAATGCAAATGTTCCCCAAAGACAGGTAAATAGAAACGATTCGACCGCCAAACAAGTTGACTTCACTTACATTTGACATTTTTTTCCCCATTAGCAAAAAAGAAGCATCCGCTTCCAAGTATGCGTTCCCAAATGAGGACGAAGATCAAGATGATTCACTGAATATTCCAAAGCAAACATCATACGGTGCATCACATCCGCCAGCTTCATATCCAACCAAATATGAAACCAACAAGCAATTACCAATGCCATCACATCCACCGGCCGGTCCATCCGTTCTCGATAAATTTGGTAAGTTAACATTCACCTCAATTCAAGTTATATCGAGCATCAATAAATAAATATTCTCTTGAAATGTTCAGGTAACTTCCGTCGAGCTGACCAAGGTGACATGTCTGACAAACCACCAGAGCCACCAAATTATCGATCACGCTCACGCAGTCATACTCGTAGCAGTCGCTCATGTAAGTATAATGAAATCCAATATGAACAAAAACATGCATCTAAATATCATTTTCATCGAACCACAGACTCTCGTTCTCGAAGTCGCTCACGTAGCTATACCCGACGTCATCGCTCACGATCCTATTCTCCACGTCGTCGCAGCTACTCACGTTCTAGAAGTCGTTCAGGCAGCCCACATCGGCGACGCATTGGTTATCAGCATAACAACAGACCTCGTTACTTCAACAACAATCGTGGAGGTAAGGATTCTATGACGACGTTATCCTTTGAATACCTTTTTACAATTTCACAATAATTTTCTAATGATGATGCATTCGCTTGATTCCAGGAAATCGATTCAATCGTGGTTTCCAAAATCGAGATTTTCGCAACAATCGGAATCGCTGGAACAATAACCGCAACAATGGCTGGAATAATAATCGTGGTAATCGCAATCGTAATTGGAGATCACGATCACGGAGCCCATATTCGCGTTCAAGAAGCCCATACGATCGGCGGCAAGATAGCAATCCACCAACGAAGCCACCATCACCACCACCACAAGAAGTCAACCAGACTGATGCTGTTCCAGCACCAAATTAACTACAAACAAAAATTTATCGATTTACAAACAGACTATTAAATACAAACACTCTTAAAGTATTACAAGTAGCGAACCAACTATAGAAATTTCATTTTTATTATACATCGAATGATGAATTTTACGAATCAGTCTGTTTTAATCAATCTACTTTTGATCCATTGGCTGCAAAATTCCTGTTCTTTTTTGCTGTTCGGATTAGTATCTACTAGAAATTCGTTGGGAATGAAGACGCATATTTTTTTACAAAAAAATTAAATAAGCTGCTGGCGTTAATCTAACAATATAATGTAAAGCACTATAGCTCTATATTCAATCAAAGATTTTAAAATGCGAATCAATAAATTGATATGAAATAAAATGACTTCTTGTTTTTCTTATTTTCTAGTTTTGGAAGTTTGTAATTCGTATCAAACCAAATATTTAACCTCATCTTTTTGTGACGTGAAAAACCCATAGAACGATCGAAGCAAATAATTTCATACCTATTATAAAAGTCGAATGTCGTATCGTAAAAATGAACGCAGAAAAGCGAAACAAAATTGTGACATGCCGGGCGTGGTTAGCGCACAAGTTGGTGTCTTCGAACAAACCAACTAAGTGGGCTTCGCTGACTTCTTGCAAAGCGAGTACAGCTACGCACTGTAAACGCACATCGGTTTTGAAATCTCGAGCGATTTGATAAACCAACCGTTGGAATGGCAATTTGTGGATCAACAATTCAATCGATTTCTGGTAATGACAAATTTCACGAAGAGCGATATTTCTGGACGATAACGATGTGATTTCTTCACTGGCTGGTTGGTCATTGTTACTTTTGCGATTCGTTTTCTTATTTTGATTTTTAGGACGCACTGCCTTTCCACCAGACGCCTCCCCAGCAAATGTCTTACGCGCGGTTTGCTTTTTACGAGCCATTTCTCCTTTATCTTCTTAGTTTTTTCTTTTCTCGGGAAGAGTCAAACACACAGTGAGTTGTCAGCACAACATTTATGTTCGGTTGAATGTTGCACATAATAATGGCTATTGGCGCCATCTCCTTTTGAAAATTAGCAATATTGCGATTTAAACAATTTCTTATAAAATTACATTTCAAATGTTCTATAAATTCAAGGTTTGTTTGTGCCGATAAAAGTGCATTTATAAATACGAGATAACCACCAGTTCAGTATGATTTTAATCAATCTTTGCTAGATGATGACTTCTTTCCAACTGTAATTAGCTTATTGGTCAATAAATGCTCTAACCTTTGTAACTTCAATCAATTTGGGTGAAACTAATAAGCAAATTTTGTAAGCATACATAATAATAAAATTTGACATTCCAAAGAGGTTACCGGATGAACAAATATAATATTTTAAAAAATGCTATAAATCGAATCACCTGGTGGATGGTATGATCCATAATTGGAACCGTTACAACAAATTGAACTGTAAAGTTACTTGTCCAACAGTTTTCATGTACAGTACAACTGAACTTACAAGTTGTTTGTTCAATGAGTTTATGTCACATATATCGTGTAGTTTTCATCGTACACATAACAATAGCATATATAGTTAACCAACAACACATTACAACACTCACTGATTTGTATGTATGGATGTGCGAGTGTATTGGTCTTGTCATGCTGTATGTGAGTTTGGTAAATGCGTGTGTGTTTAGTTATACGTCACGTAGTATCTGTCTAAATGTCACACGTCAAGCGTATTTCAGTCAGCAATTTTCTTGCGGAAAAGTTCAATTTTCAGTGATTAAATGTGAAAAATTCGAAAAAAAAACTCATAAAATTGTAGCATTAAACTTAAAAAAGACCTTGAGTAAATTTGTGTAATCTTTGAAAAAATATAATACTGCCATTGTAATCATCTGAATGTGTGTTTCAATGAATAAGATGAGAGATGATCAAGAGTTTAATATAATGTTCGTGAAAATTATCGAACGCGAACGCAGTTTGTACGATAAATCATTGCCAGAATATCGAAGCAAAGAAGAGCACGAACGAATTTGGCTAAAAATCTCAACTGAAGTCAATGAAAGTGGTAAGATAACAACAGTAATGGATTTTAAATTACAAACAGTAATTGTCATCGCCATTGTTTGACACCAGAAACACAAATCCACTCAAAACATTGCATTGGCACAGATAGATTTTCAATTTTCCATGTAATAGCATGACAAAAGCGTAAATAAAATTCAAAATTTCAAATTGTTTGTCGTGAATGGCATGTGATGTGTTGATTGTTATTTTCCCATCAATTACTTTGTGTGAAAGACATTTGGCTGTGTTTTTTTTTGTGGCAAACATTTGTTATCATTGTTGCATTACAAACGATGTTTCGAATGGCATGTTGTACACTGTAGCCGAAAAACAATAACAATTGCTGAAAAACTGTTCAGCGTTCGAAAAGACATGTTCGTAACATGCATTTGAATTTCGTTACGGTGACGACAAAGAAAACCGTTCCATATCATATGTTGTATTCTGTATTTTCTCTGTTTATTTACAGTGGCTCATTGCAAAGAACGTTGGAGAAATCTTCGAGCGTGTTTAACTCGACATTTGAAGCAACAACAAACGTCGTCAGAAGATGGTTCAGTAAATCATAAACCATATTATTTGGCTGAGCATATGAATTTTCTGTTGCCATATACAAAGAGTCGATCGGTGAAAGAGCAAATTAAATACGAAACACCAGTGTTGGAAGACCACAAACCATCAACGTCCAAATTGGCAAAAGTGAGTACTGGTGGCACAACCACAACGACTTACACAATTTCAACAGCTGATTCAGATGAGAATCAATATGTGACACTGATTCAAACGTCAACTGGTGAAGTGACACCAGTCACCGATGCACTGGATGAGGCCCATATACAGGTCGAAACAGAAACAGAAACCGAACAAAAGACAATTGTTGATCAAGCATTCACGAGCTCTAATAGTGTTGTCTCGCCCAAAGAACATTTACAAGAGATTATCTATGAACCCGTACCAACAAAACGCATAAAAGTCTCCCAAGAAACTGACGACGCTGATTTGGATTTCTTCCGCAGTTTATTACCTGACATTCGTTGCATGAGCGCATCACAAAAGCGTCGCTTTAAAATGGGCATTTTTGGATTAATCGATAACGTTCTTACCAATAATGATATCCACTCTTAAATCAATTCATATTTTAAAAAAATTGTGTATATTTTTGAAGAAAACCTGAACTCTTCCGAAACATTTATGGAATATATTGTAACTCATTTTATCTCTTCTTTTTTTATTTTTTAAATAAATGCTATTAAAATTTAAATTCGGAACTGTTTACTCATTTAGTATTGCGATGTTAACATAAAGGCTAATTTAAAATTCATTATCATGTTGTATTTGTTTTCCGTTCATATGTCACAATAACAATGCGTACAAGCGTACGTATGATATGGAGCGCATACAATTTGTAATCATTATTTAAACATAAAGGAATCAATTGAAATCATTCAAGTGGGACATGTCGATTTGACAAGTCGATATTATTTCTAAATTGAGTCACGTTCATGTCAATGTGAATATTTTCGTCCCATTTTGTGGCAAACGGAATTGGGCCTGTTTTTGATTCAATTTACAAGAAGACATCGAGTGAACAGATTAAGTTAAGCTAAAAGTTGTTTTTTTTTAAGTGTGCCATTTTTGATCTGAACAAACAAAATTTTATTGGAAACAATCTGATCTGAACAGTTAATTTGATACGCTGACTCAAGGCATTCATAAAAGAGAAAATGAGAGTGGAACCGCTGCAAAGTGACAATATAGAACTAGCTACGCAACAAAACAATTGGCTACACAATGAAATCGTACAGTCAACCTCATTACGATTAAGTCATTCAATCCGTCATCATGGCCTTATCCAAACACAACCAAACATTTCGATGAATCCAACACCTCCGATGATCATTCAAACCCAGCCAACAGCATCACCTCCACCACAATTGGAAAATCCATTACCTATCAATTCATGCCCTTTGGGTCTTGAATATTTGGCTACCATTGACCAATTGTTAGTACAACAAAAAGTGGAATTGATTGAAGCAATCACTGGTTTCGAAACGAATAACAAGTTTAACGTAAAAAATGCACTAGGCCAAAAATTGTACTGGGCCGCTGAAAATAATGATTGTTGTACGAGAAATTGTTGTGGACCATTGCGTCGGTTTAAACTTCGTGTATTCGATGCGTATCAAAATGAAGTGATGCATCTACGTCGACCAGCTGCATGTGATAGTTGTATTTTCCCATGTTGTTTACAATCGATTGAAGTATACGCTCCGCCCGGTAAATACATTGGTTCGGTTAAACAAAAGTGGTCAGTGTGTTATCCATATTTCTCAATAAAGAATGTTCACAACGAAACCATTTTACGAATCGAAGGACCAGTGTGCACATTTTCAATGTGCGGCAATGATGTTGACTTTAAAATTTTAACCATGGAAGGTGTCGAAATCGGAAAAATTTCAAAACAATGGTCTGGTCTTGTTAGAGAACTATTCACCGATGCCGATTTCTTTGGAATCTCATTTCCACTCGATTTAGATGTTGAGATAAAAGCAATTATGTTAGGCGCATGCTTTCTCATCGATGCAATGTTTTTCGAAAAATCGGCAAATATCGAACGAGATAGACCGGGAATGTTCTAAATCGAGGAAGAGGTATTTTTTTGAAAAAACACACCTACACTTACACGCCATCTTTTAAGTGTTTATTTTATATGTGAAGAGAATATGTCATATTATGTCAGTGAAAAAACATAACCAAACAACAATTTGTATACTTTGTTTAAAGTAGATAGTTATTCAGAAAAAAAAACGTTTCAATAAACCTAAACCACAAAAAATGATCAATAAAAAATATCCGTTGATAATATTCGGCATCATTGGTGCATATCATATTGGAATTCACTTCATAAATGCAGACTATGAAAGTAATCGAGAAAATCAACGAGCAAAGGCCGAAGCTGAACGATTGAAGAGATTGAAAGAAATCTGAACAAAAACTAAAAGCAACGTTTTTAATTGTTAAAAATCGAATAAAAAAAATATCAATATTATTTTAACGAAATGTGATCAGTGTGTTTTATTCCATTTCAGGCAATTTTTCCCATTTTATTTTGTTTTGTTTTATTGTTGATAGATTAGTATTAATATAAAAGCAAAATACTCCGTTGAATAATCTGTATGTTATTCAAAAAGTAGACAACGAATCCATAAAATTTTGTTTGGAGGGAGAATTCGAAGATTTAGAAATGTTTGGTGTAAAAAGGGTAAATTATTCATTCAATCAATATCGAATTCTCGCTCCAGCTATTCAATCAAATGATCATGATGGGGATTGAATAGAAGGCGATTCAATGAATTTTTTGGAGCGTTTATGTTTCCATTGCTACTTGAACTTGGGGGTCCCCCGAATCTTGTTCATGTGGTACATCGAAGTCGTCAATTGTCGGCGGTTCATTGCCACCAACAGCACCAGAACCTCCATCATCGTTATCGGGTGGTGGACCGGAACGCTTTTCAACAGCTGCAACATATCTGGCATTCTCTTCGTCGTCCAAAATGTGGAATTTCTCATTTTTACCAACGACCGCAATTGAAATATTCTATCGAATAGAAAAAAAAAATAATGCAATAAGGAATTGGTTATTGTTCTCTGATTGAAATGTTTTTTTAAAAAAATAAAATCTAAAAAAATGATGGCTTACCGAGTTAGTAAGAAGATCTTCGTTTGGCAGTGTTCCCTTGAGTGCTTCCAAACCATGTTTGATCAATTCTTCTTTTGAACAATCAACAAATGAGTTCAAATGTTTTTCCAAATATGTTCGAGCGCTTTGTGAACGCGAACCGATCGACATGGCTTTGCAGCTGAAGTAATTGGCGCTTGGAACGACTTCAAAGATTTGTGGCCCTTGATCATCATAACCAGCGACCAACAAACCAACACCGTATGGACGGCGATCGTAACGTTGTGTGCATGTTTGCATGCGATTGCCCAAATTTGAAATTAAACGAGCCACCGGATAAGTTGTATCGAATGAAAATTTATAATTCAAACACTCTTGACGCATATAACGGCTCAAAACACGTGCATCAGCTGTGATACCAGCAATTGAAATGCCCAAATGGTCATCGATTGGGATGATTTTCTTTTGAAAAGATGCCAACTCCGATGAGGCACGTTTTAGTGCAACCAAAACTGCATAGTCACGGCTTTTCAAACCAACGGTGGCCGAACCCAATTTAACTGCTTCCATTGCGTATTCGACTTGATGGAGCCGACCTTGCGGACTCCATACGGTCACATCACTATCATATTGATTACGAAACTGTAAAAGAAATTTTGTTAATTAGATTTTATTGGCGAAATTGGGAAAGGTAAGCTTGTGCAAACAAAACTGAGGTTATGAAATTGATATGAGCCAGAAAAATTTGCGAATTTAAGAAAACATTGGGAAATTTTTCATTTTCCTCATGAAAAAGGACTGAATTTTAACATCAATATTTCAAAAATCAATATAAAAATACAAAAAAAAAAACTATAAAAATTACCATTTTGTGCAATTGAATTCCAGCCGGAGCAATGACAATACAAAAATCACTGTATCTGATGTGTAGCAACAAAAGTTATATGCGTGAAGTTAGCCGCGGTTTAAATGTTATTTTGACATACAAATGCAAAGTATGCAGCCATCCATTCAAGCCGATGAATATTCGCGATGCTATCAGAAGTTTTTGACATTATTTACAAATAATATACTTTTAACGCAGATACGGGCACTTGTCACGCAAGACACCACAGCATATAAATACGAGAGAAAACATCCATATTTTTGGACAAATTTATCTATAAAACGTTGTTTGTACGAGAATTAAATTTAAAAAATGTCAGCACAAGCTCAAGGATGGCAAAGAGTAAGTTTGAGATTTTGTGTAAATTCGATTGTCTGTTCAAATTGTTTATTGCAAACACAATTACTTTATCTGAGTGAGTGCATGACGTATATGCTTATTAAGTTACCGTTCGAATACGATTCCTACACGAATATTATACATTGAAATCTGTTTACGTCGTGCGAAGCCAATAATTTTTTTTTCGCGAAGTGAATCATTACAAACGATGTGTAATCGTTCGTCGAGTATTATTCGGTTTTCATTATCGTTTGAGTCGTAATTGAATATAAATTTTATTGCTTAGATGTCGGGAATTATAAATGTTGTGGGTTTAATTTTTTCGTGCGATGAAAATTGATTGTGGTTGTCTGATGAAATTAATAATTTTATTGTTTTCGAATGTCAACAGGCAGTTATTGGCCCATTACCAGCTGGATTTTTGAGGTTGACAACAGAACGTGAGATTCAAGAATCGGCTGATCGACAAGCTGCAATCGCATTGTTTCAACAACAAAATGCCTCCTACATTGTAAATACTTTTAACCTTTGATTTTCATGGAATTTTTATTCGATTTAATATTAAAATGTTGAAAATCTTCGATTTTAGCCGGCATCGAATATTGTCGGTCGACTTAGTATCACCGTTGCACAAGCAAAACTTGTACGAAATTATGGTTTAACACGAATGGATCCATATGCTCGTATTCGTGTTGGTCATTTCGTTTATGAAACACAAACAGATCCAAACGGCGGTAAAACACCACGGTAATGACAATTTAACAATATAAAAGTTTATTTAAATGACGTTATTCACATACCTAGAATCATCACGAGCAGAAATTGATTTTTTTTCCATTTTTTTTTTCATTACAGTTGGAACCGTGTCATTCATAGTCAATTGCCAAACGGCGTAAATACCATATTTGTAGAAATTTACGATGAGTGCAGCTTTAAAATGGACGAATTGATTGCATGGACGGAGATTAAAATTCCGGAATCAGTTTTGCGCGGTGAAACACACGAAGAATGGTATAGCCTAATGGTTTCCCGATTATTTGTCGATTATTTTAAATTAATTCTTTTCTTTTGTGATTCTCCCCTTAGGTATAGCCTAAGTGGTAAACAGGGTGATAATGTCGAAGGAATGATTGATGTTGTAATGAGCTTTACGGTAAGTTTTCCTTTACCTAACAACTCTTTATTTCGTTAAGAGTTTGCATTTTCATTACATTTTGTGTGTTTTTTCCTAAAGCCTGCAGCGGCAATGGCAACATATAACTATGCTGCAGTGCCACCTGTTGTTATGGTTCCAAATGTGTCTGGTGGCCAGGCGTTACCAGTTTTTGTGACACCTCAACCGCAAGTTCGTCCGCCAGTTGTTGAACAACCACCACCAGTGCAACCAATCACCGATGATGATGTAAAACAAGTCAAAGAAATGTTCCCAAATGTTGACGATGAAGTGATTCGATCGGTTTTGGAAGCAAATCGAGGCAATAAACAAAGCACAATCAATTCGCTTCTTCAAATGACCGAACAGTAAAAAGTAGTTTGCTCGAACAAAATTCAAGCTTTTTTTACACAACTAAAAGCGAAATATTCCATTTATTTTTTATGGATATAAATATATCTTTTTCTATCAATATCTTGAACCGCGAACTAATCTTAATGGGCCATTATTGCCGTGATTATTCTATTTATTCGATGATTAATTTTGTTTGCTTTGATGCAGTAACATGCACGTTATTTAAATTATTTCTTGCACCTACTGATAATTGTATAATGTCATTCCCAAATTTGCCAAATATCGAACGAAAACCGACGATTTTGATTTTCTTCGTCGAAGTCTATTTTTTTTTGTCTATATTGTGAAAAGGTAATTTACATTTATTTATTCAAACTTCTTAATTGTTTTAATAGTTCATTCTTTCTTGTAAGTCTGCAGTCATTTGATTTGCACTGAAATTGCGATTCCATTGAATTTTGATCAGATGAACAATTGATATTGATGTAATCATTTGCCAGTGTTGTCAAAGTCGATCTATACTTCCGGATTTAATTTATTCCCTTTTGATTGATTATTTTGTATTTAAATCATTTTATGTTTGGCTTCCGGTTTTAATTCGTTTTTTTTTTTTTTTTTTTTTTTTAATCGATTGTGGCAACATGAGACTCCGTCAATCGAATGATTATTATATGTTTCTATAGTGTATCCATTAAGCCTGTACTAATAATTGTCTGTATTTTTATTCAACAAAAAAAAATACGCGAAAATAAATGTTATCAAATGGAAAAGCCTTTTTTGCATATTATTATTTATTATTCAATCAATTGAAGAGTTCCCAAAAAATGGTTTGAATGGGGAAAAATTCCATTGGTTTTTTTTATCTTTTATGATATAAATGAATTTCTTATCAAAAGAATAATATACCAAAAAAAAGTATTTGAGTATAGCAAGTATAAAAAATATTCAAATCCAGATTCATAAAAAGTGTATGTCTAGGTGTATGTTAAAAAGGTAACTCATGGCTCTTAGAGTAAACAAGTTGCTGAAATCAAAGTGAAAAAAAAAATGTTCAAAACAAACTCCATCACTTTAAACATTATAAAAACATTAGACGAATGTCGGTCGCTGAGTCATTCTCGAAAAAATAGCTAAATATAGTATATGTGTATAGTTTTTTTTTTCGCTCTTAAATGATTATCGCATACGTAAAAAAAGTTGTTTACATTTATGGCATAGAATGAGAATATTCCAAATGGGTTAAATATTTTTTTGTTAAAGAGCTTTGATGAGCGGAACAAAAAAACGTATAGCCGCCTGAATTACATACAAATGAATACAAAAATATTACATTCAAAAAGTTATTATTATTTGTTTCGAGCGATGAATAAGTATATCACATAGTGTGCGCACACCGAACAAGTAACGAGTATAAAATAAGCTACGGTGTAGAGAAAGAGAGCTCGAGCGAGAGAGAGAGAGAGAGAGGCAAAAAACAAATTGAATATTGTAAACGAATGTTGTTGTTACCTTTGTGTGGCAGAAATGGGGGGAAACAGCATTCAGTGTGTGTATATTCGATGACTACACGCAAACGTATGTGTACCTCTCACTCGCTCTTGTTATGTGTTCTCCACTTGTATGAGCGACTGAGCGCGCGGGGAGTTCGAGATGAAAACAGTGGCGATTGCCATTTAGTTGGATTCAGTTGTGCGCATGGTTCGGGCTTTCTTTTTTCTTATTTGCTTTGGTTTGTTTAGAAAAAGCAGCAAAATCGCAAACCAAAAAATTTGGTTGGTGGATTCCGGTTAAAAATACATCGGTCAGAGTACGCAAAGTGTTGTCGCGAATCGGATCGCAATAAGTGAAGCTTGTTCGTTGAACAACACTGTTTGAACATCGGTGTTTGTCTATATATCGTACATCTCCATCATACACCCATATCGACAGTTAGAGTGTCACGCGATTCAGACTCTTACACGTACCATAAAAATGACAAATGTTTTGAATTCAGTTTAAGTATTCTTTTCGTATTGTGACCATTTTTGCGATTGACAATACCACACAAAATTGAGTCATGGATTGTGTAATGGATTTGTAAACAGGAGGAAAAAACGTGAAATATCAAAAGTGACATCGTTTTCAAACATTCATAAATACACAGACGATAGGTTGTAGTTAAAAGTGGCCAAAACAACAACACACTTGAAAAAATGATTGTAATCAGTCGTTGTCTAGCTACCGTATACTAAGTGGCTGATGTGTGGTTTTTGATTTTGAATTGATTTTTTTTTCGTGATGTTTAAAAATTGCCACCGAATGGAAAGTGAAGTTTAATTTAGATTGACAATGAGTTCAAATGCTTAGAAAGTGAATTATTCGTGTATTTGAGTTAAAAAAAAAACATTGAAAAAAGTCATCGGTTTTGAAATCAAGGTGAAGGCCCTTTTTACCCAAAAAACATAAGCTCTCATGAATGAATTTATGGTGACCAAATGTTTACCATCAGTTTCATTGAGAGTTTCAATTAAGATTCGCTGAACCGGATAAAGTCAATGAAAGTTCATTGTTCCATTATTTATGAGCAATGAACGACCACCATCAATGTTAATAGAAAAAAGACAACGTTATTTTCATAACAAATGAGCATATGAATGATGCTAGTATTTGGATCGGCGACAGCACAGAAAACTCATTTGTAAGGGTGATAAAAATTCCGATAATCTCGCGTCGTAAAACTGATAATTTTGCCCCACTGGCGTAATTGATATAAATTCAAAGATTGTGATGAAAATATTGGCAAAATCACTGCACATCGTCTAAATCTGACTATAATACAACTATTTTCCATTCAAAGCGTTCAATAACTTTCCAAGAAAATAGATATATAAAACCACCCTCCGACGAAACGAACGTTTTTTTATTATTCCGATAAGTTACGCTCGCTTCTGGTATTTTGCGTGGGTATTGTATTGTGTGTACTATCTCGTGCTGCGTACAGTGTTTTGTATACGCTCAATGAATGCAAAGAGAAAATAGTGAAAATTCCATGCGACGATTTAGAAGCGCTAAGAATAATATTATCTGTATTAAGTTGTATTATCATAATCAAGTTATAAAAGATACAAATATTTTAACAATTTTCCATGTCATACATGGAAAACATCTTGACAAAGAAAAGACAAAAGAAATAACGAAACTTTGTCTCGCTTGTCGCATCAAATATTTGTGAACTTTGTGCATATACTTTTGGACTCTCATACGCGGTACGTAAATACGAAGTTTTGCTCTATTTTGCATTTCCTTGTGATAGCTTGATTATTATACAAATTGATGTGCATATTACGGTGTTGTTTTGAATATTTTTATTTTACTTTTTTTGATGATGGTTTTTTTTCTCAATTTGATTGCATCACGTTTGAGAGAATGATGTTCCAATTTGTGTGCTACGCTCAGTGAAGTTTAGCAATAAAATCCATTTAGAGTATGTGTGGGTAAATCGATAGTGACCACATGAGTTTGATTGATTAAAAGCATGTAGTAATCCAATTTTTATAACGTAATCAAGAACCATTTTGAAAATTACATTTGCGAATCGATATGTTATTCATGTGGTTGGTGATTTTATTTACCGCTCAATATATGGTAAACAAGTTGCCAATGCAAATTTCAAATATATAATTATGCAAGCATTAAGCCATTACCACTTTACGAAATGCATTGCCATGTGTTTATCTCAAGGCTTTCTCTTCTCGCACTCACTCGCAAAAAAAAATAAACAGCGTATGTTTTTGTCAGCTCATATTGTCTTTAATTCATCGTCTGAGAAATGTACTTGAACAAATGGAACTGAACGGTTTGTGACCGTATTCAGCGGTATTCAGACACTACAGATTGTACACAAAAAAGTAAAAGTGATATTTTTTCGTACATATTTTTCACTTTTTCTGCTAACAAAAACCGAGCTCATTACATTCTCTTCAGCATTAACGACTGTAGCTGTTTAAAATTCGAAGTGTACACTGGCACATTTGAATAGCAACATTTGAAAACATTGTTTGCTGGCACACTCGCAGCTAATGGGTTAATATTTTCACTTTTATCAACCAATTCAATTCATCGATGAATTATACGTTTTTGTGGCCGAAAAATTGTTGACCGCTTAACCGTTAACAATGTGCAAAAACGCCTATGCATTCAATTTACTGCACTGGCGATGCAGTATTTGGGCTCATTCGTGCAGGCACATAAACAGCGAATTGAAATCGATAAATAAATTTGGCCGTATGAGTCACGCACATATCACCATGGACAATGCGTGTTTCACTTACTTTTTGTGTGTATGTTTTTTATAGTAATTGGTGTATGCCATTTTTTCTTCTCTTCAACTCTCCACTGGCAAAAGTTTTGTATGTGCATTTGCACGTAGTAGAAGATGATGATTAAAATGACTAAACTATAAATTGATGTGCCAATTAAAGTTTTATCGTAACAAACATACCGTTACTTTTGATTTTGTTTTATTTTCTGTTTCTATCGCCGCATTTTTTTGTTCCACTAGCTCTTAAGCTCAAATTGCCTTTTTATTCAATCATTCTTCATTTTTCTCTTTGTTGCGTTTGTTTTTTTGTTTCTGGTGTATGGTTGTTAAGTACGCGTAAAAAAAAGAGAGTAACTATAGTAAAATATAGACGTAAATTAAGACGGTTAAGAACTTCGTATTTCTGTTTTCGTTACATTTCAAAGGGTTTCATTCAAGCAAAACATAACATGAAAGCAAACATTACTTCTGAAATTATTGACATATGTTTGGATATTGTTCGCATGCGATTGATTGTCGGTTTAAATTCAACCCATTTTTTGTATGTATGTGGAATTTGCATGGCATATGACAGTAACTAACCTGCCGTTTTGTTTCGCTGTAGTCGCTTTTACGGAACATTGAAATAATCCGACGATGAAGGCAACGGGTTATTTCGTTTTTCTTCGGTCATGAGAATTGTGTGTAAAATTGAAATACACAATTGGGTATCGTAAATATTCATTGATACTACACCCTAAACATAATCGAATCGGCTAGTTTTTTTTTATTTCTAGAAATTTTTATTCGAATTGTGGTTGCCATACGGTCGGTACTTTTTTTATCATTCGATATGCGCGGGTGTGACATCAGCAAACACTCGTGAACGCTTTACAAATAAATGTCTCCCTCTTGGAAATTGAACTTCTTTACCTTGATAAAATGACACATTTGCGGAATGCTACCCCTCTCCAAAATATAATAATCGATGGTAATTTTGCGTAATTGAGTATCGAATATCAGCGATACTTTGCTTTTTCATTCAATTATGTACCACACATCCGTGCATCAGCTGAATGAATTAAACATAATTGTCATACTCCGTTATGCTTCGTAACATTCACAATACCCAATATCATATAGATCACATACAAAATTCCGTCCAAAGACCAAAATATCGTTGGCGTAATTTTAAAAATTTATTAATTCACTGGCGCAACTAGATCGATCGATGCATCCACAACAGTTATTATATAATTATATTTTTACTTCAAGTGATTTGTGTTCAATCATTATTTTGGGGAGATTTGTAGCGAATCGAGAGGCGGGTGGCCATTCTTTCACGTGTGATCCGCACTTGGCTTGCGATGCGTGAACAAAGGCAAACGAATTACTTAACCGACATTGACCCTATGCACACACAAACATTTTTAATTCGATAGAGGAATGTTGTTTCGCTATATGAAATCGTACACTCACCGATGATCGCTTATTGTAAGGTGCGTGCTTTGTGCTCTGTTTTTTTTTTTTTTTAACTTCACATACAGTGCACAACGAACACTCAAGGCAAATGAAAAGCAATGATGAGGGAAAAATGAGCGATGAGATTTTTGTTATAGAAACTTTTTTTTTCGCCGTTATACGCAATCCAATGGAATGGAAAACAATATTGAGTATACAAGAGAGAATGGAATACATCAAAACCCATAGCATTTCTTTTGTAGTAATTTTTCGGCGACGCGTAAATTAGAACGGAAAAAAGCATATTAACACCTATAACATTGATGCATTTCAAATAAAATTAGCATTTGTAATAATGTAGCATTCCGCGTAAAATGGAAATTATTCCGAAAAGCAATTTCACAACGATTTTCATAGTTAATTTTGCCGCTCATTCTCAATTATAGCATTCAGCTTGATTCCAGCCATTCAAGATGTTATGATATTTATGTTGTAATTTTAATGTGATGTTGTAGGCAAAAAAATGAAAATCGCAAAATTATTCAATTTGACTTTCGTGCCTCCTCTTAAACGAATGTCGTAGCTATTTTCCATTGTGCCTTGTCTTTCTTGCAGCAAACTGTACATATACTTTGGCACCAAAAAAAAAATCAAAAGATTATCATTTTTATTATTCTCGTATTCAACGGAACAAATAGCTTGATTTCTTTCTGTTTTGTCTTGGGACGTGTACTGCTTGCAGAACATTCGGACTTGATCTAGTTACGACGGAGAAATTCCAAGTCAACATCATTTTTTTCATTCGTATTGAAGAGTGAGTCCACACATTTCATTCTAACAGAACCAGCGGTATAAAGAAGTTTTCATGCTCAATTGTTGGTGCTGTCGTTACTAAGAACACAATGTTATTCTCTTGCTCTTGTTTGGTGGCCGTATTTCAATTTCGGCATTTTTTTCGATTGTATATTTCGATTTCATGCTCTTTACCATCAATTCGAATTGGCAAATAAGTTTTTTTTTTTGGCGATGGAAAATGGATAAGTTTGGTTAAAGAAAGTGATCTCTATCAAACCACAACAAATCAAAACTTTTCTTGCTCAAAAAAATACTTGAAAAGTGGCCAAAAATACACGAAAATCTTTTGTTGTTGCTGTCGTTTCTGGCTCAAAGTTAGTTTGTTTTCAATAGCGAATGCATTCGAGTAAAAAAAAAAAGTAAAAAAAACGAGTCGATTTAAAAGTTCCGGATGAGAAAAGTTGAAGACAAGAAGACAAAGAAAAATGGGATTAGCGGATTGAGATCCATCTCTTTGAATATATGTTCTTTATCAAATCAAAGTTTTTTTGATGAACGTGTATACATCTATATGGAAAAACTTTAGATTTCTTCGGAAATGGAATATGCCATTGAAATGCTATTATTCAAAAACAATATGATGTAAAAAATAAGAATTCAATTAAAGTTACAACACATAGAATAATTCGTTCTTCACAACGGAAAACAATTCATGGAAACGATGCTACTATCTCCCTTCTTCTTCTTATCCCCTCTTTCTCTCTCGCAATTTACATTGTCAGAGTTTTTAGCCGAGTTGCAGATGGTGTTCGTCAGAAACAATGGATTACTGCGAGCGATTACAAAAATTGCAGAAAATAATGTGAAAATGTTAGTCACCAAACAAAATTCCATTCTGACACCCGTCACACTGAAACAGTAACATTGTTGAAACTAAAACGCTGATGAGATTTACGTTAAAAAAGAAACAACAACAGCAATCTCTGCCATGATTCGTGGTGTGTGAACAAAACATGCAAAATAATTATCTGTATAGCTCAAATGCACAGTTCGCGGAGACTGTCATCTTCAACTATTCAACACGACACCTGCCAGAATGAGCTGGCACGACATATATACATTGTTTGTAGCACCGTTTATTATCGTTGATTACATCATTGCCTTAGATTGAAGTCATGAAAAAATTTGAATGTGACTCGCATACACTTATCGACACCATTCGTTTAAAAGGTATATCGCTACACTTTTTGCAACTAATGGACACGATTTTGCATTGAAACGATGACTGTTTCTCTATGACGCATTTCCTTTGTGCACATTTGATCGCGCATCTATTGGAATGGTTGGTTTCGAGTAATTTTGGATTGGTTTTATTTTATTTCCAAAGACATTTCGCCGTTAGAACAACCTTTTTTGCGCAATTCATACAGTTTATGTTATGAAACCATGTACATTTTCTCGTAAAATCGTCAGAAAAAGAATCGTAAAAAATTATATTATACATAGAACCTTCTAAGAATTGAATTGCACGACCCATTTGGAAGCCCATTCCGAATTTGAATGTTCCATTTAACTACACGATTTTTTTGTTATTGCTATGAAGCATTTAATCAAGGCCGAGTACGTGCAGGGCAAATAACCTTTTTAATTGCTGATGAAAAAGAGATATTTAAAGCTAAAAAAAGCTTGCCCATCGCTAAAATAAGAATCCATAAATGAGCTGTCATTTGTTATGTCTGTCATTTTATGATCAAAAATTAATTTTCCAAATGAGTTTGAATTGGGCGAATTTTAATTCATGAACTTGTTGGTATAACATTGCATTTTTGTGCACTCCACCATATCACAGTTTCCATTGACAGAATAAAGAATTCCATTGAAATATCACATAAAAGAATATTCTAAATATAAATGGCAGCCAAATGAAGGCTTTTGTCATTGTACATACAAATGAATGCGTTTATGTGGTTTATGCATTAGGTAAATTCATCAATACAGTCATTCACAAGCAACCGGGAGAATGAAAAAAAAATGAATGAAAACACTCGATTCAACATTAAAAATACAAGCGCATATTTGAATTGGGTGTCGGTTCGCTGGTTCACCTGAGTAAAACTAACAAATCATGTGGTACACATTTATATTGGGCGGTGCACACGTTAGACGTCTCATCAATAATTCCAATTAGTATGTGTGTGTGTGTGTGGTGGTTTTGCCACTTACACATCCAATTAAATGGCCAACGTATGTCAATGCACTACGTGCCATTCCTGCATAAACAGGGAAACCATGTAAAACCAAAAAAATCAATATTACACCCGACTCCATGCGTATTTGAAAAAAGAGTTTTCAACAAAGGGAAATAAATCATTCACATTCAATGTTGTAAAGAAAATAGAGAAATTCGATACTAACATTTGCTTTTTTCTTTTTCTTACATGAGCAGACAGCAGTGCTCTGTGATTGATCTCATAAATATATAGAATGTTCAATGGTTTCACCCACATATTTACAGCGTAAAAATCTGATGTGAAAAATTATTGTATTTTTCTGGCAGCGCTATATCTGATTGGCACTCCAGAGAAATTGGACGCGAAAATCGATAACTGTCAGTTGTTAAAAAAAAAGTGAAACGAAATTTACGAGATTTTACATAAAACGATCCTTTCACTGTGAAAAACCACAATCCATTATCATAGTCGCTGAAACCATGTCTCAGATAGTATTTGTCGAAGAAAATAGGCATAAAAGTTAATTCTCCATCAATTTGCATATACTGTCGATTTTTTTTTTCATTAATTTTCCACATTGCTGCTTCTCATCACTTAATAGTTTTCCACAGCAACAGCAGCAGTAAATGTATATTGCACTATAAATGTTATGCCACAAACTCTGTGGTTTACAATCTTATCACGCAAATGGGCGACAGGGAAATAGCGTTGATGATATAACATAAAGAAATTAACGAATGGAATAACCTCGAAATGAAGTGGATCCATTATTTGAATTAAATTGAATATCAACAACGTTGATGGAAATACGATTCAAAATGAAATGTTCATGACATTAGTTTCAGCCGAATAAATTTGCGCTCGAGGGTTTCGAGTGATAGGCGAAAAGAGAGATCTAGAGCGAAAAGTTGTGTTTGTTTCGAGAGATATATGACAATTCCACCCTCTTATGATGGATGATGCGATGAGTACTGTTACCACATTACGCTTAACGAGCCGTGAATTTAGGGAATTTTTTAACAAGCTCATGCCATACTGAAATTAAAACACTTTCTTAAACAAACATTTTCAAAACTTTCACGGATCGATACAAGTACAACACAATTAAGACAATTTTATTTTTTTTTTGAATGTACAAATTATGTATTTTTTTTCCAAATATATTATTTAAAATGACATTCAAAAAATGTTATCTTACATTTCTATATATGTTCCATGCTTTAAAAAAATGCATATGTAATTTAATGATTGTGATTTCGAGTAAAAAAAAGAGATGTTCAATCGTTCGATTTGAGTTTTGCCTGAATGACGGCACGTGCTTTACTTCCCAATTCAGTCAACACTTTTTTCGCTTCATCCAATTTCTTGTCGAACACTTTCTGCACGTATAAATCCAATAGATCGAGTTGCTCGCCAACCTATAAAAAAAGTCAATAGATTAATGCATCAGACATTTGTTTTGTCTCACATTACCATCGAATAAATCTTTATGTGCATAAGACATGAATTATTGATTCGAGTGAAGAATGTTGAATTAAAGTGAACTTACCGTGGTATCGTCTTCTGGTCGGCCAAGTTTCACGAAAGCACACTGTGGTGAATGTTTCTTATGCTCCGACCATGGATCGTCGGTTGATTCCCATCCATCCAATACTTTGCCGCATAGAAAACAAGCGGCTGTATCATCATCTGTTGATGAACCAGCGTAGTAGAAACCAGCCTGTGCCATCTGAAACGATTTTTCAATATGGTGTTTGCTTTTTTAAATTCATTTCACAAATTGTTGATTGATTGAAAAACTAAAAAGCAGACATTTGAAATGTAATGCAAAAAAGAAATGCGATTGCTTACCTTTGTGATACTACAGTTCTGACGTTCACTAAATGGCCAAGACTGGAAACTTGCTTTACGATCTTTCTCGAAAAAGAAATGATTTGAACTTTGATTAACGCCTGGCATTTTTTTTTTTGATTTTCTTTTCAATGGAATCGATTTATGTTAAAATTATTGACAAATAATATAAAAATGTGTATAAAAATAGATGAATGTTGCTTGTATTTGATGCAATCGAATGTTTCTCCGTTCCGTTAAATATATAAAACTTCAAATATGTCAAACATATGTGTATACAGCGCTACCAACGTCGCAACGAGGAAGCTTCAATGGCTGCGTACTTGTCATATTTGTTGTTTTACACTTTAAGTGGTCGATTTGAATTTTCAGTTATTTTCGCTTAATTTACTTCTTTTATTTTGAACATTTTTTATTTTTTTTTTTAATTTTTCTGAAATATTTCCTTTTATTTAATAAAAATCTTCTTTCTTTGCCATTTCAGATATAAAATGGAGGATTATAAATTTTTATTCAAAGTTGTTCTAATTGGAAATGCTGGCGTTGGTAAGTTTTGGTATAAATTAATAATAAACTGCACGTATTCAGTCAAAAACAAAAGTTTTGCGGCTTTGTGCTTATGGTTTCGGTAATAGTTCAATGTTTTTTTTTGCTTTTTCAGGAAAGACCTGTCTTGTTCGTCGATTTACACAAGGCGTTTTTCCACCCGGTCAAGGAGCTACGATTGGTGTAGATTTTATGATAAAAACAGTTGTTGTGGATAATGAAAAGATAAAAGTAAGTAAATTAATTTCAATCGTCGTTAAAACGGTTTGTTTAAAACATTGTTTGCATTTACAGCTTCAAATCTGGGACACTGCAGGCCAAGAGCGATTTCGATCTATCACGCAAAGGTTAATATTCATTTCAGTCTTGAACTTGAACAGACACAGTGACATTCATATTTCTATTCTAACGACATACAGCTATTACCGTTCGGCCCATGCTCTAATTCTAGTCTACGATATCAGTTGTCAGCCGACATTCGATTGTCTGCCGGATTGGTTGCGTGAAATTCAAGAATATGCCAATTCAAAGGTGCTGAAAATTTTGGTCGGGAACAAAGTTGACAGGGACGACCGAGAAATACCAACAGCAATTGGTGAGGAATTTGCCAAACAACAAGGCATGTATTTTTTGGAAACTTCAGCCAAAGAAGCCGATAATGTTGAGCGTTTGTTTTATGAGATTGCCGCCGAATTGATTGAACAGGCGCGCACAAAAGAGGTACGATTCAAGAAAGTTTACAATGAAATAATGTTGAGTGAATTTTTTCTCACTTTTTCACACGCATATTTAATGAACTGTTTAAATAGGTGCCGCGCAGCGAAACCGGTGGAATATCGAATTTAGGAACCAAAGCGAATTTACTGAGTCAAACAACTAGCAATTGTTGCAATAATCTAAATCTTGGACCAAGTTAAATTAGCCAAAATTCAACGATTGAACAATTATACTCAATCATAGCGACATTTTTATTCCACGGGATGGAAATGACCCATCCGTATAGTTTAATCAAGTATAAATCGCAGAGAAGAGAAAAAAAAGTATCTATATTAGTATTTATATCTAACGATATCACAGGCAACGATTTTCCAGTTGTTGCACTTATGAAATGACCGTACTACCGATACAATCTCTACAGTCGTCATCTGAACAATTGTTATCATTTTTATAGCGTCATTGTTTTTGTTTATTTTTTTGTAATGCATTTTTTATGTTCACGATCAATTCCCAACAAAAACAAACACCTCACATCTATTTTAGTTATATAGGGAAATACGCTTTGTATCGCGGTCAAATGAATAATATTTATATGATTGTTTTATATTGTTGTGATTTGTTAGCTTGCAATCGTATGAAGATTTAAAAAAAAAAAACAAATTAGTTTTTTTTTCTTTTTTTTAACGAAATAACTAGTACCTTTTTAAATATGCTTTTCAATTATCCAATTAATGTGCCTGAGTTGTAAACATTTGGAGTTTGTGTTGTTTCAATCTATGTAGTTTCAATCACAATAAGAGTCGCATACTCACTGTAAATCAAAATACAGACCGTTTGATTTCCATAATAATAATAGTAATTTAGAAAAGTTTCGGGAAAATCGATAAAATGAAACGGTTCCAAACCCAAAAGTAACAAATAACCCTATTTCATAACTTTTGTTTTACAATGACCAATTTTTTGAACTATTACTCCTATGAATGGATACTTGAAGGTGATCTAATTGCACATTATTGTATAAATAAATTTGTGATTTTAAATTAGGAGCAATTTTATCAATAAAACCATAAATATAAAATAGAATAATCACCCACAACGTCTTTGTATTGCGTAAATGAAGCGGTAAACTTATCAACATATGGTTCCATTGGATGAACTAATGAAAAGTAAGTAAAATTATGCAGGTTTGTGTGACGGTTTAACGTTTA